AGCGACGGGCTGCGGGGGCGGGATCAGGACAGCGTGCAGTCAGCGGAGGGTGAGGGGGGGAACTGACCGAGAGCCTTGCCCAGTGTTCGCCCTGTGCGGGGACGAGGGCGGCGTCCCAGATGGATGGGCGGACGGGCCTCTTGCGGAGAGGCGGAGCGCCGGGGGGATCGGGCGGGGCGAGGAGGAGGCCGGCGGCAAGGGCCTCGTCGAGCCTGCGGCGGAAGCGTCTGCGGAGGATGAACGAGCGCAGGACGATGGCGGCAGAGACGAAGAGGAGGAGGAAGAGCGTCGCGAGGAACGTGAACCTGATGGACGAGTCGGGTTGCGTCGACATGAGTGACTTGGCCCAGCAGCCGCGCGCACAGCAAACTCCCCGCCTCCGCTGACAAATATTGGCACACGCACAAATACACCGTCCGCCGTCGTGCTCGTGGCTGTCGTCGACCTCGCCCCCATCGTGGTCGGGAGCACGTCGACGTCGGCCCCATGACTCTCGCTTCCCCTCGGATTCGCCCTGCTGCTTCTCAGCGTCTCCCTGATCACGTCCCCTCACCACGCTACCCAGACATGAACTACACCTTCCGCTCGTCCCTCACCCGAGCCTCACGCCAGACGCACCACCTCCGCACATTTCAACTTCTTCTCGTATTATTTGCGTAGGTGTAAAAGTAATTACATGCACTCGTCAGCAATTTCATACGGATACCAAACCGAACCGCACACAATCTCGGCCAATAATGAGGGTGGGTCCGTGTCCCCCGCGCCGCGCGCACAGGACCGCTCAATCTGCAACAAAGCCGGGCTGCGCGTACAGCGCCCCGTAGACATTCAAATGAATCGATGCCAGTTTTGCGAGCCTCTCCGCCAGGTGGCGGATCTCCGGCATCAGTGGCTCCAGCCCGCTCGCCGCCCCGGGCTCCTGCTGCACGCCACCCTCTGCTGGCAGCCCGCCCTTCTTCAGCGACGGAACCATGATCTCCACCGCCGCCTCCAGCACCTGCTCGCGTATCCGCTTCCGCATCAGCATGCTCAGCGGCGCCTCGTGCCGCAGATTCGATTCGGTCCAGCTCGACGCAAGCTTGATCGTCTGCTCGTCCGGCGTCCTGATATCGTGCGCAGAGCAGGACGAAGAGGCGCCAGCGCTCGTCCGCTGGCGTGCGTCCGTCGCCCGCATGGCCACCTGCAGCACAACGTTGCTGATATCGTTGTGCCATTTCGCCCACTCCGCATCCGTCTTGCCTTCCAATCGCTCACCAGCTTCCTTGTGGCTTGCTGTCCGCCGTGCGCCTTGGAAGCACAAGCCAAGATGTGGAGGCCCGATATCCCAGATCTCCTTTTTGAGTTTCAGCAGCTCATCTAGCTTCACGTTCGTCCTCGCGGCATCCCCCTGCACAGAGCAACCGGAGAACACGAGCTGCCGATAGAGCATCAGGAGCATGTACAAGGCGGTGAAATCTGCCGCATCGGTGGTGAGTGTCATGAGGCGTCCGTGATCAAGATAAAGCGTCTCGGGATACCCTGCGAAAAGCGTCACAGTGGGTGTCGTTCGTGGGGTAGAGGGTAGTGGAGAGCAGGCGGGGGAGGCTGGTGGGGGTGAAGGGGGGTTGAAGACTAGATCTACGATCGCGCTGGTTGCCGCTATCTGAATCTGCGTTCTGTGAGGAAGTTTTGTGTAGCCGTCGCCCGCGGAAAGGGAGCACAGCCCGGACATCTCAGCACGCCGCGCGACCTCGCGATGTGCGGATTGCAGCCATTCGCGGGTCACCGCAAGCGAGAGGTGACCGCCCTGCCTGCTCTCCTGGAACGTCTTGAGCTCGTACTGCGCAGCCGACTGGACAAGATATGGTCTTAGTGTCTGCAATTGATGGTTGGCGACATCCTGTCAGCAATCAACGAGGATGGGCATCAGTCTTACCCACGATCTGGCAGATGAGTGAAATCAAGACTGACCAGTTTCATCAGCTCCATGATCTCGAAGCACAACCGAATCGCACGAACGGCATCGACTTTACTGCCGTTGCCGCCTGGTGCACACGATCTCGCGAGGGCAACCATTTGGTCGACCGCATGATCCCGCATGGGCGCACAATGGCATCGAATGATATCGCCAATTGTCTGAAACACCCCAGAGGGATCGAACAGGCCGTGGTCGAGTTCCTGTTGGATGAGGTCCGCGTCGAGCACTTCTCGGAGTTGTGCGACATGCGTGAGGTTTTGCTGGAATTGCGAGTGCAGCGACGTTGGCTGGACGCAAAAGCCGGGCGATTTTGCCATGACGGGTTGGATGATCGACACCAGCACTTCCAAGAGCTCTAGCAGAAGCGGCCGGATGCGCGAAGCCACCCGCACGGTCGTGCGATGGTCCAAGGCGACCGCATATATGGGCCTGCCTGTGGGTATATGCGGTGTGCTGCAGACGCATATCCGCTCGCACGGCCGCCCGTGGGCGTCGATAGTGAAGCAGGTACATCCCGTCTCCAACTCTCGGACGATGGCGAGCCAGTAATTATCCGCCATGTCGCGCTTCCGGCGACTGGAAGTGGGACGAAACTGCAGTCCCGAGTCGAAAAGCAGATCATGACCTAGAGAAGTACATGCGCAGAAGAATGAGACGTATGTGGGAGAAAAATAAGATGCAGGAAAGACGAACGGAGCTGTGGATTGCGCAAGATCGCTTCGAGGTCTAATTCTTTCAGCGTCTCGCGATTCACGGGAGGCTGATGTGGGGGTATATGAGGCGAAATGGGGTCGACGGGGGAGACGGGGAGAGAAGAAGTGTGACGGGGAGTAGAAGGTAAGCTGTTTACACGTAACAAAGAGCCTCTGCTGGGGCCAGGTTCTGTGGCCGAGACGATGCCTGTATCTCGAGTCTCGCCGGCCCGCGCGCGGCGGACGTATCTGCGGGGAGACGGGACAGCGTGGCTGTAGAGACCACGGGCTCTGCGGAGGCGTCGTGGGGAGGCGGGGGTGGGCTGGGGTATCTCGATGCGTGGACGCTTTGGTCTGGACGGGCTGTCCTTGTGGGAGCCCGACATGTAGGCCATGGAGGAGGATGGGGGATGCTCTGGCCAGGAGGAGACGATGGCGTGGTCGGCGTCTGGGAGGAGCCAGGAAGGGGCGGGCGGACGGTCTGTGCGCTTGGAAGGACATCGGGGAGTGGCGGAGGAGTCGATGAGCATGGGCTCGCAGGAGGGGGCGTCGGAGGGGGCGTCCTGGGGCTGGCAGTCGTCGGGGTCGGCCTTGCGTTTGCGACGGAGGGACTGGAAGGGGAGGGCTTCATGGGCGAGGTCGTCCATGGGGAGGCAGAGAATGAGGGGGAGGAAGAAGGCGGAGGGCGATATTTAGGGAGAGGAAGGCGAACACATGGGGGCAGGCCGCTTGACGTCCACGCTGCCATAAGTCGCTGCAGACGCTCGCCGCATTTTTCTGAAAAAAGTCTTTCAAGTCTGCAGTGCCGCGCCCTCCTCACCTTCTCCTCCTCTTCCTCTTCCTCCTCCTCCTCCTCCCTTCCCCCCAGCCTCGCCCAGCAACGATCTCCCGCAGTCTCCAGCCCCCATCTGTCTTCACTCCTCTCTGTCCGCGACCGAGTCTTGTCAGCGGATCACCTCCAGCCAATCTCCGTCCAGCACTCATTCGCACGCTCCAGCTGCACGCCCGCCACGTTCTCTGGCCGCCTCCGACTCGTCTTTCCCCGTCGTACGTAACCTCGCGCTTTATCAGATCTCCCTTGCGCGACTCTCTTCCTCCTCGACCCCACGAGGCTCTCGCTCGCGCCATCACGTCGACCCAGAACGCACCCATCCCGTCAGTCGCCCGCCCACGACGCATCCTGCACACCGCCCACATTTCTTCACCCAGATCGGTCGACGTCCCATCTCTCCACTGCCCCTATTCCTCTTCCTCAATGTTTATGCCCACCGTGAGGCCTTTGGCCGAATGATAAACAGTCCCCTTGTCGCACACTTGTCCAAGCTTGATCCAAATCAGTGATCCTACCGATTCCGATTGCATTCCCCGCACTGCTCCTACTTACCACTTACAGCCACACCCCGTTCGATTTCTGTCTGTCTGTCTCACCTCGCCCGAGTCCAGCGTCCCCGTCACGAGGACAACGCTCGTCCCGTCGCGCTTTCCCGCAGACTGCTCCCACACCTCTTCTTCTCCACTGTCTTCTCAACGCATTCACGACACGAGGAGCCGTCCTCCCCCACTGACATTGATTGTTGGCACTGGCAGCCCTCCGCCGCACAGGCCCCGTATCATAGATCGGGGCCAATGCCACCGGTGGATAAGCCGTCTGCGGAGACATTCGCGCTCTGGCCTCCTTGCACCTCTTCCCCGGAGGCTTATCTCAGCATGTTGCGCCAGCGCTGGGCTGCTCTTGCCATCGCTGGCCGACTCACGCCTCGAGACTGCACTCCCAGCTCTCACGCCAGGCGTTATGAACTGGACACCGTCTCCTGGAATTCTATCACGTCATCCTCTTGTCAAGATGTCTTGTTCCTCCGCCCCCTAAGCTCTCGTGCTGCGTGGCCAGTGTTTAATTGAACCTTCCTATCCCGGACGTCTAAACTGCGCCCGAAGATCCCGCGTGAGGTGTGAACCCCTTCAGCGCCCGCTCGTCCACTCACACCTGGTAGGTATGCTGCACGTCCGCACTGTCATTGTCCTCCAGCGATTGTAGTACATGCCTCCACAATACATGTTTTGAGCGTCACAAACAATGCTCCATTCGCTCGCTGAATTTTGACGTCACAAAAGCGCACGGCTCACCCGCGCAGATAGCGCAATCCGGGTACTACTTACCCACCCATGAGCATGCTGTACCATCATGGATGGTCATGAGATTGCTTCTACACAGCTGTGGGATGTACATAAGTGGGCTGGAAAGCGTCCTTCACTCATCATCAATCAACTTCCCGTCTGTCTGGCCGCTGGCTTGCGCGTCCTCCGTCGGCTTCTTCGCTTTGCGACCGTAGAACTCGGCGATGATCTTGGGGCTTATACGATTCAATTGCTCCTTCGGGAAAATACGCAGCAGACTCCAGGCAAGGTCGAGGGACTCGAAGATGGTTCGCGACTCGTAGGCACCTGCGGGACGTCAGTCGTCCTACCCGCAAACGCCTGCACATGAACCAGACGAACCTTGACCCACGAACTGCCGTTCGAATTTGTCCAGGAACTCCAACGCAAGCTTGTCTTCTGGTGACAACGCCTCCTCACCGACGACTGCCTTCATCGAAGCGGCATCTCGCCCGATGGCGTATTTTGCATACTGGAGCAACAACGTGAATAACGCTCATAGTTCCCATCAAGATAACACTTGCCAGCTGATTCGAGACGTCGCCATGATCTTTTCGCGTGAGCTTCTCGCCAATGGCGCTCTTCATGAGACGCGACAACGAGGGTAGCACGTTGATTGGCGGATAAATTTGCCTGTTGTGCAGCTGACGATCCACGAAGATTTGGCCCTCGGTAATGTAGCCTGTCAGGTCAGGGATCGGGTGCGTGATATCTGCAAAGTGACCCGATATGACAAGGTGTTACACTAGAGTATCTGCGATTACTCACCGTCGTTTGGCATGGTGAGAATCGGTATTTGGGTGATGGAGCCATTGCGACCCTCCACGCGTCCAGCACGCTCATAGATGGTGGACAGGTCAGTGTACATGTATCCGGGGTATCCACGACGACCAGGGACCTCCTCGCGCGCGGCCGAAACCTAGCGTCGTGCTGTGTTACAACGGACTGATGGACTTGGCGACGCAGGGCTTACCTCGCGCAATGCATCTGCATACGATGACATATCTGTCAGGATAACCAGCACATGCTTTTCCAGCTGGTACGCATAGTACTCGGCAGTGGTGAGGGCCAGACGGGGCGTGATAATCCGCTCGATCGTAGGGTCGTTAGCGAGATTGAGGAAGAGCGTGACCCGGTCTAGACTTCCGTTCTCCTCGAAGTCCTGCTTGAAGAACCGCGCCGTTTCCATGTTGACACCCATGGCCGCAAATACAACAGAGAAGTTGTCCTCATGGCCGTCATGGACGTCCTTTGTCGGCCGCTTGACAAGACCGGCTTGTCGCACGATTTGGGCAGCAATCTACTGCAGTCAGTACACGGGGCATACGCGTGCAAGAGAGTCCTACCTCATTATGAGGTAGACCGGCTGCCGAGAAGATAGGGATCTTTTGGCCTCGGGCAATAGAGTTCATGGTGTCGATTGTAGAAATACCGGTCTGAATCATTTCTTCGGGGTATATACGAGAATATGGATTGATAGGAGAGCCTAGAGCGTGACTCGTTGTCAGTAGTATGCACACATAGGGACGGAAAACAACCGACCGTTGATATCGAGGTAATCCTCCGCAAACACCTTCGGACCCTGATCAATCGGAAGGCCAGAACCGTTGAATATCCGACCCAACATGTCCTCAGCAACGGGGAGTTTCATGCTGCTTCCCGTGAACTCGACATGCGTCGCCTTCACATCCACTCCCGACGTACCCTCAAAGACTTGCACAATGGCTTTCTTTCCCTGCACTTCCAAGACTTGGCCCCCACGTTTCGTTCCATCCGGCAGAGTGAGCTGTACAATCTCATTGTACGAAGGGAACTGATGTACGACCAGGTGAGCATTGGCTCATAATTTACTCACAAACACTCACCTTGACATTATCCAGGACAACGAGGGGCCTGCGAAAATTTCCAGCAAAACAAAATTATTGTGGAAAATGCAAGGACAAACCCGTTGATTGCTGAGACCGTCCGGTAGTCTGCATGTTGCGAGGGCTCAGCAAGGCTGCGTGGGCGTGTCGATAAACTTCTCACCGATGTGTGGTTTTACCGTATATTCGCGCGTGACCGCCGCAGCATTGATAGCTGCGAGTTCCTTGTCGCTGATCCGTGGGTCTGCAACCATCGTGAAGTCGTGAAATGCGCGCAGGTACCGGAGTATATCAGACGGTTGCGTGCAGGTACGATGCCCACAAGCGCCGCAGCCCAGACAGGTTCCCACGCTTTCAATGCGATTTATTACAACTGCGACGACGTCATAATACAACCCGTTTAAACGATTCGCTTATACTCATAGCCTGCCTCAGCTAGAGCCAATGAGCTACGACTCTATTATCATAAGCAGCTGTGAACATCTTTGCGCAGCATCTGCAACAGTCGATACATCACCCGAGGCCCTGTGAACCGCATCTCAGTACGAGAAATGATATTTCCAAAGCAGTGCGACCACCAACCATTCGGTCTCAAGTAATATATCTTCTGCTTCATCGGTCTCGTAACCAAGGTCTTTGGTTTGTAAGACAAGGTAAAGATGCTCTGCAGTGTCCGCTCGAACCTGTTCGTTGTTGTAATTTATGGATGGACAAGATGAAGCTGTCATGCCATGAGCTTTACCTTTGGATATTGGTGCGTCAAATATTGAGGAAGCTGCGTAATGCACTTTTCCCGGAGCTGATCCACCGGCAGCAAGTTGACAACTCTTCAAGCTCTCATCAGTAATTGTACCGTTCCAAAAAAAAAAAGACCCTGGAGCCTACATTCGCATAGACATGATGATGCGCTGATGGTTCTTGAGTCTGCACACATTTCTTGAGGCAATTGCAAGAAGCTCCGCCAAACTACGTCCAAATCAGAACATGATCCGAACCGGAGGAAAGAATGCGCACCACTCCAAACCGGCTAAATTTGTAGCCAGCGGTTCGAAAACGTCTGCTTCCAAGAGCAGATTATACGTCTGCAGCACGGGTACGACCACGCTGTTGGCACCCAAATTCCGCTTTGCCTGGGCCAGTAAATCTCTGGCCAGGCCACATAGATCGTACGCTGTTCCTTCGGCAGCGACAGGCAGGGTACGCGTGTAAGCAATGAGGCCTGCCGACACGGGACGTTGCTGCTCCAGACAACGGTTTAACTATCATAATCCCTCGAAAACAAATGGCAGATGCGGCTTACCGTGCTGTCGGTCTTTGTACTCGCACTCAACACGAGCCCAGCAAGAACAGCTTCGCGATACTTCTCAATTCCCAGAACCCTTACGGCCCGCGGAAAGAACCTGTCGCCGTCATTCCATCCAATTGTCTCATTATCGCTGTACAGTGTGGCCAATTAGTCATCTTTACACACCAAAGAGACTGCAAGAAAAACTACCTTAAGAAGAGCTGCTTCATGAGCGTGTCGCCACATATTTGCCACGCCTCCGCATCAGGTGTCAGGGGTAATGGCAACAGAAGGAGGCGAAGGAAACAATCTCCCGCTTCTCTCCGAACGTTGTCCAGCCTCTCCATGCCTTGCTTGAGGATTCCGCCGACGGCATCGTGATATTTCGATGCAGGGAAATAGTCCGCGAGGTTGGGCAAGTTTCCCGCGTGTGAGAAGAGCGTCTCCGCCAATGAAGTAAGCCCCTTCACACACGCAATTCGAACCCAAGAACCAACGTCACCTCGCTCATCCGATGTGTAATCAGTAAGTCCAGCTTGCAGTGCATCGATGATTTCACAAACCATGCCTGGTACCAGATCTAACACATTGTCAGTATGTCGCAACACGACATAACGAGAACCCCACGGTAAGTCAGCCGGGTGGCAATATTGGCCAGAATGAGGGACATAGACGTGTATGCATTGCGGCGAGTTTCTACGGTCACTTTTATCGGTGTCATCTGCGGTGTTATCGGTGTGCGTTCGGAAAAACAGAAAATGGGAAACATACCGATCGATTTACGCTGTACAACAGGCATCGAACAGCTTCAGAGAGGCCATGAGGGTGTGCATCGTAGTCTAGAACACCTAAGACCTTGCAGATGCTTTGTTGCATTGGGGATGATGCGGTTCCGAACTCGCGGATCAGCCTGTCCCGAGAAGTGAGCTTCTGAGATGAGATAATAGTCCAATGTAAACATTACCTATCAACGATTGCGGAGCAGTCTACCAACTTACTGACAGCGGCCATGGCCATTGCCGCAGCTTCCTGAACAACATCGCTCTTGCTCTTAAGGCCAATATCTACAATTTTGCGCCAATGGGGAACACTAGATCTGGCTAATTGTGTTTCTTCGATGGAGATGCTGGTCGCAATCAGATTGCAAGCGGCAGTGGTGACTAACTCGTGTCTTGGTGATTCGACAATCTTAAGAGGAACCTGAGACAGGTACGCGAAAATCTGTGGCAGCTTCTAGCGTCAGCCATGCTACTGAACTTTATAGAACAGACCTTGCGGCGTTCTGCTTCCGAGTCTTTGCTCCTATTCTGATAAGTAGCCGCCAGCTCCGTCAACGCCAAAAGAGCTCCATGAATATCCGTCATGTCGGGCCCTGTTAGAAATTGTGACTGGTCGACGACTGGTCAATTACAACACCTGAACTTTAGTAGATACAATGACCAACCGCCCTATGTGCTGCATCTGATGCCAAATTGGGGAGATCCAATTGACAAATCGCGCGAAGCGATTGTGCTCCTAATTGCCTCATTGAGGGATCCCAATGCCGTAACGTAATCGAGATCAGTTGATCAATGAGAAATGGACGGTACTCCACATGTCTGAGATCCATTCGATTAAAGTCAGTATTTGCTGACACGACTATACGCAACCTACTCACTCTGCAACATCCGGGGCAGCGATGAGAAAAGAGTTCCGGCGGACACCGACAGCATAGAAATCGGTTTTACGCAGGATATCAATTCCATGCGCGAACAAACTCTGCGGGCGATGGTGTCGTCAGAGGATGGCTCTTCGCCTATGTGTGAACCACCCACTGTTCGACCAACGTATTCTTGGAACGTGGCACTCGCAGCCCGGCGAATGTGAATCTCCCTGTCAAACAGAGCAACAGCAATCAGTCTATGGGATAAGTTATCCGCATGGGGCGCTAGAGCAGCGACGCCTTGAGCCCGCGCGAGCGACCACAATACATAGGAAGCGGCATCTCGAACATTCGACCCAATGGAATGCGCGCCCTTTCGGATGTCGAAATATAATGCCTGCCAATAACCTTATTAGTAGGGTGAGTATACAAGGTAGGAATGCCATACTTTACACAGCCATTCTATAAGCTCTGGAAGCCTCTCGTCGATAACCAATCCTCTTCGTGCCATTTCTGCACACGCGAGACAAGCTCCATGCCAGGTTCCCTCGGCCAGAGACGGCATGTCGTAGATGCTTGCGGCAGCCATAGAATGGATCGAGAACAAACCGATGAGTGTGTCGAGTACTTGTTCGGTATATTCAGGAGGAAGTCGCTCTGCTATACGCGCAACACCCTTGGCAGAAGACCATCGAACAACCGTGTCCTGCAATCCCGTTCAATATATGGTCGGCAACATGAATGAAGTCGTTCTGCACCTTGTCCTGAAGTGCATTAAAGAGCTCTTGCAGTATGGTTTCGACTTCTTCTGGAACGTCAACATCTTGAACGTCAGAATCATCCGTTTGCGCATCCAGATCAGCAACACTACTCGAAGTAAGAACACGACCTATGTTGAGGTAAGCCCCTATTGAAGAGCCCATCGATGAAATACCGCGCCTTTACTTCGCGCCGCACTGATGGTAGCGGGGAGGAGACGCAGCGCAGCACGGGAGATCAATTTCACCGTCAGCTTTCGGACCAGCGTATTCCTCGTAAGAGATTCATTGCCAGTTACGGCGCCGAAAAATTGGAGAAGTCTGGCTAGATGCGTCTTCACTTGTTCTACCGATCCAGATTTGACGACTTCACATAGCACCTGCAACGATCCTATACACTGATGAAATATAAGAACACGATTGATCCTAGTTTATCCAAGACACTAACGGGGAAAGGATCATTGGAATTGCTGAGCGCGGCGATAGACCAATCCAAAAATACTGGCAAGCTGGCAAACATATCTTTCCTACAACACTGAGAAAGAATGCTATACAGACATGCATGGACATACCTCATGTATAATCTGGATAGGAGGATAGCGGAACCCTCACGGTCCAGTCCGGCTTTCCCTAGATATGACCTTGCCAGAGACTCGAGTTTGGCGGAAGTCTGTCCAAGAGAATCATGGTCGTCGAATTGCTCAAGATCAAAAGGTATCATGCAAATAAGCGAAAGCCACAACAGAACGGAATATCTCAAAGGCCATTGACCCGGGTCTTGGGTAGGGCTAATTGGCGACACAATGTAGTCCAGCGCGATTGAAAGATCGGATATCTCATGAGGGAAAAATCTAGCTGGGCACGAAAAGATGAGGTGTAGTCCCTTCACGAGAGATGACACTGACTGATCGTCTTATACCCTCTGAACTTGATATAGCTATACAAGAGGCACGCAATACGATCGATGCGAGGACCAGGGACTTTGTCCTGAGTAGTTGAGGCCAGATGTTTTGCATGGCTTTTGATTGTCTCGATAACGGGAGTAACTAGTTGCTCTAGAAACGGATCGAGCAGATGTGCTTGCTCCTGATACTCATTCAACTAGATGCATCATTGGTCTGGTCAGCTACAGGCTTGAGGCAGCCATATGAACTCATACAATGAGAGACATTTTCTTCAACAATAGATCTTCCTCTCTGTTTTCTTCAATAGTAGGTTCCTGCCAGACATCTAGCGACAAAATCGAATGCTGTAGGTCTGTGAATTGCTGGTATTTCTCGAATGTAGCGTAGAATCTTCCTTCTGAGGCATCTTCTTCCATTATACTCCAGTGCTTACAATCAGAATGCACAGATTGAACGACTGACCTGGGTCAAGACGGGCGGACTTAAAGTTAAACGCTAGATCTAGGTCACGATCACGTGGACAGCGAGTACTGTGACGTCACGCGTTGTCTCTCCTGGATTATTGATTCGATCTCTACTAGTCAGCTTCAGGAACGTTGAGATACTCAACTTCTTGGCTCCTTGCTTTTGTTATAGGGGCATCAACACTTTCTCGCCTATTTTTACTCATGATAGGCTTATCTTCCAAACGAATGCGCCGTTGTTATCTGGCGTGGTAGGCTCTTTAGCTTTGGAGACTGAGACGCTCCCGAAAGTTGGAACTCCTTTAGTAAGTCACGCCAGGAAGTCAGTACTTAAACAGCAAACTCGCAATTGGGTCACTCGTAATTGGCTTCTCTTCTACCCTGGCATTCGATCACACTATACGAAGAATTACAATGTCCGATGTCAACATTGGCGACGTGCAAGGCATTCCAATCATTGACTTCGCCCCTTTCATAGATGGTTCGAACAAGCAGGGTGTGGCTGATGCCATGTACAGATCGTTCAGAGATGTTGGTTTTGTGTATCTGGTTAACCACGGTTTGCCGAAGGAGAAGATAGATGAGATGTTCGATTGGGTATGCTTTCATCTCTTACTTCACGATCAGCAAAGTGGGAATAGATTGTTGATGATGCCACAAGTCTAAGAAGTTCTTTGCCCAGCCTATGGATGTAAAACAACTCGCTCCTCATCCTCCGTCCGGAACACATCATCGTGGTGGGTAACTCACATCTGGTTAATGACGTGCGGGATAATTCAGGCTGCATTCAGGATATTCTGCTCCTGGAATTGAGAAGGTTTCGCAGCATGTCTATGATTCAGATGAGATCACCAAGATCCGCAATGCACCGGACGTCAAGGAGAGCTTCGAATGCGGGCGCGAGGATAGCGAACATATGCCTAATATCTGGTTGCCGGAGGGCATTCTTCCTGGCTTCAAAGAAACTTGCCTTGGTTTCTTCTGGGTATGTTGTTACTCTCGTACATCGCCCGTGGACAGTGCACTATATCACAATACCTGTAGGCTTGCTACAAAGTTGAGCTGACCATACTGAGAGCTCTTGCTCTGGGGCTGCATTTGTCAGAAGACTATCTGGTTCAGTTTCATGCCGCTCCAGATAATCAACTTCGGCTACTTCATTATCCCAGGTACGAGTCGTCTATTGTTGGGCATCGCAGAACACCAATTTACCCTCGATCCAAAGTGTACCGCTGTCACAGTTGAAAAACGATGAAATTGCCCGCATCGGTGCCCACTCGGATTTCGGCAGTCTTACTATGTTGATGCAGGACAACGCTGGCGGTTTGGAAGTCGAGAATCCGAACAGGCCGGGCGAGTTCACTGTGCGTCGTTAACCAGCTCGCCACGACATATTGGATATTAGCTGATTTGATGTAGCCTGCAACTCCTATTGAAGGCTCCATAATCGTAAACGCGGGTGACTTCTTAATGCGATGTGAGTGTTCATCGAGTCTGGACTGTGATGTCAGATCTAGATTATTCATTTGCAGGGTCTAACGATACAATTAAGAGCACTGTCCATCGTGTTCGTGCGCCTCCCAACCTCGTCTCGGCCGATGGTATGACACCAGAACGCTACTCTATTCCCTACGTATGTGATCCAGAATTGTCTGATCCTAACGATTATTTATTTTCTCACGTCTAATTTCGATGTCAACAGTTTAGCTCCGCGGTAAGAGAATCTTACCTTACCATGACCTTCGCCTATAATTATGATTTCGACAGGACTACACTAAAACAGTGGATTGTCTTCCTGGGACATACTCGGCTGAGAACCCGAAGAAGTATGAAGCGATTTCCGTAAGTTTTGTACGATCAATTTCTCAGAATTGTTACTCATCCTTGAATAGGCTAAGCAGTATATCTGGCAACGCCTTGCGGCTACGTACTGAGAGTCAGAACCAGTGTGATCTGTTGTGCTTGACGTCGTGTCCGTCAATGGTCTCTGATTTCGAATAGCTTCCCACTCTTGCTATTTTGTATCTTAATCAGTTTGACGTAGGTCACAATCTCGAACCTTCACTGGACTTCAGATATAAATACATGCATCGAATTAGTGCGGGTGAGACTAGCCGTTTCCGTCGTCCCGTCCACTTCATGGAGCTCCGGATTCCAGATTACATGTGCTCACGCGCTGTGAGTCTGTGGGCAGTCTGTGGGCTCATAGGATTCACTTGGAACTTTGAGCTTTGAGACTTGCCGGTCGAACTGTTCGGTGTTCCGCGATCGATGGCGTCAGCGAGGAATCACGTGAGGAGACATTATTCGTTCGCTGCATTTGCCAGAACTCTTCCGACCAACTTCCGATTTCCGATTACTACAGCCTCGGCAACGGTGTATGTTCTTGAGATTTTGCTACTCACAAACATCGCACGCATTCGTTCAGGCTAGGTCGTCAATTTATATATTGTGACTGAGCATCTGTGACACAACCGATTATCTCTTTGGAGCGAAATGCCTACAATCCAGAGTGCACGAGGTACTAAAAGAAAGAGAGCACCAGAGACAGAACAGGTATGCCATGATTGATTCTACACTGAGCTCGCGTGATATATAGTACTTCCTCAAACAGGAAGACTTGGCTCAAGTGTTATCGGGAAAATTGGTCCGTGAGGCGTTCTGCTCTAGTGTGGGGGACTGAATCCATATTATTTCAAGCATCATGGAATAAAAGAGGTGCGGAAAGCTGCTAAGAAAGCCAGGACGTTCGAGACGCGCAAATTGGTGCAGAAAATCAAGTCGCTCAGGTTAGTGACTATCTGGCCAAACGTCATTCATCTACTTAATCCACCATCACCAGAACGAAGGATCCAGTGGCCAATAGAAAATTGATCGAGGACCACGAAACACAATTAGAGGCTGTCAAGGTGCCCTTGATATTATCTTTTCTGCATTGCTTACTTATGTGGTGTGAGCTGCTTCAGCGCTTGAATCATGATGCCATCGCCAACCAAGCTCTCAGAACCAAATTGCACAAGGATCGAATATTATCTGGGAGCACTCATATTCAAACAGCTGTTGGGGTTGAGTTTCCCCCCCATGTTTTACTCAGACCCTCGGCTTCCAGATCAGTGGCCGCGAAAGTTGAAACCCGTCTATTAAGTTCGAAGATCGTCGCTGCTGAGATAAATGCCGTCCTTCTTGCGCTTAGAGAGACTCTAAATCCTGGATCCAAGAAGCTACAAGTGGATGCGACAGAAACCCATGATGACGATACAGTGCATCTACCGAAACCAGGTGATACCAAATCCCATGTCCGAGCTATAGATAGCGATGAAGAGAGCTCAGGCTCACATGATGCACAAGAGCAAGGACTGGGCTGGGAATCTGAGTCTGTAGAGGGCGGCGATCCTGGAGATGGTTGGGAATCCGGATCGATTGACGATTCTCGTATCCGGATCCAAGATACTTCGAGTAATGATGGCTCTGACGACGACGGAGACGAAGATTTCCCTCATCCTTCGGAGTCGCCAGCACATAGCGATGCTCTAGTAATTGATAGCATGACCAGGAAAGCAGCAACTTCGGTCTCAACCTTGAAGGATGCCAAAGACAAAGCGAAGTCGAGGGGAGAGTCTACCTTCCTACCTTCGCTCTCTGTTGGCTTCACGCGAGGGGACTCCGATGCTTCCGACTGGAGCGATGGCGAGGCCAATATCGCGGATGGCGGCCGCAAAAACAGGCGCGGACAGAGGGCCCGGCGTGCGTGCGTGGCTTTCGCTCCTCCGTGTTGATTGCGATAGCTGATCGTTTTGGCCCGCAGTATTTGGGAAAAGAAGTATGGCAAGAATGCGAATCATGTCAAGAAGGGGCGCGAGGCTGTTTCCTCTACGCATGCTTCTCGCACATCCACGACGCGAGTTGGACACAAGGATCCTCATGTTGCGGGCGCCCCCCGCAATGCTTCAGCTTCGAGCGCCAAACCCGCATTCAAAGCGCCGGCGAGTGATAATGGGTGGTCTAAGAATACACAGATAGCGGCAACAGCACCCCCTGCGCAGGTGACGGCAAGGCGAACTGACGACAAACCGCTGCACCCTTCGTGGGAGGCAAAGCGAAAGCTTAAGGAAAAGATGAACCCAAGCATCTTACCGCCGCAGGGGCAGAAGATTGTTTTCTGAAATTCATGGGCTGACACCGCCGCAGCGTGTTTACGTATGGTGTCGTTCCTTGTTCATGTTTTTGATTGCTCATCCCCAACATCCACGTATAGTATTATTTCAGCTTTGTATTGTCTCGGGTTTCCCAAATGATCTAAGCGACCTTCAAAGGTGTGATTGAAGCTCAGCACTTTTTGCTCATAATGATATCACTTCGCAGAGTAGGTTGTTTATCTATGTTGTTGCGAACATGTGGTAGATCCATAAGTAAGTACAGTAAGTTTTGGCAAAAGAAGCAATCATATAAATTTGCAGGGCACAATTATAGAAATATACATGAGATCGACGAATGGTATGTAAGATCACCCCAATTCTATGATATGATACATCAAGGTATAGACAAGCATAGACATCAAATTCACCAAGAAACCAGTCATCAACATTCACATTTGCTTACAGAGATGTCGTTTTCCCCCACTCGCCCCCAATCTGCATTCTCTCGAACACCACATTTCATTGCATCTCGGGCAGCAAGGGAAGTTTGACCCTTTCTTTCGGCAAGTTGCGCAATAAGTCTGCACTTTGAACTTGGACGAGTTCTCTAAGGATTCGAGAACCGGGTGCAGTCCCTGATTCAAAGGCTTGGGTGATGGAGAGTGTTCGCGTGCCGGGGTTGGCGGTCCGGCGGAAGATGGCGCAGTAGGGAAGTACTCGGAGCCTGTGTATGACGACGGTGTGCGACAGATAGAAGGTATCACCTGCGAGCCGGGGGGCATAGGCGAACCATCCCACGCCGAGGTGTCGCATATCGCATCGTTGGCACGGGACACACCGGATTCGCTACTCGGGCGACTCATAGATGATAATGCCAGAGGCAGCCTAGCAGCCAGGATTAGGCGTAGGCTGTGACGAGAGGGATTAGTTGGTGCGAAAGAACCCAATGTCTCCATCTCGTTCTCCGGTGTATGCAGGACGGCGGGCGCTGGGGTAGGAAGTGAGATGATGGAGGCAAGTGGTGAAGGCGGTGGCGAGCTATGTCCGTATCGCACCCAGCAATGTGAGGAATCCACAGAGGAAAGGGCCTTTCGCCTACGGCCAATACGATGCCGGCCATGTTCAGGAGCGTAGTCTAGACGTTGCAACGTCGCTAAAGTCTCCGATCTGGGGCGCGGATGAACAGAACGCACATTCTGGTAGTCTCCGTCTGCCCCAACCTGAGTAGAAGCTCCAGAAAGCAGGGTAGTTTCTCGGGAATACTTGGGCCATTTGTAACAAATCCCGGACGTGGTGGGATGACAAGGGCGAATGTCACTTGAGTCATGGCAGTTTCGGGGAGTTTGGACCAGAATCTCATCGGTAGATTTGCAATGAGACTGGAGGATCGTGGATGAGATATCTGCACTGCTTACAGACGCAGAGCTGTTGTGTGTAGGCTGGATGAAAGCCATGAGCAAAGCTCTTAGGGGCTACAGGAGAAACGTACACTGCCGAAACAAGTTTGACACAATGGAGCGGGCATTGAGTCTTTTGAAACGCTGGACAAGGCCTGCCTTCCGCTTTATGAACCGTCTACGATGCAGTTAAGTAAAAAGTTCTTACAATATTGTGTCACACGACCAAGAGATGCTCGCAAATAGCCACCGTTTCGCTTGCCGTAAATATCAAACTTTGTTGTAGCTTCGATCAGAAACTAGGCTAGAGTATAAATCTGAGGACAGCGCTAGTCCCAGTGCCAGGGATGTAGAATGAATGTCTGTTCACAACCGAGCCCGAGTTACAAGACAGATAGTCCCAGATAGCAGCCAAATACGTATCTGGGGTGCCAAACGCCACTGAGTGCTTCTGGCCGACTCCAGAGAATAGATAAGCGGGCCAAAAGAGAAGGATCACGGTCCGAGCAGCGGATTGTTCTTATGGGAAGCAATACACGGAAAGAGACCAGGGTGGTGGCAATAGGTATCTCAAAGGTACAGTATCTCAGTCTGACGACGTTATGCCCAGCTCACACGAGTATTTGTCCCAGGCCTGCCAAGACATCTTATCAGATATAGAATGTTATGTAACCCCAACAACTCGCGCTATCGAACGCTCAACCGGTGACTTATCGGGTTTGAATGGATAAGTAAAGCCAAGATGCAGGTTTTGAATAATGTATTAGATACTATTCAACGCTGAAGAAATCAGTGTTAATCGCTGGATTCTGCTTTTTATATCAGAGCACATGAGAAGAGCAAGGCGGCTTTCGTAGATTGGGAATCCTTCCCTGGCACATGTGCCTTGCCCCATTGCTTCCTTGGATTCGGCAGTCTCTCGAGCACCACATCTCCCCGCACTTCGAACAACTCGGGAAGTTCGAACCAGGTCTTCCACAGGTTACGCATTTAGCTTGAACTCTGAATCTTGAGGCATGCTCTAGGTCCGCTAAGGTGGGCCGTATCTCCTGTAGGAGAGGTGAATGACTTTTAGGGGTCGCCGGTGCCTCCGAGGAGGGAGCGGTTGAAAGCGAATCGCAGGAGGACGCGCGGCTAATGGACCTGGGAATGGAGACGGGATGATCTCGTTCCGCTGTCACGATTTGGGTGTCGACCTGAGGGTGCACGTTTAGATCGTCGGGCCTTGGCGGAGAGGATGAGCGCTGCTTTCCATGAATGAGCAAGCCACGTAACGATTGCTCTACGTCGTCTACAGTGAAATAAGAACCGGAGGCAGGATGGGATTCCAGGTCGATTGCGGAAACGGGATCGGTCTTTAGAGTGTGTGACGGCCAGCTTGATCCCAATATCGGCGGTGTTAACAACGATAGGCATCTACTTCTCGACGAGCGAACCGAAGCAATGGAAAGCGTTGTCCCTCGGCGGCTGTGTCGTGCCTGTCCACCCTGTCTTTGTAGCGGCGGTAGTCCACCAGGCTGGGTCGGCCATTAGATTGGGCGAAGAGCGCTATGGAGAAGTGCTCACCTCTGGTAGCCCTGCGGAAGCCGAGGTCGATGTCGATGTCAGATGTTCGTGCACATGGTGGTCAGCGGTGCAGGCTGGAACGGTCGTGTGAGACAGCATAGCCAGAGTTTGTAGATACGTTCAATCTCACCTTGACGGGGCAAGCAGCATAGTTGATGCAGTTGAGAGCTCTCGCCTATCTCCCGTAGAAAGTCTTCAAAATGGCTCCGTGGGACCGTCTTTGAGGGCCAAGTATGATACAACCTCTGCGATGGATGTCAGAATATCTTCGTACGGTGTTAGAGATGGCATACCTTGACCCTGGGTCGCTGAGGTAGGGTTGTATGCGCAGCCATCGAAGGAGCAGCGGGATTGGACATTCAGGAATCCTACAAGGGTGCAGTATAAGTTTGTCTGCCATACCGGATTATATCTCTGTACGCAAAGTCTTGGTGCTCTGCAGCATGGACGATCACACGAGCAGTCCAGAGTCTAGCACTCGTGTCATCACAGAAGCCCTGACGAGTTACGGTGGCAATCGGATTAACTGCGGAAATTCCAGATGAGGTCAGTCGACAAGGCAGATCTAAGAAAGTTGCCTGACGCAGTATAGCTAGCGGTTTGACCGATAATCAGGACTTGGAGAACTCAGCATGGCCACACGCTTGAATCATTTGAAAACCGCATTGCAGAAGAGCCGTTTGCAACGCGCATAACGCTTGGGTATCGACTGGAGGGCTAAGGAAAAAATGGATCAGGCCTGGATGCTTCCTGCAGGATTGCAGGTGACCGCAAGGTGGCCGAATCGTAGGATGACCAGCCAGCGCCACCGAGTCGCGGTCACAGTGATCTGGGATCAACCAAACTGAAGTGGGAAATACCGAGGATTAAACCAACCTTCAACTGGCAACACAAATGTCAATTTGCGCACAAGGTCACAGGATCTCCCTTCCCTGGTGACAGTATGCTCTGACTTGTACTAGTGAAACCTGTACATTCTGGCAACTGGCGGCATGGTATGAAATCTTTGTGGCATTTGGTGCTCGTGTGACCTGCACACGCTCAGATCGCCACAACCCGGGCCATGGCCTTACATTCATTTTACGACAGAGAAACGGGCCGTATCATATACCACAGCCTCTCTATGTCCGCTATGCAGTGCTTGGCCATGTCGTAGTGCTCCAGTTGAGCCCCGTAAGCATCATGTGAACCGCTGCTTCCGTCTACTTTGTGCAGTGCGCGCAATACGGTGCCACCCATGGCTATCCTTTATTGGAGATCAACTCAGCGCGAATATCCCTAATTGTCCCGGGCAGTCTGGGGTCATATTGTCTCAGGGTAATTGGCTTGACGAAAAACGGTGCGGTAATTGTCTTCCCTTGACCATGTGGTGATAACGTTGCATGCCCTTCCTAGCTAGTGTAGGATATTTTTAACGCTCCTGAGTGAGAAAATGTCAATAGTGCAAGGGCTCCTCTGAACATGTCTGTTCGAGTATATTCTGGTAAACAGCAAAATTGTAATGTCTAATTTGTTTTTGAAAAGGACAATGGTGGCAGATTCTCCAGGACGCCTACCCTGGTGGTATGCATACAACATATATCCACCGGTAATATTGAATCGTGAACGTACCTCGCCGATCCCCTGCTACGGCCCCGCATTAGCACCCTTCAATTACAGCTTGCCCACATGATAATGGTCCAAACGTGCGTTCATCTAACAGACACCTTGCTATCGCTAGTCAAGATGGGCTGGATATAGTTGCGCCACTTTACGCTGGGCCAAAGTCTGCTGCAGATCGTCTCAGCTAGTAAATTACAATCTGTGTGAATTATTATGCTTCTCACGTTCGTATTATCTGCTCCTTTGCAGTTCATATCGTGCAATCCCTTCATACAATCGCCGGTTCCAAAGAGCTTAGCGGTGATGTCATTACTCCCACCGTTGTTGATGCTCTTTCTGCATCCTACTGTAAGTGTGGTCTGGATGAGGGCAGATGTGCGTAGTCATTGTTCATGCAGCTCGCTACGTAGTACAGCCCTCCACCGCGATTTTTACAGTTGCTTGCAATGATGAGATGACTCTCCCCTGTGCCCATTATGAATACATCGTTATTCAATAGCTGTATGGTGGTGTGTCGTGTACTAACCACTCGTATGGTAGATGCGGTGATGCGCGCACGGTATATCCAAATTTCACTGAGACAGGTCCCAAATTTAGATTTGACCACTGCAGCATGCAGCTAACACATGCATCTCTTCACTGCTGTTAGGCAGTGGCTTTCATCAGTGCAACATATGATAGGTGTAGCTTGAACTTGCGGATGTTTATAATGACACTGAAGAGGAGGAGTTGTTTTGGCTCTCACTGCCAACTGGCCACCGCGAGCGACATATTAATGTGACATATCACGTGAATTTATCACGTGATATATGTCACGAGAATCGAACCGATTTCCTAATTTATTCATCTTCGAGTCGTTGCGGCAACGGTCATGGACGAAAGCCACAATCCATCCATAGCAAAGGACACACCCACTCTCACTACTCTCATCACACCTTCAACCTCGCCTCCCAGCTCTAGAACTTATACCAAATCTCATTCTAGATCCTTAGACAGGGCGTCGTCGACAAAGCGATCACGACTTGCATCGACCCCCTCGAGGTCTTCCACCCTAAGTTGCACCTCTAGTTCGACCGCGTATACCGTGGACGAGGTGCTCGAAAGCAGAAAGACTTCAGACCAGAAATTGGTTGCTTTTTGGGCTCAGTTGGGTGAAAGATATAATCGCCCCCTCGCTGAAGATGATATTATAGATCTCCGGGATGGCTCTATAGTCAAAGATCGTGGTATCTTGCGTGGGCTATCTAAAAAATACGTGGGTTATTTCGGCGGCGACCAACCATCCTCGGACCTCAATGACGTGAATAGCGACGCGGGTGGTGCCCAAACGGATGACGACGCGGACGAACTTGACGCCTTTGCTCCAGAGGAAGACATTTCGAACGAGTTGAAATTGGAGCGGGAAAAGTTGCAACATAGCCGTGCGCGTAATGTCGATCCCGCTGCTGCAGAAGACTTGCGGGAATTCTTGGCAGCCGAGGAGCGGAGAAAGGCTCTGTATGGCAGCCTGGATGACGATGAAGCTAGCGACGGAAACCCTCCAGCGAATGAAGACCATAATTCTCCAGACGCAGAAAATTTCAAGGAGCATTTCGAGGAGTACGAGGAAAGGCTCAAGAGTAGCGAGGATGATGCCGTGAATTCGATTCCAGTTGCTGGACATATCAGACGTCGCAGTGTACGTCCAGCTCGCACTCCTGCTAACCCTCTTCGCATCACCGGCGACGAGTCAGATGATGAGTTTGCAGCTTGGGCTTGTAACGAATCAAGCCCCGTCAAGCGGAGCAATCCGCTTCCCAATTCTTCTGACGATATTATTGACCTCACTGATTCACCCCCTTCTTCGCCCCTTCCGCCTCCCATACCCGTACGCCGCGCGAGATCAAGACACTCTTACGATAGACGCAACAGATCGTCGCCTCCCCCAAAGCCATTGACTCCTTCACGTTCTGGCTCGTTGTCTCGAGCAAGTTCCGAAGCTCCTGTTCGTCAACAGGTAGCTGTACTCCACTCTATTCCGTCTGCCTCAATGAACAGGCAGCTAGTTACGCCGCCGCTCTCGTCTTCATCCATCCTTGACGGATCTCCGGATCTCATGCGGCCCACGGTCCCAAGGATTTCTCCCTCTTTGTCGCCTTCACCACCCCCACCTCCACTACGACCGCGACCTCGACCTTTGTATAAAGGGTCAAATTCAAGCAGTGAACATGCTGTGACAAATGTTGAAGCTAATCATCTACTTCCTTCCACCGATTTGCCTGATTTACCACCGTCCAACCCTCTGAAGGCTCTGACGCTGCCGTCGAAGCCAAGGTTGATACCTGAGGTCGTGGTCACTCTAAAGCCTAGGAATACTGCTTCTGGTGCTTCAACTCGTCCTTCATTACGAGATGTAGCCGGCTTGAATGACTCCGGGCATTCCTCCATTAATTCAACATCTTTGCAGAAAGATAAGGGGAAGAAGGTTTTTTCGCAACTTGATGCAGCTGAGGCTGAAGAATCAGAAAATAAGACTAATGACACACCGACCGGACTCAGCGCCTCGAATTCCATAGGGGTGAAGAAAACTCCGCCTCAGGAAGATATGCAATCCCGAATAAACTCTGCACCCTCTGTAAAGGGTCGTAAACGAAAGCGAGTTATATCTTCATCTTCTGTATCGGGACAATCAGTCCAAGAGGGATACAGTTCCAATCTGGCTTCAAATAGTTTGCCGCATAAGGAGCGGGCAAGCAGTTCTGGGCGGTCTTCTCATCGACGAATGGCTGAATATGAGCGTTCAGACGACGAAAGTGGTACGCTGAATTACTATCGGCCTGTCCCTTCTGTCCTGAACGTACTTCTCGACATCCAGACAATTCAGATCACCACGATAAAGCCTCGTTTGACACTCGATCTCGTACCACACTTGTTCCTCCGCCCATTCCATTCAGCTCATACCTCCCTCATATGCCTTTCCCGCTGCAGCACAATCCTCACACCCATTTTACCCCTATGGGGCATGATGCGCAAGTCGAAGCACGAATTGCACAGTCTGTACTGTCATTTTTATGGAATGCTGCTGCGGGTCTTCCCCCCGGCTCGGGACATGCAATCCCGTATCCTTCATTTTCCCCACAAACAATGCAATGGCCGCCTCAGACCCCGCATAAACGTCGCAAGTCACGGCATCGTATGCAGTCCGAGGTACCGTCATCCGATGGTGCTGGCCCGTCGATGCCTTCATCCATGTATTCAACTCCATCACATCCGCACCCATATCCGTATTCCTACGACCCATCTTTCTCTCGAGCAACTTTGCCACCATCATCGCCGCCAGAATCGTTGAGATCCTCATCTCCAGCCCCCGCGGAGCGGTCGCGAAGTCAATCGAAGGCTCGGGGCCGCAGGGTGTCATTCAAGCTGGATGACGATGATAGACAAAGCAGTCCGACGGATCGAGGGACGAAACAGAGGAGGGGCCGCACACCCGGGCCACTTTCATAGCGAGACGCTTTTAATAGAAAGAAAAAACGAGGTCAGTGAGGGTAGATTATGAATTATGTTATTTAGACGGCTCCATTTCTGTTTGGTGTCGTCATTTAGTGAAGGGGTTTAAGCATTGTGACCGCAGACCAGGTGTCTTGCTTCACTGTGGTCCAAAATATCTGTAGTTCTGGTTGTAGCGATAATGATATTTATTATCGGACGAACTGCGCAACTGGCAGAATGTCGCCATACCTCTGGGAAATGATTCCAATTCCCTTCCTCTACATTGTTTGATTGTATATATTTGCATAATATGAGGACTGCAGGGGATCGGAATGATCATTAATCATGGATCCTGTACTACTGGGCGGTGGCAATGGGCGACCAATGAATGCAAAGGACCCCGTTAGTACCAGATTAGGCATCGTCGCTTGCGGCGCGACCCCACGATTTTCCAAACACCGCTGCTTGCCTTGACTCTACTACCATCCACACGACTTGCTGGGCTCCTCTTTCTTAGATCTTAAATCTCTGCCACAACTCTGTTTTGGTACGCGGCTATCGTAATCGATATTGCGTTTCAATCCCGCGAATCGCATTGCAACTGGCCGTCGATATTTCGCGCATCGTGATTGAAGACAGCCATGGTAAAAGACCAACCATTACATACGAATGTCACGATAAAAAAATAATGCAATAAAATTTACAGGGGCAAATCTTATCGCAGCCTGGTTCGTGTTGGATGAGCCATCTGATCACGAAAATCTCATTCATTGTCTCCGTTTAGAGACCGACAAGAAGTCAGAAAAGGGAGGAAATCACAAGTTCTACTATGCCGTGTCAGAGATGCAAGGCTGGCGGTCCTGTAAGTCACACTCGTGCCTCCTGTGATGGCTGCTTGTCTCTTGAGGTGCCAAGAATGCTGTCTCAGAGGGCCAGAGCAAAATTTCCCCCCGTGTTCCAGATGAACCTAACATATTTTCGTCTTGAAGCTATGGAGGATGCGCATACTATCGCCTTGAGTCTTGATCAAGATCAAGGCGAATCCAATACATTCTTTGCTGTTTATGATGGCCATGGCGGTACGTTATTATTATCGAGGGTTATGTTCATTTGTCTTATCCTTTACTTTTGTCAGGCTATGGCGCTTCGCAGTTCTCCGGTGAACGCGTACACCAGCATTTAGTCGCCACTGATGCATATCGGAACAAGGAGTACATCGCCGCACTAAAATCCGCATTTTTGGAAACTGACGAAGACATGCGAACGTGTATGTTTTAAAATCCTCTCAGCGCGATGATGTTTAATCATGCGATAATCCTCAGCCTCAAACTATAGGCGAGATGGCTCCGGTTGTACCGCCGTGGCTGCGTTAGTCACGACTGAGGGCAAGCTCTATGTTGTACGTCCAGTCACGAGTCATGCAATCCGATCCCATTTTGAAAATTCTTAATGTAGGCCAACGCTGGAGACTCTAGGTCCGTGTTGAGCAACAAAGGCGAAGTGGTGCCTCTTAGCTTTGACCACAAGCCGCAGAACGAGAGTGAGAACCACTACCTTGACACCATCTTTGCAGACTCGTTGATTTTTTTCACGTGTTGTAGCTGAGAAAGCTCGTATATGTGCAGCAGGCGGTTATGTTAGCTATGGTCGTGTCAACGGCATGTATTTCTTCATTGCACATGAGGGTCAAATTGACCTTTATGTGAGCAGGCAATCTCGCTCTTGCGAGGGCTCTGGGCGACTTTGACTACAAAAGGAACAAAGAGCTTCCACCTGAGGCTCAGATTATTACCGCTGATCCAGAGATTACCGAGCGTGATATCACTGATGATGACGAATTCTTCGTCGTTGCGTGTGATGGTGAGTGATATCTGTGGAAATCTGACAATAGGATTGATATGGTTTGCTTTTAGGTATCTGGGACTGTTTGTCATCACAACAGGTTATCGACGTTGTCCGGAGGCTTGTCGCTCGTGGAAAGGAATTACAAGAGATATGTGAAGAGATATGTGAACTATGTCTTGCACCTGACACGAACGGCGGCGCGGGAATTGGCACTGACAATATGACTATCCTCATCGTTGCAATGTTGCATGGTCGCACCATCGAGGAATGGTACTCCTGGGTCAAGCAAAGAGTAGACAAAGGTTATGGCTATCATACCCCCCAGGACTTGCCGCCGATATATTCACAAGTGAGGTTATCCGCTTTTCGACGTCGACGAGAAGTGTGGGAGAAGCGCCGACGAGAGCCTAAAGCTTTGGCTGGCGAACCGGACGACAGTTCCTGGCTCAAGGCCTACATCCTCGATGCCGATGGGACCATAACTCCCGATTATCGTTTTATGCCTCGCCCCACTGCACTCAACCAATCCCAGATAGACAACAGTCAGCCCCCAAATAACAACGAGAGTGACGGTAAAACTATTCAGCAAGAGGAGGATGCCGAGAGCACATCTAGCGATGAGACCATACGTCCGGGAGAAGGTGATATTGAGGATGAGGATGAGACCGAGGCCGACAGGCAACGTGTACGTGACATTCGCAGTCAGGATGCTACGCAGAGTCTCCGGCAACAAGTGGATGAGTTGGAGCGGGACGAGATGGATCAGGATATGGCGCAAATCTCATCGAAAGGCGCCTCAACCCTGCAGGGTGAAGCTCCACCACCGCCGAAGCCGTCGGGCAATAATGGGCCCGAAATTAAACAATTTGAATCACTTCCTGGCGGCGATGCACCTAGCGATGCCGTCAAGGCGGAGGGGCTAATAGACTCGAGTGAAGGCCCTTTCAAACTTTAGCCGACATTGATACTTTGGTTGGTTTATTTCTTCTGTCTATGCATGCTTGTCCATCATCGCTTTCTTTGATTCAAGTTCCTCTCACGTCTAGTTTCATGTCACTTCAGTTGTCAATACCGATGTACAACCACTCTAGTCTATAAGGGCTGCTCGCTTACGGAAGAGGTTAACAGCTAATGACGGTCTCCGTTGTCTGTACATGTGCTTTTTGTCAGTATATTCACGATTTGCAGTAGCTAGAGCATAATGTATTTCTGGGGTTCATAGGACATCATGCAGCACGATCATCTCTCCTTCACAGAGGCAGAGGATAGCAGTCTTACTTTCGGACATTTGTTGAAGGCCGATGCCTAACAACGAACCAGCTGATCCGCCGCCAACTTTTAACACAGCCTGTTTCGCCCATTTCTCTTGAGGTGCGATACCACGATAGATGTATACGTTCCCACCGAGATCGAGTGATCCACTTTCAAACGCGAATACGGCGTGCGACGAAACGTGATGTGTGAATCGTGTATCGCGCTTCGACGCAAGGACGAAGGAAAGAGCGGAATAGGTTGACGTGTGCGCCCATGCTGGGGCGTCGTCTGCATTGCTCCCCGGACACAGTTCGTACAACACGCCATCAAGCCCATTCTTCACCACCAGCGCGGGCGGCCCCTTCCAATCTACGCCTGGGAATGGTGTCGACAGCAGGTGGACAGGAGCATCGTCGCTATGATCGTATAGCGGACGCGAGCCGTCCATGCGAACCCAGGTGAGATACACAGTACGGCCGACGCCTAAATCCACCTCATCGTCCATCTCGTCCTTCCCGAGACTAGGGACACCGCTGCCGAGCCCCAGCCCACTCGTGTCCGTCCCGTCGCGCAGGGCAGCCGTGTACTTCTCCAGAGACTCGCGGATCGCCCACAGCTCGGACGGGTCGAGCGTCTCCGAGACTTCTATATCCTCATCTGATGTGTTCTCGACGCTGGACGCGGCCGGGCGCGTTCCAGCAGCGGCGAAGACCTGCGCCCAACGCGTGCCCTCGTGCGCCTTGTCGAGGTGCAGCGTGAGCACGCCGTACCGGTGCTCTGCCTCGCGATCCCATGTCCAGAAGCTCGTGCTCGGCTGGATACCATCCCACAGTGTTTTCATATCATACCTCGGAAGTTTCACGTGTGTGAGGTTGTCCGACTCACGATCACTGAGGGAGGGGTCTCCGCGGACGAAGAGCGTCAGCGTGTGCGGCGAGAATGACGCCCTGATGTTCTCCTTTTGGGTCGATGACGGCAGGGGAATTGCCACCGTAACAGAGTCGGTCGTCTGCGTCCATGAGTAGGGTGGAGGCTTCTGTGACTGAGCGGCATCGAGATTTTCCCCGGCTCTGGGAATTGGCGCGATCTCGTCAGGAGACGGCTCATACAAAGGCGCGGCAACAACGCCAATCGGGCGGTATGATGAACCGCCTACAAGCATGAAAGACTCTCTAACCGCGTCAAAGGTAGTATACACAGGAACGTCTTGTCCACGGCGATGCCATAGGATGTCCAAGGCGAGAGGCGTATTGGACGAAGACGGAAGCGGGAGGTCGAACTGGACAGCCCAAATGTCAAACTCGGCTGCCGCTTTCATATGCCCCCGAGAGGAGCCATTGAGTTGATCTGCATTCGTATCTTGTGGATAATATTTCGACGACAAGATTAAGATCGCTTTCTGTGGCGTTGGTAATGCTGCCTGGTGAATTCTGAAGGGCACCACAGCCTGCGATGATCCGTAAATGGCTGGTATCGACAACTTGAAAGTGCCTGAAATCTCTGCGGGTGCGGAACTGACAATTCGCAGAGCATATAAGAGCCCGTGGCCGTCGGCGACAAAGAGGGATGACGAATCCAGGAATGCGGCAGATGGATACTCCCTCTGCAAAGACTGTGTCTCCGGAGACTCGACTGATTTAGGTAACTCGCATACGGGATGGAATGAAGGCACGAGAGTAGCCTACTTTTGTCCAATATCGAGGAATCGGTCAGCATAGGCCCTGTATGAAGCGAAAGCATGTCACTCACCTCATCCAAGCGGACGCAGACAACTCTCAAGTCGCCGTCAACGTAGACCGCAGTTCCATCTGGCGAGAGTGCGAGATGGTTGTGTGATATCCTGCTTTGGACCTCTTGGAAGGTGACATAGGAGCGGCCGGAGACGTTCGTCTGCGAGAGTTTGAATGGGAGAGGGAACCGTGATACAGCCTCCTCTTGAGATAGTGGCGCAAGTTTGTAACCGTCAAACTTTGGATTCAAAAGGGCACGATCTGGCTTGAATGTGGACATTGGGCTGGACATTAGAATGCAGGGATGATGGCAAAAGAGAAACCTGTAGAATGTGTAGCCACTGCTTTGCGGACCGAGGCATGCCCGAACCCACGGTCCGAGCTTGTGATGACTCTAACGTTGACGAGCGACTCTTGAAAGCACTTATTGGCAACGACCGGGATGTCACCACCCTTCCCTATCTCAACCCATGGCCGTGCCATCCGAATTCGATTCAAATGCCCTGCACAATATCCAAGCCTTGGTCTTTGATCTAATGGGAACCTGCACCGACTGGCACACCTCCGTCGTCTCCGCGATGCGGCAGCACCCCACACCGCCCCCACTGACCGATGCGGACCTTCCGCCGCTTGCGCTCGCCTGGAGGGCAGGTTTCTTCCATGCGATATTCGCATCGTTCGACGCAGGCGAGGCTGCACCGGACATCGATATCGTGCACGCGCAGGTGCTCGACGCGCTCCTGCATGCGCGGGGTGTCGGGCACGATGTGTGGGGCGCAGATGTGAGAGAGAGTCTGGTGCGTGCGTGGCATGTACAGCAAGGTGTGCAGCCCACTTCGGTCTTTCTTTCAGCACGGTGCGAATAGTGCTCCTCCGCATTCCAGCCTGGCCAGATGGTGTGCACGGAATCGAGAGACTCAAGGGACGCTGCATGGTGTTTGTATCGCAGGACGCGTCTCATAATTTCGGCACTAATCATCTACCATCAGAGTTGTCCTGGCGAACGGTACAACTCGACTCCAGCTTGATATCGTCCGCTCGGCACACTTGCCATTTGACACACTCTTCTCCTCTCAGCTCCTCCAAGCCACCAAGGCGCGTCTTCCCACAGTGTCCTTCATGCATCTGACCCTGGGGCACTTACCGAACGCATAGCCGAGCCCCGAGATCTACCTGAAGGCTCTTGCCTTGCTGGGGCTCCGCCCAGAACAGACGGCAATGGTCGCTGCGCACGCGTACGATTTGCGCGCTGCAGCAAACCTGTGCGTCTGGTGTTATGTGATAAGTTCTCGGCGATGCACTCACACATGTGGCAGAGGGATGAAGACAGTATATATACAGCGCCCTACCGAAGACCCAGAGGAAGACTTGAACGCGATCAGAGCTAATGTTGACGTCTTCATCGACGGGACGGGGGTCGAGGGGGGATTGCTAACATTGGCGTCTCTGCTGTCCGTATAATGATCACGCGAAGTCTGCTCTGGGACTCGATAGTCCTGTGGGCGCAGGCGAGCACACGCCAGACCCACGAAGTGAGAAATGGTCGTCATTTCCATGCGTATGTAGAGCAAGGGACACCGAATGCGCAGAGATGAGGACACTGATACTCATAACTATAGAAATACACGCACTGAGCCATGATATACATCGTAAAATCCTTCCTGAATTCAGGTTATCCTATACCTGACAGTAGATATGCGTCCTCTGCGCCGACGCCAATCATGAATACATCCCCGAATAATCGTGACTGTCTGTCTCATGCTCATGCTCGTGCTCGTGCTCATGCTCGTCCCCCTCCTCGCGAGCCTCTGTAGTCTCCTCGCGTCTTGGCGCACTCGAGCGCAGACGCGCTTCCGACATGACCTCGGCAGATGGCGCAGTACGCGCAAGCGCGCCAACGAAGGCGCGCACGATCGAGGGCATGTTGGCGGGCATTTCGAGCGACTGAAGGAATGTTTCGATATCGATGGGGGCAGTGGCGAACTCGTCGGTGAGGTCAAATGCGTCGTCGAGTTGACCAGTGGAGCTGCGCGAGATAAAGGGGCGGCGGCAGGTCGGACAAGTATTGCGCTGTCAAGGCGGCGGTGAGAAGCGGGAGGGGAATCGCGGAGAACTTGAAGATCGCATGTCATTGGAGGGGAGAGAACGGGATACTCACCCCGTTGTGAATCCACATCCGGATGCTGATCGGGAGCGGGAGTGGTGGGACATGTTCATTCGCATCAGACATATTGCATGGGGAACCAGGGACACGTAGAAGTCCTGTTTATTCACAACACTCACTCTTTGCGGCAGAACACATGCCCACACGTCTGGGAGAGACGCGTCACGCCGAGTTCCTCTAGCGGGTGCGCGGGTGAATCCATCGCGAGGGCTGTCTCTTCCTCGGCTAGGATCGCCGGAAAGGGGTTTAGACAAATTGGGCAGGACGAATCTGTGGGCGGGTAAGGGCTCACAGTCAGTCCGACGTTGTATATGGAGTGGATCAGCGCGATCTCGGTTTGCGATACGACCACTCGAGATCTTGGACGTCGCGGAGTGCATACTCACCTGTCTGACCGAGTGCCTCTAGGTCTGTCTCTGTGAGCTTGGGCAGTGAGTTTGCAAAATCTGTTGTTGCACGTCTGAGGTCGCCGAGCCAGCATAATTTAGGCCACTATGAGCATAACGCAAATTGCGGATTCAGTGAATCGGCAGACGCACCGCTCGCTGTACAGGCCATTGAGCATGTCCGCGAAGGCCTGTTCGGGCGGGCCGTTTGCACGGGCGCGCAGAGCATCGGTCATGCTAAGACTCCGAGGGCGATTTGGGGTGGTCATGGCGGGAGGCGTGCACGGCGGATGTGTATCGATGAGGGTTGTTGTCTACGATCGACTTTCGTGGTTCATGCGCTTACTACTGCGCAGAGGAGGGAGAAATCATGCGCAGACGCACTGGAGATAGCGAGCGGGTGGACGCAGCGCGGGCACAAGGCCGAACGAGGGCTGCGCGCAGGCCAAGAATGCGGTCACGTGTAGCGCGTCGCCGACATGGCCCAAAAAGGAAAGGTCGCGATTGCTGCAAACTTCCAGTGTCCCCCGGGCCAATGCTCTAAATCTTCTCTTTGTATCTCAGCCCCAGTCCAGGGAAATGGCTCGCACAGTGCGCATGGATGCAGCATCTCACTATCATTGTCTTATTCTCGGGTTTGACGCAAAATCGTATGTTATGACGGGTGCACAGTGCTCATATGGTGCTGACCTAGTAGTACGCCGTTCCTGGCTGTTGAGCTGTTAGCGGTGAGCTGGTATCCATCTGTCGTGCTACCACAGCTCGAGGATGATTGATTTTATGCTGAAAATTGCCCAGACGACCGAGAGAGTGATCGAGTGCGTGCCCAATTCAGCAAGGCGCGCGTCTTTTGTGTCCCATTGTCCCGCACAGTTGCCCAAACTCCATTCGTGCCCCGCCTTGTCCGATGTCATCCAGGTTTGTCCCCTTTTCATATTTTCTCCCTTGTCCTCCTTAAATAAAACATCTCTTCCGCGTCCCTCCTCCCACTTCCTCCCTTCCGTTCCACCTTCCACCTCCGTTTCCTTCCCTCCAACTCTGTCTTTACGCCAACGTATTCTATATATCGCCATGTTATCCTCCGTTCTTCTATCTATATCAGTACTTGCCGCTGTCGCCCATGCTTTTCCTCATTCTGCTTTCCGGCACAGCTTACCAAAGTTCAAACGTGCCTCGTCCTCTGGAAAGCTCGTTGTTGCCCATCATATGGTCGGCAACACCTACCCGTATAGTATCGATAATTGGGCCTCCGACATTTCTCTCGCTCATAGTTCTGGCCTTGATGGCTTCGCACTCAACGTCGGCTCCGACTCATGGCAGCCTGCCCGAGTCGCAGACGCGTATGTTCCCCTCCTTCAATTTTCTACGCTATCGGCTCATTTTAGCACCTTGTTGATCTCTAGTTACCAAGCCGCACTCAACTCTAACACAGGCTTCAAGCTCTTCATATCCTTCGACATGAGTTCCCTCCCCTGCACTTCCGCCAGCGACGCCTCACTTCTCCGCTCCTACATCACCAACTACGCTACGCACCCCAATCAATTGACCCTTAACGGTCAGGTATTTGCCTCCACTTTCGACGGTTCGGAATGTACCTTCGGACAGAGCAGCCCCACCCAGGGCTGGCAGTCTCAGTTCCTCGGTCAGCTCACTGGCTCGAACGCCGTGCACTTCGTCCCTGCCTTCTTCGTTGACCCAGGGTCATTCACTCAGTTCAATGGTGTTATGGATGGCGAGTTCAACGTACGTCCCCCCCTTTCTTCGCCTCCTGCGCTTCCTATCCTCATGTATGTGGTGTCAACGAACTCAAAAAAATTAAATCACCTCTACAGTGGAACGGTGGCTGGCCTACCACTCTTACGACCTCCAGCGTGCAAGCAGCACTGAGCTCCGCAACATTCACCAACGCGACCGAGAACACACTCCAGGCAGAAATTGGCACCTTCACCTCGGATGCAGCGTATGTCTCCGGGCTCAACGCGGTCAGCGGTTCTGGGAAGACATATATAGCAGCGGTCAGTCCGTGGTTCTTCACCCACTACAGCCCGCAGACTTTCAACAAGAACGTGCGTCGCTCTTTTCCTCCCTCGATCTCTTCTAGTCAATCACATACTGATGATCTCGTGCGTGCGGCACGCAGTGGATATATCTTGCGGATTACTGGTCGTACAACGCGCGCTGGGAGACGCTTGTAAACAACCGTAACCAGGTGGATATCGTGGAGCTTATCAGCTGGAACGATTACGGCGAGTCGCATTACGTCGGCCCTATTGAGGGCGCTCAGCCCGCCGGTACGACTTGGGCGACCGGCTTTGATCACTCCGGTACGTAATTAAAATGGCTTCGTCATGTTGTATTTTGTACGTTGGAAGGGGAAGGTCTTACGCTAGAATAGGCTGGCTCGCGATGACAAACTACTACGCGACTGCGTTCCGCACAGGGCAGTACCCTGCTATCACCGAAGACCAGCTTTATCTCTGGGCGCGCCCCCATCCAAAAGACGCATCCGCGACCTCAGACCCTATTGGAAAGCCCACCAGCTATGAGCTTGTACGTTCCGTTTCCCCCCTCTCTGCTTCTACAATCCTTCCCCTTCCCCTTCCTACCGTCCCTGTCCTACATCAATATTGACTCCGTGGCTCACAGACTGAAGACAAGCTCTGGGCCGTCGTCTTCGCCACCGCACCCGGCACCGTCACACTCTCCTCCGGTTCGAGCACGACAAATGCTTCCGTCCCCGCAGGCGTCACAAAGCTCTCGCTCCCGCTCACACCCGGCAGTGGCATGTCTGGTACGCTCTCTCGGAACGGCGCGACAGTGGTCCAGGTCGCGCCCAGCGCCTCGCAATATACGTTCAATCAGAACCCACAGACGTACAACTACAATGCGTTCGTCGCGTACGCGAGTGGCAGCGGATCGAGCGGCTGAGCGGGATGCTGCGAGTCCTATGTGCTGTGTGCACATGGGAGGCCGGTGATGGTGCGGCTTTCTTAGAGCCCGCTGTGCGGCGCACTAGTGCTTCGCGCATCTCCGAGTCGATGTTTCCTTGATCTTTCCTCGGTTTCTTTTTGTTCTTCCTTTTGACCGGGTTTTCTTCGTTGAGTCATTTTTCTTGGATTTCTGTTCTGCTGGTCTTTCGTAACTCGTAGCTACCGTCTACGACGATCGGCCTTCGCGACGCAAATTGGCCGGGCCGCTGTGTTTTACCGGGCCGATCAGGTTCCATCTTTCGTTCTTCGCTTTTGGGCTTGAGTTTTTGTCGCTGGTGTCGACTCCTTGATTCTGAGTTCTAGTTAATTTATCACATTCTTCTTTCCAACCGACCTGATGTCCATGTGCATCGCTCGCCGTGCGAGATGGTCGCACGCAACTCCCAGCATAGCCGTCATCGCATCTGTATCATTCCATCTGCTAGCCGCAGGGCTAGTAGGCATGTTACCGTAGAAGCCACCCCTAAAAACGTGTTGTACAATTGTTTGTGAACAAATTGTCCCGATCGCATAATATTGTATTCCGGTCCTTTCTATACAATCATGGACCCTATACGACGGGGTGGCGAGCATCCAACTTGATTGAATGACAGTAATCGGATGGTGGCGCAATCCATGGGATCCAATGCACATGGCTGCTAGTGGCTGCTGGTCTCGTACACAAGCTTGTTACTAACATCGCACGAAGTAACGGTCATGAGTGCACTCGTCAACAAGACATCCCCGCCACTGGCTCCGGCCGTTCAACTCATGTCCGCACCCACCTGACCGCTCGCCTCCTCGCGACAATCGTCCCATCCCTGATCGTCGTCCGCGCAAATGAGGGGTTCAGCACGGCCGAGTACACTGTGTCGTTATTGTGCAGCAAAACGAGATTAGCTGGGTCCCCTGGCACCAGACGCAGCGCGCGGGGACCGCTCGTGCCCACCGCGATCTGTGCATTTACCGTCACGGCCTCCTGCAACATTCAGAGTGTCCAATAAGGCCAGAGACCCACGAGAAAAGCAGATGAGCGAAGAGCGACGCACCACGAGCCTCGCTGCGTCCGCTCGCGTCCCGCTCTGGAACAGCGCGACGCCGAGCGGGCACAGTGCCAGCGGATCCAGCACGCCCTGCGGCGTGAACGCGTTCTCGACGTTGTTCACCGCCATCGCCACCGGCAGCGCGTGCACGCGCGCGAGGCGCACGACGTCCAGCGTGCCGCGCGGCCGCGCGAGCTCCCACTGCGCGCCACGGGCCATCATGTACACGTCGCTCGGAGGCAGGCCGACGAGCGCGAGCGGAAGGCCCTCGCCGTCGGGGTGCACCGCATGCGCGAGCGCGGCCCACTCTTCCGCGGAGAAGAGCGTGAGGCGCGTAGCGTGCCCGACGCACACGCGCGCACCAGCGGGCCAGCGTCCTGTGCGCATGCGCGTGCGGAGCTCGTCGAGCACGTACCATATGAGCGGCTCGGCGTCGCGGTCGAGGGTGTAGTCGAGGTGGAAGTCAGCGTGCAGCCCGTGCGTGCAAGCGATATCGAAGATGAACCGGATGTTGCGTTTTGCCTGGGCGACACTAGGCTCGACGTAGGGCGCGGAGCCCACCGCATGTACGCCGTCGCGGGCTGCAGCGTTCTGGAGAAGGATCAGGTTGTCGCCGAGTTCAGCATTTTGCGCGGAGAAAAGAGGGTCCTGTGCGAAGACTTCCTCGCCGTCGGGAAGTATTAAATTTAGTGTCGAATATAATAGTACGGGCTGGAAATAGGTTTACCTGCTATCTGGACATCGCAAATGGTTTCATAGTCCTTCTTGAGCCGTAGACCAACGTCTAAGCAACTCATGTGCACAGTCTCATCGACTTCGACATGGGCACGCATCGCCGTAACACCACATTCGACACTCTCGACGATTAATCGGCTTCCTCGGTTGTACAGGTCCTCCAAGGCGGAAGGGAAATTGCCTTTTGCCTGTGCAGTTACCTTGAGGGCTTCAGCAAAATCACTATAGCGACGAACTATCAGCCTATCTGTAATCACAACCTCACGAGGGATTTATGGTTGAAATATTCAACGATTTGGGGACGTACCCGCTCACAAGCTCATCAGATTTGCCCAGAAGAAAGCACTTATCCAGGTGGATATGTGCATGGCACAGCCTTTCACGTCGAATAAAAATTGTTGGACATTAGCTTAAGCAGGGACTCGAGGAAACTATCAAATTCAAGGAGCACGCACGCAGGAACCAAAATCCCCTTGCCCTCTGCATCCAATATCTCTACATCTTCGGAGTCGATCGAACCCCGGATATAAGTGTCGTCGTTCTCCACATTGGTAGGGTCCGAGGTGGCCCGTACATCATGTACTTTACCGTTCGTACAGATCACGTCGTACAGTGGACTCGATTGCACTGAAGAGTCGTCGTGGAGATAGACGTTGCGAATAAGTACTTGTCGGGCTTTTTCTGGAAATTCTGGAGAATGACAACGTGATATTAACAACGCATGGTGAGGTAGAGTATAGATACCGCACACCATTCGCACTGTGAACAGGTACCAAGAACTCACCTTGCATTGTACAACGTCCAGGAGCAACGATGCCTTTTTGCTAAGATAACAGCTTGCAAAATACATAGGTGACACAACATCACTGAAGATCATACATTCACATGATGGTATTAGGCAGTACATAAGGTACCCTATCTCGTGTGGAGGGAACGATGAAAATATAAAGAATGCATGCAGCTAAGCAGTCCGTGATGTGGATGATGGAGCCATAGTATGCAAGTATGTGAATGCTCAGGCAACCAGAAACAACACAGCATAATATATCAGTCTTCGACTTTGCGTCGCTTGGATCGAGTAGTCCGGTACTGATATTCGTCCTCCTCGCCCTCACTATAGTCGTCGCTAGGTACATCAGCCCCATAAAGTTGTTTGCGCTTCTCTTGATCGGCTTTGCGCAATCGTGCCAGATTTGTGGTTAAGGATTTCAGGAATTCGCTCTAGTGGAGTAATCTTATTAACTGTATCATAATCAGGCACAGATAATTGCCTTACCTTGAGAACACGGACCCTTGTGCCTGGTTCTGCCGCAGCCTGTTCACGCTTTTTTTTCTCCTTGTACTAAACGATTGTGTCAGCTCAAAATGTGAGCCATCGCACGCGACGAGCCTCACCTTCCGCTGTTCCTCTTTCAATAAAATAGTCAAATGTTTGATCCATCGCTGAAGATTTGTCTCCGATCTCCTCCTCTTCACTTGTTCATCTGGCTTGTCCTCCGCGATCTCTTCGTCATCGCTATCAGGTACAACGTACGATCTAACAGTCGCCGCCGCGCTCCGACGAGGCCTTTTCCTATTACGCAAGCTGCCTCGAGGCTTCTCACCGAGAGCTTCAGCAATGACGGCGGATGTCTCGGAGGACATGTCCTGCCTCGCACTACACTCACTCTTGACCTTAACTCTACGAGTACGTGTCTTGCTGGTACTCGGTGTGATTCCGGCAAGCTCTTCAGGTGTCAGATAATCCTCCTCACTAAAATAAAACTCGGTCCCGGCTTCAATGTCGTCGTAAAGAACCATATTCTGACACCAAGCCCTCAGTAGTGCCCCAGTGATAAGCGATGACCATGCAGCTCACAGGTGGCCGGCCTAAACGTGCTAACATCTTAAAATGTTTTAGCGTGATTGGCACTCGAGCCGCTGTATCGTATGGCTCATTGTATAAGTAGGGTTGGAGAACCTATATCTATGAGTAAATTCGACGCCGTATAATAAACCGCGACATGGACTCACTATCGCATTCTCGTTCAAAACAGCGTGCAGCATAAATACCGCAGTGATTGCACTACGTCGGCCATAATGCGTTCGTACCCACCGTCCCACCTGTTGGTAGTCTTTGGAAGATATAATATCAGTGTCAACGACAGCAGTGGTCATAACTCCCGGGCCCACCTGCTGGATAAGTGAGCTTCCCTATGCTATCATTATAGGACGTGTACATGTCATAGAACCTGCGGCGACGAGAAGGCGCCAGCTCGTCTTTCCTAATCATCGTACTCAACGTATCCTGGCCGATAGGACCCTGTTCGAAAAGATTCGTTGTGACCATCGTTAGGCTGATCAGCGCGCAATGTAATCAATCCTGGACAACACGCACGAGATCCTCATGGTCATCCCGTCCAACGTGTTCTCCAGTATCTATGATCTCCTCATCATCACTTTCGTCACCTTCGTTCTCCGCAGAATCTTCTGGTCCCTGTGGCGCCGCTACCACTGGCTCTGCCTCGAGCACCACCAGCCCCCTCTCTTCTCCAGTAAGAGCGAGCGGATGGAAAAACCGTCGAGTAGCTATAAAGTCCCTGCAAAGTCGGGCCTCAAACCCTCGACAAGCCTTCTCGTCCTCCGAGGGTGGCAGGTCTTCCATAGTCAAGCGTAGATTCCGAAGCACATATGCAGCGATGACATCGGAGAGCGATTCGTCTGTCTCGACCAGCTTCTTCAACATCTTCCCTTTGCACCCTATTTCCAAACAAGCAACAGCGACCTCCTGCAGGAGGATGTCCACTTCTGCCTTGCTCATACCTAAGACCACTCTTCCATACTCAATGATACCCCCAAAACGATCTGGAACAAATTTGTTCACTAGCATGTCGAAAAGATCCCCTCGTGTCACTGGGCTAAGACCCATAGCGTCAACTTTTTCTCTACATAGATTCACATATGAATTTGAGGACGTGGCACTACCATGCAGTGACGTCGGGAAGGGTAGGCCATCAGAGAAAAAGACTGTACAGAGCAGGACGAGTCGAACAGTGGGGTCTTGAGATGGAAAATCGGCATGAAGTTCACGAAGGATGCTGTACGTGTAAAGGCTGGAAATGGACCGCGTGTTGATGAAGAGCTGATCTCATTGTCAAGACTGCCCAGTTATAACCAAATGGGACACAATACCTTAGTGAGATCCTCAATAACGCTCCTGGACCAATATGAGTAGATGCGCTGATAGGTTGCCCACAAAAGACACTCACGATAAATCAAACTTCAAGACGTCATCCTTATCCAATCGCTTGAGCGCTGTGTATGCCGGTTCATTTGTCTTCGCCTCCATACAAATCTCTGCGGCAACCGTTCTGCTGAGGAACATACTAATGGCACACGCCGCAAAGCAATAAGCCCCTCTGATAACAAGAAGGATAATGACCAAAGATGCCATACTGAGGATCTAGGCGCGACAGCTCGCGAACGTTCTCGACAATCTCGTCTACACGTCCATCAAACTGGATAGCAGGCTTCTCAAACATCTTCCGGAAGACGAAATTCCGATACTATAGCCCAGGTGGTATTAATAGCACCACAAAGGGAACATATCTGCGTGGACCAACCTTGCAATCCATACGGAAACCATTGGCGCGCGCATATGGCAGAAGTCGTGGCTCGACTGCCAACACAAGTGGAAATTGAGCCATCATTGGATCCTAAATTGAACGTACGCATATAGTCAGTGTAAGAGGCGGTCATATGGTGTACATACCTTTTGGGAGAACGGTATGAACTGAAAGGTTAAATTATGCCTCAATCTACCACAGAATAAAGATCCATGAAGCCAAGCTGACCTTGAATTTCTCTAAGACTTCCTTCAATGTTTCCCACTTGGCCGCTCGCGCTTCTGTGGGAAATCTACTTGATTTTAACAGAGCCGCGAAGATAGAGCCATCATCCTCGCCCTTGCTGACAGGAATATTACCATACAAGCGTGTGGCGACAGACATGAAGTATGTGAAGACAGGTAGCGATATCGTTCGAACCCAGGGAGTTTTGATAAAAGGCATTTGCGTACGGAAGTAATGATGGATCGCGCATTGTGCGAGGTAACGGGAAATGTGAGCGCCACTGGATAGCAGGATCTATATTAAGACAAAAGTAGAGAAGGATAAGGTCCTATGGCAACAGAAATCAGCAAGATGAAAGAAATTGTGGACGTACATCGATCACCCTCTCGGTCAACAACTTCCCTCTACCCAGCGCCCAATAAAGCGCCTGAATGCGACCATAGCGACTGAGAAAATAGGAGGAACGGACATAAGGATCCTGCGTGAAGTTATAGTAGCGTTTTGAGATTAAACTGAAAGCAGTCGGATCATCGAGTTCGTTCAAGATGAGTTGGACAATCTCAGCTAGGGGATGACGGCAATGCGGAATCAGAGGGGCCTTCCCCGCATTCAAATACAGAGTAACATACCACACAAGCGGTCCATTATCCTCTTGAAAGACAGCAGAACCGAAGGGTGTCTAGAAATGTGCCAACAGCAACAGGCGCGACTGGCGACCTGGCGGAAAGACGGAGAGTCGTGGAGCGATTATGAGCGTTCGATAGGTGAGAATGCTCGGTTCAATCTGCCATTGGAGCCGCCTTGGTCCTTAGCGGACCTCCAACCTTCTAAAAGCGGACGTCGTGGCAATCGCATTCCGCGCTCCGACATTGCGATGGCTTTTCCCGGTGCGGCTACCACAGCAACTGCAGACTGTTGTGCACATGCATGTTGTCGAGGTACAGTTACTGAAGACAATGATGCTACACACACGGTAGGTATAAGACAGTAACAAACACCTCAGCCATCAAAAGGACCCCTTGTAATAGCTACGCCAAATCTTCCATGGCAACTTCCAGTCCCGGAGCTGTAATGATGGGTCGAACGCGTCGAAGTTGGCTGCCTCAAGGCGATTAAGGTATTGCCGCGCCGAGACCTAGGAATTAATAAATGTTTACCGCATTGCCCGGACAGATTGCAGCACACGCCTTGATTACTCACCGCGCTCAAGAATGCTGGTCTTGCTCTCCAAGGAATTTTGCCATCTAGGCCTGCGTGGTTAAACATTTCCTTCGATGTCAATAGATTATCGTTTGCGATGGTCGCAAATTCAAATACAGCGTCTTCGATCCCCACGGCGTGACCGCCCCGTCTGAAGACTTCCTCCTGGCTTACGCCATGACGTGCTGTAATTTCCGCCGGTATGACCATCCTACCTTGGGACGCATGATATGGCAATGCGCGGAGAAGCGTGGCAATTCCCTGAGCGATACCGAGATGGGACGCTGCATGAGACAGTGTGGAAGAAGAGGTCAGGGAAAGGAGGGATAGAAGTAGATAAAGAAATGTAGATGATGTGGACTCCGCGTGTGCAGTAAGAGAATTTAGGGTAAGATGTGTGGGTGTATGTAGTTCAGCGTCCTAGATATCAATCCGTCAGCGAAAGTTCTCCATTTGCTGACAGAGTAGTCACGTACTCTCGCATCAATGATTCTTTTAAGATGATATGCGGGTAGCCCACCACTCCAACATGCATCAGACAGTGCAAGCGCGACGGGATGTCTTGGCGGTCTGCCCTACGTGATGACCTGAGCTACTAAACCGTATCTTCTCAGAGGAAACTGAGACGCACATCGCCTATCGCCTTTACAGCGTCCCGCCAAAACTGCATTCTCATCTTTCCGATTGTCGGGTTCGACACAGCTTCTGGTACTGTGGCCAGTTCCACCTGTGAGCCACGGTCAATGAGTAAACGGATGATGCCTGAGCTGCACATACGTAAAATGCTCGCAATGCAATGAAATGTGCACGCAAATCGCGCGGCCAGAATGGCGAAGTGAGAAACGCCTCATAGTCTCGTTTTCGAATGAGGTCACTGCAATAGGCGATAGGCTCACGAAGGCTGGCGTCCTCATGTACATTGTGAGACATACATCGCCGGACCTCTAGGTTGCGTCCAAATAACGAATGTGTGTCGCAAGTTGCTTGACGCGCGCTGGATCCTCGCAGAAGTCGTTGCATGGCGGCGCAATGCGCTAGGAGCAAGAAGGGCACTGGGCTGGACTAGTGCCCAAGTTCCTGGCTTTGTTCTGAAACTTTGTGACGCATTTAGATCACATGATAGTACAGGATTCGCCGCGTGAGTTTTAAGTTTAGCGCGTCGTCGATCGGGGTTTGGTCGGCCCACAGCCTGAGCATCGACCGACTCCAGCGCACCGTCTTCTACTTCGTTAACCAGCTTCTCCAGTCGTTCTCGTAAATCATATTCCTTATATACATCTCATGGCCACAGGGCATTCCGGACTCCAAAAAGAGGTATTCTCGTTGTACAGACGGTGAGCATCTAGTTGCATATGTTGACTCAGGAATGCCGATCGTTGACATACCAGTCAGAGCACTACGTATGGTCAACACCAAGCCACCAGCGGCACGACCCAAATTTCTGCTTTTTGTGCGACATTCCTTTAGAACGCAAGCAACTTCTGTGTCTTCGCGGGACGTTGCTGCGATTGAACATTTACTCCGGCGTGGACGAAGACAGGTTGAGATGTATGAAGACAGCAAAGTCAGGGATTGCTTCGTAAGCACTACGATGCTGCAATGGGGAGAACAGAATAAGGGAAAGACCTTATTGCACTAATTCGAGGCTATATCCGTCGAGGGGAGTAAGTACCGTCAATGTTGACCTAACATCGCTAGGGCTCATGAACATATAAACTAATCTAAGATTTGTTCTTCAGGTCTTCAGTCCGGAGAACAGAGGATTCTGACCCCACGGTTTCGAAGATTCCTGCTCCTGCCAGTCTCGCCGCTGTCTGGGTCTCGCCTGCCTCCTTCCTACGTGCTGCCTCCTGTGCCTTGGCCATTGCTTCGGCCTTGGCAACATTCTCCTCTTGCTCCGCTTGTATCAATTTTTGTTCTCCCGCGAGGTCAGCTTCCCGCTGTTTGTTGTACGCTTGTGTTGCCTTCTCGTACGCGAGCCGCCTCTCGTTGATCACGTACTTGATGCGAGCCATACTTTTACGACACTACAAGTCCAGCGAGGGGAAGAAAGGTGGTAGAGATATAAGTAATAAAGTAATGGGAGATGAGTGGGGCAGAAAAGAGCGTAGATGCAGACTCACTCGTAATAGCTTATTCTGTGTGGCTAACATTTCCAGAGGAATCTTGTGCCGACGTGCCTCCTCGTTTTGCGTGACAAGAAGGTTTCGCTCTCGCATCAGGACATACCAAAGGGTATGGAGGTCCTTGAAACTTTTCCTACGCAACTCGACGGCTTTCCATGAACGACCTGGAAAGCAGCAAATGATCGGAAGGAGTCCCGAAGTCAGTATTCCGCCTGTTAGAATAATAACGACACCGACCACTGTTGTCATTGACAATATCTGCTGGTTCTAGCGTCTCATGTGAAACCTTGCCATCCACTTCCTTTCTGCGGAAGAATGCCCAGAGACCATGATTAGGATCTACAGGGATATTTAGATGTGGACGCAAAGGGCCGTCCACAGCCGTACTGGCGGACGCTATAACTGTGTTGCCAGAGGTCAGAGATGTCGATGCAGGTGTTGACGTAGGAGTGGTAGCATGAGTTGCGAAGGCTCGAAGCCCATTTCGGGCTCGCAGTATCCACAAGGGCTGTAGAGCAAATGTTCGCGCAGATGACAGCATTTTGAGGAATAATCAGACGTAAATTTGGACAGAACACATTTACGAGCTTCGTATGATCTCCAAGACTGAAGAGAGTAGTAGCCAAGTTATCGACTAGCACCAGCAGCGAGCACCAGCAGCACAGGCGTCTAACCAGGAAGTCACCGAGTGATGTCCGTGACAATCAATGAACAATGTCACATTGGTCGCGTAGAAATGGATGAACGTTCTCTTTTTTTTCTTGTGGAGCGTTTGATTAATGGATGAACGTTCTCATTGGGGTCTCCGAGTCGCTGACGATGCGTATATTCGCTTTGTCTATCTACGCCAGCCGTCAAGCAGATGTACTTAGAATAGACAAGCATAGTGCCGGTGTCATGTGATATGGAACAAGACTGGTTTCCCGCCAAAAAGTACATTACCAGCATTGCGATACAATTTCAATAATGATATCAGTACCAGATGATCGATATGTACTGCAACAAATATAATTTACTAGTCTCACTCCACCACATCTTCTTCAACCTCGCTGTCGTCTTCTCTCATTCGTTCTCGTCGGGCAGCGTCCTTTGCCTTCTTGGCCAGTTCTTTGTTTGGCTCCAGGTCAGTAAGACAAATACCCTTCTTACAGCCTGATGCTGGACAATCCTTTCGGACTGTGTGACTGGGGCCTAGATATTCTCGAATCGCATCCGCAGAGAACGAGTGACCGCACAGCTTTCTGGATATGATGTGAGATACGGGGCAGTTGAAAAGTTTATGACTACGCACGAGGTAAGAGGGTTCACCAAGATTGTAAGTGTTAATGGGCATTTATAATCTTGAGTGACTCCGCCCACTTGCACGTCGTCGTCGTCATCGCTAGCATCACCATCCTCTACAACGACAACAAAGTCTTCTCATACAAGGGGGAACGTGTACACTAAAAGACACACCTTTGGGCAAAAAGTCTGACACAGGAGGCATTGCGGTTTCTGGATATTGTACCTCCTGTGAGAATTCAGTACGACGCAAGCTGTAGATTATCTAGAAAGAGACCTACAAAAATGGCCTGTCTGAAGTTCACGTACTCTTCCACTTTTACATACTTCTGACGCGAAGTCTTTTGGTTATATTCTTTTAATTCGCGTGCTGCCTCGCCTTTATAGCGCTCTACAACGTTTGTCTTTGCAAAATATATAAAGCAGCAGCACGGAAGGACGGGTCATCAAACTCACGATCTGCTCTTGTTGCGTGACTCGCTGATTTAGATCTTTCAGAACCTTGTCATGAGCGAGTAGCTCATTCTCCGTATCAAGCAGTTCTCGCACAACAGCATCTAGCTCTCCAAGGACCTAGATAATAATTTAGATATAAGCTCATGAAAACGAATTGATTAACCGACCTGTTTGCTCTTCTCGCCCTCTGCGAACTCTGCAAAAACAGTGGCGACATCTCGCACAAGACCATAGTATGGCGCATGATTCTTGCGTCTCATCATGTCCCAGTCACTTGCCAGCCCATTAAGCTTCTGTGCTGCTGCCTTATCGAGAGGCTGGTTCTCCATAATCTCGATCGAGTCATCTGCCCCAGCATCCTCATGTCCTTCAGCCTTTTTCTTTCCTTCCTTCTTCACAGACCTGGATGTGCGACGCGGCTGCTTTTCGTTTCTATCTTTGTCTGGGGCTGCGTCCTCGTCTACCACGTCCTCGTCCACACGTTGGCTCATATCCTCTTCTATACCGTCAGATGACGGCTGTCTCCGCAAGACTCGTCGTGAAGAACCAGCAACAGCCATAAACACTTGAGCGAATAGAATAATACTTGTCAGAACTGGGTCAGAACGAAAGCCACGAATCGCGATGATAGCACAGACGCGTCTCGAGTGAATGAGTCTTGTGACTCGGTTTAGGGTAGGTCGAAGCGCGCCGAAATAACCCAATACGGCAGGTGGCTCTTCTCTGAGTGCACATTTGCGATGCTGTCGGTCTTGCGGTCGTTGCCCAGTTTAAGCCAAAGACACTGGTCCACTTCTCTCTTGCCGCAGAGTCTGTCTCGAAATGTCTCTGCACAACTGCTCTTCCGCTCCTTCCATCCTTCACCCCTCGCTGCTGTAACCTTGAACCAATCGACACGTCGTAAACCGCCTCAAAAGAAGAATAGACACACGTCGCCATTGCTGGAAGGCAATACGCAGAAGAAAGCAGTGATTAGCTCAGTGTTCATCATGAAGCCGAAGAAGCCGAACTCCGCCAAACGGAAAGTCGCTCGAGTGAAGCTGACCTCAGGGAAGACGCTGCATGCGTATATCCCCGGCGAAGGTCATACGCTACAGGAACATGGTGTTGTACTGGTGAGAGGGGGTCGTGCCCAAGATCTTCCCGGTGTTCGGTATGTACTTAGTTCCATCGACGTTTACCCTCGAATCATCGTTTCGTTTAAAGGTATAAGCTGGTGCGAGGAGCTTATGATTTTGGCGCTGTAGTTAATCGGTTAACCGCTCGAAGCCGATATGGGGGTCAGTTTGCATTACCCACATCCTTCTTCTACTACTGACCGTTCCTCTGCAGCTAAGAAGCCCAAACAATAATTTAGGCCACTGTGTTACCATTTCCTCGACCGGACATTGATGGCTACCCATCTGCGATTACATATGAGTGTATATTGCGTAGACGACGATGCAAGTCTCAGAAAGCACTCCTAGAAGTCGATGCGGAGTAGGAATTTAAAGTACATATATTGACGAACGGAAACGTCTTATGTTTCCACAATATGACCAGTATTCCTTATCCTATCCTCCCGGTCCGCGGTGGCCCTCACAATTTTCTCGATCTCTGCATTAATCGCCCAAACCCAGGCGTCACGCTCCAATTTGCTCCTTGTCCTAAATACAATCACCTTTCTCTTCATAGACAGCTGGGGTATATCGTCCCTATTTTGAGCGGTGGCTACTCCTCCCCTGGCCTTCGATGATGATCGGTACCAGAGCATGAAAAGTGTGTCCTCCAACCCGTCGGTGGTTTCTAGACCATCCTGGTACCGACGTGCAACTTGTGGTGCGTCGGGGTTGTGTTGGTCTTCAGGTAGGTACTGAGCCGCCAAGAATCCCGACCAAATGCACGCGTCAAGGAGGCTGATCGTCCTACCCCGATGATGATGCAAGGAATTCTTGGTTGTGATGCGATATTGAATAAGGGAACCTGAGACTAGAACGAGCTGTGTATGTCTCACCATTTTATTAGTCTTATTACGCTGCGACGCAGAAGATGGCAACGAACTTGTACAACCCCCGCAAGCCTTTACGGGCAAATAATTTTCCGCATCTGACGATTGGCCTACATCCCTCCAATACGCACCAATTGAAGAACGAGGAAAGTTCAGGCAGGAATGCCTCGGGATCGGGCAGAGGTTCTGGTGGAGCGTCGTGCTGTTCAACGAGCCTGCGAGGTGTTATTCGCGCCTTGCCTGTGCTTGCATGTGCCAAGCGCATTTCTTTTTGTGTATCAACGTGGTGCCGTCTTCTCCAATATATGATTAACGTGCGTAGTCTTGACACCCATTCCAAGGCTATTTCGCAAGAATGTGCCTGTATAGGACCCTGAGTCACCTCGCACGGGATGGCAAACATGTCAGCTACGAACCTCATATCTGACTACCTTTCCTGTGACCAACAAAAGTTCAAAAGAACGCTTCATATGCAATCGAGACTTGTCAAAAGCGGCGTTCAAGCCGGTCTCTCCTCCGAGATCGTTGTCGTCGCTCTCTGCTCCATCTAAGGTGTCCAAGTGAGGCTGATCGTCGGCCCCATCTGCAACGTCCAAAGACGATATATCTTCCACATTTCGAGGGACCAATTGGAATGCTCTTCGCACAGCAAGAACGCTTCGTAAATCAGTCATGCCCGTTGCGTGCAGAATTTGCTGTGTGCCTCGTCGCACTTCATCCTGGCGAAAGTGACTTGGGTCATAATCTGGGGGTATAACTCCTGGTGGTATCGGTTGATGTGCATGAGCAATGGGGACAGTGAAGAGATATCCATCGTGAGTTGCAAGATAGACAGGTTGCTTCATTATGGGATTGGATCGTATTCGCTCTAGATATCCCTCGACTGCAGGAGGTTCGTCAAGAGGCATACCATCCTTCGTATGAAGCCGTGTAGGAAGGTGTTCCCTAAGACGGACCTCTAGGTGAGCTGACTTACTACCCTATAAATGTGATATTTAGTACTTTGTTATAACTTTCTTCAAATCGCATCAGGAGTCACGCTAACCTGATTGAGAGCCAACCCACAAAGCACAGCCCATTTTCGCGGACTACCCTGTATGTCGTCGACGTGCCGCACCCAATCTAGCTTGGTATCTAAACGCCATGCCAGAGCTAATTTGGCTCCAGATGCCAATTTCTGCCCGATCAAGAAATCATACTCTTTGACCTTCCTCAGTCGCTCGAGGCAGAGGCGAAGGAGATTCTGCCGATCGAATACAGCTAGTGCTGTCGAAAATTTTGAGTAGTCTGCACCCGGTACGTTTACTCTAATGCGAGTACCCAACGCGGGGGCGTGGATTTCTAGAGATGAAGGTAATCGTCCGCCAAGATGACGCCTGTAATGGAGGTTAGATTAGTATACTCTTGAGCGACTACGGTATCTGACGAAACAAAACAAGTACCATAGCTTCCATACCCAGTCGACAGCCCTAGTATGGCTTCTAATCTTAAAAATGAAGACATTCAACCCCCTAGTCCGTCTGTACAGCCACCGCCGCTTCGAATGTTTTCGTAGAGTCGCAGGCGGGCAAATGAGACAGAAAGTCATGTCTATAAAAGAATACAGCGAAAGTCGAGTGGGAGACGAGTCTCCGAGAGGAATGACATGTGCCAGCTTCATATGACCAGTATACCAATCCTTGCCGGGAAAAGACTGGTGCCAGATAGTTAACAAGCTGTCTGTTTAAGATAGGAATAGCGACATACATGGGCTCTATAAAGCTCCAGCCTGTCCTTGCGCCATATAACGACGTACTCAGCCCATCTTCCGCTGTATAAATGACTTGCAGTCCGATTTCGTCCCTCGTCGAAGTGGGCAGGCAGCGAATCAGCCTCTGTATACGCAAACTTGACAAACATTCTATCTGCATATGAGCTTCAGCTTTTTATTTTTATTTTTACAAAATCGCAAGGTAAATTGAAAGTCACCTCTCATATCAAAATTTCCCAAGCCCACTTCACCTTCGATATCTGCTTGCTGGGCGGCGCCCGCACTGGTGTGCTCCACCGCCTCGCCCGTGCGATTGAGTACCTCACCCGGAGAGACAGGGTAGTCGTCGACGCTCTCTTGAGAATAATGGACCATCTTCCCCTTCCCCTTGATCGCAGCGCCATTCGGGGCCGATTCGCTCGTTGAAACCCCAAGAATAGAGCGCGTAGCTGCAGGAGTTAAACCCACACTGGGACGAGATGGTCCCCCTGATCGCAGCTGAGCCGGACCAACACGCAGCTTGGAAGCATTTATGAGAGCAGTGGATGAGCTAATACTTTGGGTATCATAGCCGGCGCGTCCAGAGGATTGTTCGCCATCAACAGGCCGTTCATCGGAAAAGGTGGCTGGACTGTCTGGAATAGGGCTAAGGTGCGAAGGTGCGGTTACGAAGGTGCTCACACCAGAAGCTGCGGCGTGTTGCAAGAATGGCGTTGCTACGGACCTTCCGCACGAGTGTTTAGTGTCTGAAATGCTGATTCCGAGGAAATAGCCGATATCGAATGAAGTACCGACCCAGGACTTGTCTCTCCGAAAGCCAGCGCGTTTAAGATAGACCTCTCCCCAATCACTCTCTGCCCACCGTTTGTACATCTTGTCCTGAATACGTCTCTCTTCCTCTTCGTTCCACGCTTCAGGAACACCTCCACTCACGAGGAAAAACTCATACGCAAGTTGGCGTATAAGTTTCCCAGGTCCATAGTCTGAATCTGAGCTGGATAGTACACCAAGATCTTTGAAATGTTTTCCTGGAAATGCTGTCTGCTTTGGTAGCGGTCCAATGAACCTCCTGTGATGCTGATGCTTGTCAAGTCGAGTAGTAATTTCCCCAGGAGAAACTATGGCCGTTCGTGGGTCCGATGAAGTGGTTGGCGACATGCCCCGCAAAGTGCACAACTTGAGGCATAGAAGGGCGGGAGATGAAGTTAGAAATCATGGGCTGCGTGTTCGCGGACAGGTTGGACAGGACCGCCACCAGCACTGTCGTCATAGTCCGTTATATTGGACGTTAACCAAATATGACCGCCGCGGCGCCGATATCGTACGTAAAAACCTCCAAGTTTAGAAATGACTGCGCCGCGCGCGTCTCCGCGTTTCCCTTCAATTTCCCTTCATCCCAAATTACCGAAGCGCGAGGCATCTACGAGCAACTAAACTACATATGTACCTAGTCCTACCAGTCAGGGCTGCTCAGTGCTTCACTTTGCGACAGGTATGCATGTATATTGTGTTTTAGGGAGATAATTAAGTACGTTATGGTACAGTTGTGAAAGTCCATTGAAGACGTCGTAATGAAGGTCAGCGACAATGAACGAGAAACCTATGACTACAAGTAGTAAGATGACGTCTGCTAACAGGCTCTAATCGAGTAAAAAAATTGAGTGGTGAGGTGTAGCACGAAACAAGATACGTCGACGTTCATTGCCGCTTTTGGTCCAGAATCTGGTGTGATTCCTTGACGAACTGCTCCGCTTCATCGCGCTCAAATCTAAACAAACTTTCAGTCGAGTGTGTCGCATCACGAGGACATTATGAAACGTACGCTACTTTCTTGCCTTTAACAGTCATGTCGGGCTCCCGTAAGGCAAACGGGTTGATATCATGCTTCTTCAAATTCGCCAAACTGTGATTCACAAAACGGTGCGTGCTCTCGTCACTTCTCACAGCGTAAAGGACGTCCAAGAGTTTAGCATTTGATTCAAGTCGCCAGTAATCCTTGGCGATTTCGGGAGCAGGAAGTTCGGACCTATATCTGCGATGAACGTATATTGTAAACGGCTGGAGGAGGATGCGTACCAATTCGGTAAACGGCCAGCTTCAACCTCGTCGATACATCTTGAGCTAGAAGACAATTAACATAACCTATAGTCATGAGAAGAGTACGTACTAGGTGAGAACAGCCTCCTCTTCGAGATGTCCTACAAAACGATGGCATGTTCGCGGAGACAACAAATAACAAAAGACTGTACAAAAATTGCTTTACCATATGACTCATTTCAGATAGCAGAATACTTACAAAACGCGTTATAGAAGACACCCTGTGCTCCTATCACCATGGCGCGAAATATAATCCCTGGCTTCCGCAGAACCATAAATGTCCTAGAAGGGCCATAAGCTTATCAAATAAACAGATATCAAAACAACCATATACATCAGGTGCATGCGCTCATTCTCAGCTTCTTCCAGAAGGGTGTGAATCCACCCAGAGTCTCGCTTCTATGAAGGAGGTCAGCAGTAATGCACATTGGTCTCGAATGCCACGCACCATGACACGAAGACTTTTCAGGTGACGAAGAGTCGCAGCCACCATTCCAGGCACGCCTGCTATACTTTCGAGGAATAAAATGCGCTAAGACGCGTTTATCAACACTGCGATTAGCAGACAACAGCTGACACCCACCCTGAGCCACTGCTTCTCGTTCATAATGTAACCGCCCTTGCGTAATGCTTCGAGCGACATGTTCTTGTAATTCGGCGGAAGAGGTTTGTGGCGGTACCCGGAGGCTAGATCAAAGCCCCATCTAATAAATGAGCCGCGTAAAGGAGTGGAGTTTGACATGTATCAAAGTGTATCAATTTACCTTAGGAGGCGGACAAATGTCCATGCGATCTTGTCCGACACCGATTTCGCTTCGCGATGAAGGACCTAAAAATACGACATGAGTTGACAGCTACTAATACCATAGCATATTTACTCACGTCCACCGACTTCAACTCTTCTTGTGTGTAGACCGGATGGAAGAGGACCCAATCTCCTTTGAAAGTTGACGAGGGCACCGTGCTTACGGCGTCCTCCTTAACAAGTTCTTGTGTTGGTAGCTTATCCCCTATGGTTACGACATGTCACATCATGCAAACACAGACAAACATATATGCTCGTACGTTTGTGTAGGCCCTCTACACCCACTGTAGCCTTCTGGTCAGCAGGCTTGGTAGTTAGAGTGTTCATGCGGGGCATGCCAGACATAAGGGTGCGTCGGGAAGCTGCCACTAGGGACGGCACGAGGACGGCATGTGAGGAAATAGAACGCGCTATAGTAGTCCGTAACATCTTGAAGGTTGTAGATTATCTTGGCAACCCGCGGTGAAAGGCGCATCTCCTATATACCTTGCTATAGCGCGCCACCCGTCTCGTCCCGAGGGGTCATTCCGGAGCGCACCGCGGGCCATTACGATGAGGTATCGGACCGCCGGGCACCTGATGCGACTCTTGCTCGTAAGGCTGTGTTTTGTAAGATCCTAGGCCCTTCACTCAACGCTCAAACTTCATTGTATCCTGCAAAGCTGATGAGAGGCAGTCAGCGGGGCCAATCAACGTCGAGCGAGAATCCCGAATCGGCGTTTCGGTAGTTGCCGAGCCAATAGTGAAGCTTATATAGGCGCTAAACATCAGCAGAAAGCTTCGAAGGTGCGGCCTTGTGCGGGCTGCTCAGAGAAAGCTTCCTACGGGCCAGGTGGCAGGTCTAGGTTGATCTATTAGAATCTTGATTGCACACTACTTTTCGCAAATTGTAGTATTGGGACAGGCTGTGGGGCAAGCTGACAATCGTGAAGAATGCTGGCGTGTAATTGATGGTTGAGCACCGTGTGGAATGCAGGATAGGTGATATCACGCACTCTGTCGGAAGGGTAGCTGCAAACATTGCAGTGGTACTTGGTATGGTCACACAAAGGATGCCAGGCGAGCGTCAACCAGACCTTGACTCACCTCGCGACGGGCACGTTCCACAAACAAATGACGTACAAATTCTAGCACCACTATTAAAGCTCTATCCGGAGACATGAAGCGTCGTTCCTGTACCCAAATGATAGTTACTCCAGTATGACGAAGTCCGATAATATCGCATGTCAGCATAACCAGGGTGAGACTTGAGTAAGTTGAGAGCATGGTGACTGTTTCATGCACATGAGGAAATGTGCATACAGGCGTGTCTGCGCACCGCTCACGCTAATATCAAAGCCAACGTCCTGTTGCAAGGACATCACGGCCGAACTTCTCGGGTCACAATCTTATTGTCGCCTGACGCTAAGTCTATCTCCGCTATTCGACGTTCTTCATCCGATAGGGAGAAGAATGCAGCTTTCTGACGGTCGAACCATCTCCTTGCCTGAGATGAGGACGTGTCAGTTGCGCCTGTGAACAAAACCGGGAGAAGATACCGCTGACCGGCATGAAGACATGCTCCTTCTCTCCAAAGTCGGCGAAGAAAACCGCATAGAGGAGGGTTCCTGTGGGCCGGTCAAATGATACAGTCAAAAAGCGATGCGGTATATGGCAGTGAACGCATACCAGGTATCACGACATAGTTAGCGATTTTGAACAGCGGAAAGACCCAGGACGGTCGAGGGTCTACAGGTGGAACGTTTTCCTCGGCCCATGGGCGGGGTTGTCTGATTTTGCTCGACACATGACGAGCCGTCGTCCGCCGTAAGACTGAGAAGTTTGAAGCGGCGGGCCTGAGATGCCAGACAGCGGTGGGACGAGACATGCAGAGCGGAGTCCCGAGCGAATCGGTACCAATTTACAGGCTGGTAACCCAAATAAAGGGTTTCTGGGGGTTTAAGTATTTTGCAATGCCGCGACAAGTAGAAATCTCCGATCGTCGGCTATTGGCGCTCCGTGATCATTCAAGCTGTGGCTGTTGTCCATCCTCCGCGGTCAAGATGTTTGCAGTCTGTGCCCTCCTTGCCAGCTCGCTGCAATAATTTGTGGAGAATAGGGCGAAAACAGAAGGAACTATTGAGGCGGAGACAAGGATAACGGGGATCTGCGACATTTAGGTGGAGTCCGCCCGGGTCGGACTCGGCATTTTACGAATAGATGTGGCATCCGGTCAGCCGGCTCGGATGAATCATTTCGGCGCCTGGGACGTCGGGGTTCACCGTCGGACACATATCCTGTCCTACCGCCGTCCGAGGCTCTCGCATCTCAATGCTCTCCCCCACCGTTCACCACCAGATGGCAACCGCGCCCGACTACCACGACGACCAGCGGTCTGCCAAACGCCCTCGCACAGACTCTATGTGCGAGGGGCTGCGTCCTTATACCATTGCAAACCCATCGGTAAACTCGGAGGCTGACAATGCCGACGGATCGAAGAGAAACAGGAAGCGTCCACTTTCATGCGGAGAATGCAGGAGGTCTGTTCACCTTGACCGCTATTGGCGTACAGGACACTCACAAACACGATCGGGCGTAAAGATTGAAGCTCAAGGTGCGTCGGGAGGCCAGTAACGCTGACCACGCGTGATGGACTGACGCATGGCTCCGTTGCAGTGCGATCGTGTATTTCCATGCCAGTCTTGTTGCAAGAGAGGCTGTGCAGAGATATGTCCAGATGGTGCACTGACTGGAGGAAAGGGCAGCAGGTATGTCATTATTTCAGCAGGTTTCGGCTAGGCGGTCATCTGTATACGTCAGATTCATTCTGGCAAACACGGAGCAATTGCACGAAAAGATAAAGATAATGGCAGAACGCATACGCCAACTTGAAGATGCACTACAGCGCATACAATCGGAGCACTCCACAGAACCCCATCCTCTCATGCGACAAGAACTGCTGGCTATTAAAAAATCGCCGGAGCTTTTTACAACGGAACGAACCTCGCACACAGGCAGTGATGTAAATCGTCGAGACGAAGGCGATAGCCCTGGCGCTGGTTCTTCAACAATGCCGGATGCCGGGGAGGAGGTGTGTTGCTTCAATGCTTTCCGTTTGTGTCATTTAACGAGGAAATCATCAGCCCGAGTACATCTCATCAATGACTGCTATCACATCCCTTGGCTTACCAGCAGACATTGCAAAATTGAGCAGTGCCTGTCCAATGTCTCAGTCAATCAACTCAGAGTTGAATCCTCACCTACGACAACGCATCCGTGACATGCTTCCTTCGCGTTCAGAAGGTGAACGTCTATGCGATCAAGCACGAACCAATGCGTTTTGGCAGTAGGTCGCATCGATCTCACGACTTCAAACTGCTCATACATCTATCTGCAGTTTCTGTCCAGATGCGGGCGATACCTGCATACCAAACCTCATTCACAGCGTTTACACGACCCCCCTCTCTGCCCTCATGCCCCATCGGCTCAGTCTCTTTTTCATGATCTTGGCAATTGGAAATGCCGTTGACCTCCACCCAAACTACGACCCAGATGCTGCTGAACGATATCATCACCTTGCTCGAGCAGCGTTATGTGAGACTGCGATCATCGATGATCCAAGCTTCGATGCAGTCACTACTCTAGTCAGTCGCTTTAATTTTCTACTATGCGCGTGAGTCCTCATCCAGAGCTTCATCTGAAGTTCTACATGATATGGTATCTTCTTGTCTTTTCTAATCACAAGAAAGCTGTAGAGCACGCTTGGGGTCTCATGGTATGTCATGCAGCTGATGCGCCATCACTGTGTTTTCTCAAGCCTTGACAGGGACTGTTGGCGAAGTTAGCCCAGAGTGTAAGCGATCTATCAAGTCTGAGTTCATGGGCTGAATGAATTCATTGCCTTTCTTAGCTTGGTCTCCGTAAGTAATCTTATGCTCTTATTCGGTGCTCATACGAATCCTTTCGTCCCAGACCGCGACGGAGTGGGGAAGATGATCCCTGAGGAGATGGACAGGCGGAAGGTTTTGCTATGGAACATCATGGCCGTTGACGTCCGCTTGGTTCGTACCTGTTCTAGCCCGGCTCCGCATCCCGAAAGAACCGGACCGCTGACTGACATGGGAACAGGCACTGATGCTTCGTCGGCCTCCGTCAATATGTTCGCGCCATGTCGATGTGAAGCGGCCTTCCTTGAGCTCCTTGAGCGACCCTCAATACAACGTCAGCTCTGCTTGTAAGTCTGCACGCGCGGGACGCTCATCCACTGATGATCACCCCGTGTAGACCATGATTGGAGGGATGCATTCCTAGTGCAGTGCCAATATCCGATACTGGAGCTGAGCATATCACCGCAGCCCCCGTCGTACTTGGACGTTCTCGCTCTTGATGCAAAGATTAGAGATTATGAGATACCGACCGCGCTGCGAATGGTCGACAACGATGGCGTGGTACCTAACCACCCCACGGGCATGCAGCAAGCTCTGACGCTCTGCACGCGTGAGATTGGTTCGTGAGAGTCCCGCGGAATCGGAGCACCACTGAACACGTTATCTAGCCATTCTGAACCTGCACCGAAGCTACTTCACAGAGGCCCTCCGAGTGAATGAGGGGTTCACGGTAAAGCACAAGTATGCGCCCTCAGTGTTGGCTACATACACAAGCTCGTGCAATCTGTTCTGGGCAATCAATACCTGCTACAAATGGGATCCGGACTTGACCGTGCGCATTTCCATGATTTGGTCCAATTGCCTATCTGCTGCTGTACGAATGCTTTTTCACGCACACGTCATTGATGTCTGATAATATGCCCGTAGGTCGCACTTTGTCTTCTACTCGGCCGCGCTCCGAGCTCTCCCTTTTCGCCACATGCACTCCAAGAATTAGACAAGCTGCGCGTATTGTTCAACGAGATTCGTGACCGTTGTCAAAGCGTCGCAAGATCTCTAGTAAGTTTTCGATTTTCTGCACCGCGACCAGCCAATTTAAAGAGGAATCCTAGCCGGCACTGGAATCATGCGTGGCGAAGGTGCGGATGGCATACGTGAACTGGTGCAATGGGTCAATAGACAGCTGGGTCGATCCGTGCACCGACGAGGTTGGTATGGTCGCCAAACGAGCGGGGCTTGTCCCCGCTGAAGAGCCCCACACGATACCACTGACAGAAGCGAATCCGTTTGAACACGCACATTCCTCGCTGCGGCGGTGTTACGAATCCTTCATTACGGAAGTGCCGTCCACGTTCATCGATCCGTTCCCGGGCCAACTAGAGTCATCGCTGCGCATCGGGATGGCACAAACGTACAACACCTCTGCCGAGCGAACGGCACAAGTGGGGGAGGGGCTTGCCGTACCGAGCAGCAACGAGAGCACCACAGCGAGTGCGGCGTTTAATCCGAGCTACATGGCGACAGAGTTCCTGGATAACAGCTGGATGAGCTGGTTTTAGTGATTGATTGTGAATTCAGGGCGGACATTGGGGGACATGTATCTCGTAGTTGCATACTGTTCCGTTACACACATTTCTATGCTACAAACCTATTGGACCACCACAAGATGGAAACCAAAGGTTATTTAATGAGTCGAGGTGGATACGAAGGGATGACGGGCGACGTGGGGGGTAATCTGTAATTTTTGTAGTCTTCAATATCCAATAGTTGGGTATGTCCGGCTCAAGGCGCAAGCCTATCTATTGTCCACTGGGGTGCATCTTCTGGTGACCCCGGCACTCGAAGGTAGCGAACGCGATCGTGAAGACGAGATGGCTTCCCCAGCCAAAATTCGACCTCACTGCAAATTTGATAAGCGGATGGTAATATGCGCAAAAATAAGATTCGTACTCTGGAATTACTCTCCATCCGCCCCAGAAGTCCGGAAGAGGAACATCGCCCGTCCCATCGCTCTCCTGCACCGCGAAGCGCTCCTGGAGCTTGTCCATTCGGGCCTGCACCTCGCCATCGTTGACAACAGTGCTCTGCTTGCTCGCCCACGCGCTTAGCCGGCTGCCGACAGGGCGGCTCCGATAATACTCATCGCTCTCCTCCTTCGTGAGCTTCTCCACCCGCCCGACGACGCGCACCTGCTTGTGCACCTCGCGCCAGAAGAACGTCAGCGCTGCGTACGGATTTTCGAGGAGCTCGCGAGACTTGCGTGAGGTGTAGTTCGTGTAGAAGACAAAGCCGCGCGGGTCGAGCTGCTTGAAGAGCACAGTGCGCGCAGAGGGAATGCCGGCGGCGGACGCGGTGCTGAGCGTCATGGACTCGGGCTCGCGGGCGAGACCCTGCACCTGCGTGAACCAGGTGCGAAACTGGTCGAGTGGCGAGGCGGCGACGGTCGATGGGGAGAGCGATTCCGGTGCATCATACTGCTCGTGTGCGGTCACCCGCAGCTTGTCTGGGGTCGCCTGGACGCCTGCAGATGCTGACATTGGCGATGAGGGTGGGTTACGACGACTTAGGGATGGCCGAGGTGCGGGGAGGCAGACAGTATAGTGCAAGCCGGTCGACCACAGGGCCCGAGTCATCTGCAGAAACGATTGGCGTTTGGTCCTCGCGCGCATGATCCGTCTTGATCAGTACTGCTCCCAGCACCTGGCTCAAAACCAAACATGTTTTCACTTGATTTTCACTGTGATCTTGCTCATCCTCGAGCTGAGAGCTCAATCCAAGCTTACACAACTTGATCAACACGCGTCTATCCAGAGTGCCTCCACGATACTTCGGGGAAGTGGCACATATATCCGAGTCGATGGATATGAAATCCGGAATGTGATAATCTGCTACGATATTATTTGTTCTACGAGGAATCAACTAGGAACAACCGCACGCTCGTATTACTATCAACCCTGCGGTTTTGACAGAACTCAACTACAAGCGCGGTCTTGGATGAAATCACCGCACTTGACAATTCAGCGCCAGCGCTCTTTATACCAAGACAGTGGCATGACTGACCGGTCTTTGGAATGCCATGGTACCACTCGACTTCAATTGCTTGTAGTTCGCTGTCCAAGAATAATGGAATTGACCACAATTCGAAGCTTCAAGCAAGCACAAACACGGATTTATGACCTGCAGCGCTGATCTGGAAGCCGGGGGCGAGGCCACCGCGAGGCTGCCTTCGTAGACTCTTACTCTAGAACTTCATCGTCGCTTTCTGACCGCTCTAATGCGTCCCCTGTCTGTGAGTTGTCTCCTTGGCCGCTACGTAGGGTCAAATCCCTACGCTGTTAAGGCGACACCGACGGAAACCCGCTGGGATGACAAGGAACCATCATATCGTGCTACCTAGTTTGACGTTGTAAATTGCCAAATGGGCACCCCAGGTCAACCCACAACAGCCTATAACATGGATCCGGCTACCTAGAGCTCTCGAATGCTCCAGCCTTTCCCTCGGTGGGATTGAAACGGCCATAGCGGTCGTCCTTAGATGCCATCTACGGCGCATTGGCAGCAACAGCCTGTAGAACATTCCGCTCGATGACGGGACCATACTGAGCATATCTATGCGCGTACTTGAGTTGCGGCTGACGCCTTTCGTGGCCGCGAAGTGAAGCGACAGTGCTTGTGAACGCGGAGCATATCATGCGAAGGTTTGAACGATACCATTCGAAGAAAGTATAGGCTTTGAACAGCCTCTCAATAATTTGCACTGGGCACGAGGTTCCATGGGAAGGAGAAAACGAGGCCAAGACAGAAAATAGGGTAAGAAACTGGCGAAGGTGCATCTTCTGCGCACACAGTCTCTAGACGTGCTGCTTCTACGGGCGCATCCAAGTTTCTCCTTAGTAAGTACTCACCACATTACCACCGCACTGCAACGATCATTCACATCATTTCCCCGGAGACTGAAGTGTGCAGTCGCGAGAATTTGATGCGATGGATCAGTTGATGAGCTATCTGCGTGAAATATAATAGGTAGGATGCCGTAAAATGACGCACCAATTTTGTTCGACGGTAATGCAAAACTCAACTGGTGATCACAGCGATACTGACTCAGTGGGGGTAAATATTGCTTCCACATTGGAAGCGTCTAGCAGAGTACACCTACATGGTTGCATATTTGTGGCCCAACCCTCGGAAGACCGAGGAGGTATCTAGTGCATCCTGACCATGCCGGATCAGCCATTAATCGTGGACCGAGCGAATCTGAACACGCGACAGTCCCACAGAATCGAGCGCGGCGCACACGCTCGTGCACATCCTGATGCGGAAGTTCTCTCGAGCGGGGCACGCGGGGGCGGGGATTATACAACGATGGGAGAAAGACCACCAATAAGTCCAAGCGCATCGTCCCGGTGAAATGAAGAATCGCAGAAGTGAGTGCTGTGTCGAGAAGAAGAAATAATAGCATCGGCAAGGAATGGTGGTCAACTGAAAGCCACCGAGGCTTTCTGTCGATGAGTAAAGTAATCCCGAGCGGAGACAAACAAAGACTGTCGGAGAAAGGGACAAGGCTGACTCGTACGGGCTGATCTGTCCACAGTACCGCTCATTGACAGTGCTGTTCAGCAGGGGGATGCTCTACGTTACGGTGAAAGGATGATGGTCGAGTGGTGGCGCATTCGGGCGTTACGCGGTCACAAAAAGTCACAAACTCCGGTGTTCGGGAGATGCCGGGGATGGGACGCCAGAAGACGTCAGATTGCCATAAGTAACGGCCGAAGATGGAAGGAATTCCAACTCCGTCCAGCCACTGCTAAATGTCATAACGCTAAACGTTGTGTCCTGTCTCAGTGTCTGACTCTCCCCATTCGCGTCCCACCTATCTCCTCCTCCTCCTCTTTTCCCCCCAGCGTCGCTTCTCCGCCCACCCCGGCGCTGCTGCCACGCTGCCATGTACCCAATCTCTGACTTGACCGCGTTTTGTCGCAGAACGACCGGGGATGTCCCTCCCAAACTCGTTGTATGTCTCCATGTGTAATCATGCGTATGCAGCTCCTGCTCATGTACGTTAGGGCGCGTCCACTACCGTGGTAGGATCCAAGATGTACCTCTACGTGAGTCCCCCTACAACGATCACAACATGCCTACGCATCTGACTTATTTGAGCCAGGGAGGTCGTTTGGTGTCCGAACGTAAGATGGTCTCGGACATTTACATGTTCGACTTGGAGACATTCAGATGGGACCGGCTACACCAACATCTCGAAGACGATGTCCCCCAGGCACGTTACTTCCATAGCGCGGACACTTGTACGTCTTGCTATCTGTCATCGCGTCCACATGTCCTTAGCGCATCATGCAGGGCGCAACCACCTCATCATCTTCGGTGGTATGGCCATCAGACCACACTCAGACAATCCAGAGGACCTTTGTGTCTTGAACGATGTCCGAATGTTCAATCTGACAACAGGGCACTGGTTACCGTCAAGTTCAACCGCGTCGGAGGGTTCACCCCCATCTTTCATCCCGAACGCACGATACGCCCACCTTAGCTCCGTCTCCGCTGACCGTTTGTTCGTTATTGGTGGGCAAGATCTGGCGAATGTCTGGTTGGATGACGTGTATGTCTATGACCTCGCTGCCAAGGCTTGGGTACTACGTCGGGAATACTCTCGGCATTGTGGCACTTATCGAAGCGTGGCGGTGACCGCAGACATGCGCGTTCGCTTGCCTCAGGAGGAGTTACGCGCCGCCCAGCCGTCCTCTTCTGGTCTCGGACCGGCTGGCAATCGTTTCAAGGTGAACCAGGCTGCACCTACGGCTTCCGTTATACCTACGGCTTCCATTACACAGTCGGAATCGCTTGTGTATCTACCCTATTCTGCCCCTCCGACTGATGACTACCCTTGTGACATATTTTTATTCAGCAATTACAACGTGCGTATAGTGTTAATCACGATCTGCTGCGCGGTTCTCACAATACAAATTTATAGTTCACAGATGTCCAGCGTGAATTGGAGGTGTTTTCACCTCTGTCTGACGGCGATTTCACTGTCTCCGATCGTTCGGGTTCCATGAATGGCACTTCATTTCCTCCTGGGCTTCGCTTCCCCACTGGTGCTATTCTCGGGACCTACTTTATTGTCGCGGGTACTTACCTCTCCCAGACGTACCAATCATTCTCCATATGGGCCTTGGATCTCATCAACATGACATGGGCGCGAATTGATCCTGGTAGCGCGCTCTCCACAGGCTCATGGTTCCGAAGCTGTCTATGGCCTGCTGAGAACAAGTTTATGGTATTCGGTAACCGGCATGGGAATTTGGTGGAGGATTATAACCGCCGTCTTCTCAGCTGGGACCACGTCACGTGTATTGACCTCGAAGCATTCGGCATCTATCAGTCTCCTCCGATGGTCCTTGATATTCGTGCACAAGAGTTGGGCCTAGCCACATTGGAAGAGAGCGTGCTCGCGGATTTCGAAATCATTTGTGATGATGGACGCAAGGTTCAGTGCTCGCGAAAGGTGCTGGAGGAACGATGGCCATGGTTCAGAGCACAGCTCAGAATGTTCGTCCAATCTGCATCACAAGTGGCAGAGTCCATGCCTATGGTTCCCCAACACGTCGCGCTGCCAGAGTTATCCAGCACCTACGGCCGGCAGGAACAACGCCTAGACCCTCGGCTTACACCCCGCTCGTTTCATTTATCGGAGCCATATCCGATCACACTGGCATTAGTGCAGTACTTCTACTCGATGGCACTGATTACGCCTCTCCAGCATGCACCTGCAGTCCTCAGTCAGCTTCTGCTGCTCTCGAGTACGTACGAATTGAATCATTTACAGTCCCTTGTCAAGCATGCCATGCATCGAGCACTCAGCTATGCGACGTCTGTCGGTATCTACGGTGTTGCGACACTTTGCAACTGTCGTAGTCTGCAGATTCGGTACGTCGCTACGCTGTGCCCCACTTTTGGTATGTCTGACTGGGGTGATGTCTTTGCAGAGCTTTGCGCATAGTGATGGTGAGTTGACATTATTACGCTGTGTTCACATGTGGTGCTCACTCGAATGCTAGGCATATAGCCAAAAACGTCCCGCAGGCGGCCGTTCTCGGACGGACAGGGACGGGTCCTCCGGAAGTCGAAATCATGATAACACGAACGGCAGCGGTGCTGACCGCTCCGGGACCGGCGGCAGTGGCGGCGGCAGTTCTTCTGAGGCCCATGCGGCTGCCAGGCCCCGTGGTATGTCTGACGCCTCGTATCTGCGCGGCCCGTCAGACGGTAGTGGGTCAAGCTTCAGGGATAGCCCTAGTCAGTGTTATTTGTCCTTTCGGAATGCGTGTCGTAATGTCTCTCCGTTTTTGCAGCTCCGACCGCGCTGGTTCGGTCAGATGTGTCTTCGACATCTATGTCACGGCCTCGTGCGATGTCCGAGGTTGCTACCGTACAATCCCATTTACCATCACATTCCGTTGAGGTTCACGATCTTCGTGAGAAATCCATGATGACGACTGCATATCGAAATGGGCAGGTGCTTGCCCATGCATCATCGGACTCTTTCTCTTTGTGTCCCAGGGACTCCGATCCCGCGCAAAAATCCATGGTCTCGCGCAGCAAGGCAGTCGCACGCGAGCGATCTGATAGTATCACCTCTCTCTCTACTGATCGAGAGTTATCTGCTCTTGTGGAGTTGATCTCGCCAACAGGCGTCGACGATGACGAGCAATCGGTGGCATCGTCACGCGGTCCTCGACTGCGTGCAAGTTCATCCTCTCTCTTGGATGTGTACCGTAGCAGCGAAGCACGGTGTGCAGGCGGCGTCGACTCTAGAACGTCTCTTTCCTTGTCGACCAGCTCAGCAGCCGGGTCGCTGTATGCGGACTCAGATACTGAGTGCTTCTCAGACGCCTTTTGCGATGCTGCTGTCTTCTCTCCGACACAGGCTACCTATCCCGCATTCCACCTCCCTCTGAGCCCTCGGCTACGGTCTCATCGGGATCACGACACACCATCGCTCAAGACGTCCACGTCACTCAGCTCTCTGTCTACACCTAGTCTCAGCAGGACATCTTCCTTCCACAGATCTCCCCCAGTTAGTCCAACTTCATTGGCGCTGGCAACTCCGGTCGACGTTGCTGCAAGTTTCTCGCACGGTGCACATCCCTTGCAGGTGATCGAGGAGGCTCGACTTCCCGAAGACGCGGAGGGTTCACAGGAGCTTTATGGCGACGAGAGAGCTACAGCATCGCTACCATCGCTAGGCTCTGAACCGCTCCATGTTGCAACACCTCTCGCGCGTGGTAGCAGTCACGGTCCTATCCTACAGCGGCCGAGATCGAGCAGCAAGATCGTAAATGACAGGGAGGATGCCCATGTGCGTTTGGCCTCACCGGACACGATTGTCCCTAACATGCCTTCGAGAAGCTCCTCGGTCTATACGCCGAAGACGCCACCACTGCTTAAGTCTCCCCGTGGGGTCAAGGTGTTCGCTCGGCTCTTCGCGAAGGAGAAGCCGATCGTCGACGAACCAAGTTACGAGCACCTCTCTAACTTTAATGATCTCGCTCTCAGTCTCAGCTTAGATAAGGCTGAGGAAAGGAAGGCGAGGAACAAGGAGATCCGTGCTGAGAAGCTGGCTCTACAAAAATCCCTCGCTGCGCTGGCTTCGCAGATCGACTAGAAGAAATACTTGAAGCTCATGGGACTGCCCGACCGGCTGGCACTGAGCGCTGAGCACTGGAGGCTTGTAGATGTATTTTATATACAAGGTGTTGTTTTGATTATATCTATGTACGTTATCGCTCGCTCTATGCTGGTTGTTGTGGGGCTATTGTTGTATAGGGCCAGGCTGCCATGTTATCTAGACTCACCTCTTAATGTCAAGCTGCTCCAGCGGTGGATACCTGGCGCACAAACCTGCATCACGGTTAAATTCAGTCAAATAGGATTTAGTCGAACGATGATCGCTTGTATGCATTTCACGGTTAACTAATACACAAATACCAAAATGAAGGGAGAAAATAACAAAGAAACTTACAGCGCTCGATGAACCTATACGAACATACACACGTCTTCTCCTTCCACTAATCTGCTTCCCAGTGTGCCATTCGCAATGTCATAACAGCGAATCCACACGATCTTGCGAGGACCGATCGGTCATGCTCGCGAGCCTTCGCACCTCATATTCAAGTTCATGATAAGCATCCGGATCGCTCTCCAACATCGCAGGTGGAGGCGGGACCAAATTCGGGATGGGTATACCGTGTGCTAATCGTGATGAACCTTGATATCTGTGTTGCAAGTCATCCCCTGAAGCATCAGAATGAACATCTGGCGGGATGATCATATGGTTTACTGCGCAAGAAGGGACATGAGCGACCCAGCATATTGTGCAGAAACACAAGAATACTGACATTCCTTGGCGTGGCCTGCAATATGGTCATATGGAACATCAGCGCCCATTCGGACACTGAAAAGATGACAACGCTCACTGTGATCCTTTTGTCTGGTGCATCCGCTTCCATCCGGACAATCTGGTCGCTTGGTAACCCATTCTTCCAACAGACCCTTCCTCCTCTCTCGTATCCACCAGTCGCGCAAACCCCATAGAAGCACCTCAGTGGCGCACACACGACATATTCTGTGTCTAGGCGCAGTAGGGTCTGGATCGGTACCACCTGCGACGTTGTGAACGTCCATAAAAAGATCTAATTCAATCAAAGGCGCGAACTGCCTAGGTTGTCGCAGGAGGTGAAGTACAATCTACACCGGGTAGATGATCAGCCATAGATACAAGAGAATTTGACGCTGACAACGTCCTACCTCCCGGTAGATGTGTCTGGGTGTAAGTGAATGGAAGGTCAGATAGTCAAGCATGATGTCGACTTCTACGGTATTTCCATCAAAACAGTCGTATATTTCCCCACATTGAATGAGGTCGCCAAGATCAGATAGTCCGTGAGGGTGTTGCGTGATCAGGGGGGCAGCCACACAACGTGAAGGGACACCAACGCCACAGAACGACACTTGACACATGTCGCATTTTGTAGTAGAAGGGGCTTGCAATCCAAGAATGTTCTCGCTATGTGCATAGAGTTAGTGTCCACTTTGCAGCAATCGTTAAGATAGTACCAATTGCCGCAATATGCATGTCCGGGAGGTGTCCCATCGTCTGCATGGAAAGCATTGTCTGGGTCTACATCCGGATCTACGATGGGTTGAGGACACCTCCAACCATAGGAATTATCTGGAGTGCAATGAGGGCACGGATGAACATAGTTCGCGTTTCGCTGAGTGACTGTTGGCTCTGGGGAGGCTTGTCTTGGGGAGGGTATCTTCATTGTTACAAATATCAGAAGGCAGCAACATATAATCAGAGCGTGGATTTTACCCGAAGAGGAAGACCAGTTCTGTACAGTTCATCGGCTTGTAATCGTTCATTCTCAGGACGGTTCTTGAGTGGGGCAGCACGTAGAAGAAGATCGACCAACGATTGTACATGACGAGACGGCGATACCAAAGTCGAAATGCTCCTGCATGATGGACAAGTAGTACCTCGGTTCTGTAAGTATCTCCGTTAGTATGCTTTGATTAGAGATGGACGATATATGCCAGGACTAGGAGTACCCTCGCGCTTCTGCCCTGAACGGGCACCTAGACAGCGCATATATAGCCCTTCTCCGGTTTAAAGCGGACGATATCGATTGAAGCAAGCTTAGAAAGGAGGATTGGAACTTACGCGAATCCACAAAACAATGCAACTTAGATGTATGCGAAATTTGTGAGCACCGTCGGAGCGCAACAGAAGAATAGCGATGCATTACCTCCCGCAGAAGAAGTGTTGACAAGGCATTACCATGACAGGACGGTAGACTAATGCAGAGCAGCATGCGCATTGTAGCTCTTGCTCGAGGTTCTCCACCAGAGCTTCGCCGTCGATGCGCGACTCCTTATTTGTTGTGCAGCGACTTTGACCCTGGTCTTCATGATCTTCCTTCAATTTCTTCCGAGACCCTTCATCCCGCATACCCTCAAATGAGAGCGAGGCCCTGCGCTTGAGAGTGGCGACCGGGGATGATGCTTCCGGCATCGCAGAGATGACGTTAGTGGCCGAATAAGTTGACGAGGGGACCTGTGACGAGGTTGATCCATCATCGGAATTATATCCTGATAGAAGGCTGGACATGTACAGTAGAGCCCGAGGTGGTTGTTTGATGTTAAGAGTAAGTGGACTAATCGGTCAATTTGGGCTCGGTCGTGAGCCGCAAACAGCCCCAATCTTAGGCAGAAGGCTGGAGGTGGCGGACTCATGTTGCCCTTTCCCTGCCCAAGCGACCATTCACAGCGACCGCGAAACTCACCCGAAAGCCAATAATAACAATGGTGAATACATCGGGAAACACTATTGCTTGAGCTTCCAGGCAAACCTGGAGACTACTGTGGTTACACTATTGAAAGCGCGAACGCCATATACTCGTACTATGCACATCAGTCATACTACTACATTTCATAATTTTCATGGAGGCTTGATCAATGAGTGCAGAATGAAATGGCAAATAATGTGAATGTATACGATCAAGAACGGACGTCGAGGTCAGTAGTTAATCAATAAGTCCGAAGAACCGGGGTATAAAAGATATAGTATGTACCCATACTAGCAGGATACTTGGTATAGTGCGTAAAACTGTCTCATTGGTCCTCATATAGAACTGTCTAAACCTTGAGGAGAGAAGGGCGTTGGTGCCGGTGGAGGGATGCCCGCAGTATGACATGCTGTCACCAATTTTGCTCGCAATCCTTCGTACCATCGCCTAGACTCTGGGCATGAAAGGCAGGCACTCAACCTCACATCAGAGAAGTCGATAAGTCAAACAATTTACCTTTGCATGGCCATAATGCCAATAGATATTCCGTTGGGATAACCAGTGACTTGCATGTGTGCAGTGCAAGTGTGAGCGTATTGTCATGAGACCATAATCTTAGAATCCTATGAATCGTCTGTAAGTACTGCGATGAAATACTGCAAAATGCATACGAACCTAAAGACATGACCCAAAAACCACCAGAAGTAGAAAGGTCGGCCGGAAAGACTGCTTGTCGGTTGCCCGGTCACTGTGTGTAGACCATACATTGTACGCTTTGCCATAGAGTTGTGGTGAGTTACTACGCAGATGATCAATTATCATTTCAACCGTGAAATTAACGTGCGGAACGTACACCATTCTTCGGCTTTTTGACGGATAGTGTGTGCGTTTCTAAAACAATTGTCAATAGCTCGCCATTGCTGCTAGCGACTGAACATACACTCCAAGATGAGGGGCGAACCGTTGTGCTTCACGGTAAATATATAAACGAGTGCTTATTGTTCATCAGCATCTTGACAAGTCACCGACAAAGATCTAAACTCACATAAAAAGATAATCACGGCTCACGAACATGAACGTTCGCTCGATGTTGCACTTATGTCGACTTAATAATTGTTCAATCGTATCAATTTCCTGCCAAGTATCGGCTACGAATCGGCCCTTCTCTGCATCGCTCACGGACAAGTCGTTGTACATTCGTACACAACTGTTCCAAAGCAGCAGGGAGCGCATATAAAGGGCCCATACCGATTCTTTTGGTGAAAAGTTACTAGACGACATAAGGGATTCACCTGGGAACAGGACCGCATACTGGAGATTGTGTTGAGTATCGTCCCTCCGAGAAGGAATATCCATCCACATACGTTAGCAGGGTCCATAGCGAACAGCTCGATTTGTGGCATGCTTGCCGCAACATTATATGATGTGTAGCCTGCGATGAGCATCACGCTACTCCATACCAGCCTGCGACACTCCTCTTTCTGTATCTCGCCCTCCGTCCAGGAGTTTATCCATGCAGGCGTATGGCTCCACAGAGGCGCAAGCTCCATCCCACTAGGGGACATCTGACCGAACGTATACGACGCGCACCAACATGGATCTTGAGACGATGGTGACGTACGAGTCGAATGCTGGACAACATAAAATTCCTGGCTATCCCGGTGGTGTACTTCTGAAGCTGCAGCAATTACTGGTGCACAGCGAGGGGGAAAAACGGTTACGCGAGGATCGTTGCGGTCCACGGTCGCCAGTGAGAGATAACGAAGCAGCGAGTCTAGCATGGACAAAGAAGAGCGCACTCGCTGGGTGGCGTGCAAGGGATGAGTGCATACTTCGAAGAAAGCAATCATCTAGCACGTGTGAGCATGATGAAACATCAACACTCATTGGGCAGCAGGATAAGAAAAAAATCTCACCCAGCTCGCTTGTGCCAGATTGTCGTCAACCCAGCTAGCAGTAAGACTCGCTTCTAGCGCACATTGCGCCTCCTCCTTCAGTTTGAGCGCTCTATCCCGCCCGTGAGCTCCTGCACCGTGCCCACCGTCCGAACTCTGTAAAAACGTAGCGAGCGCAAGCACCGACCAAACAAAGCTTGGCTGCAAACTACATCGACTCTCCGGGTCACGCAATCGCCGCAATAACCGCGGGATATTAATAAAAGATAACCAATACGAGGAATAGCGGAGGAGGAAACGGAGATCTGCGTGGACTTGTTGGGTAGCTGCGTGTCGTGCCCCCGGCGTGAGATGAAATGGCTGACCATGGGGGTGATCGTATGACGTTGCATAAAGACCTAAAAGTACGTCCCACCAGGTGTCTCTAGCGTACCTGAGGGATGGTTCCGAAGGTAATTCTGCCTTGACATGTATTGCATCATCCTGCTCATCCTGAGAGTGGGTAACGAGTGAGTCTGAGCCTGCAGTAGAATACGTGGGGCCCAATGTGGAAACCGCGTACTCGAATGGGACCGTCTCGTACTGAAGCTCACTCTGCAAAACGTGAGAAATGCTGGATCAAAGAGGGTAATGAGGGTAAGTAGTCCATCGCACCTGTGTATACGACGGGTCGTCGTGTGGCTTGTGAAAGGACAAAGATGGATGTGACAGCGAATGTTGATGCATGGGCATGTGAATCTCAGTGGGAGTAGAGATAGAAATGGGGGTGAGGTCCTGATTAAGCATATTTGACGTTGCGTGAACGTCCTGGAAGTCTCCACCGTGAAATTGTGGCGATGGTGTACGGGGGCTTAATGATATATGATGTGGCGGCGCAGATAGCAGACCTGGTCCCCGACTCGTCTCAGCGAAATCACCGAAAGATGACTCTTTTGTATCGACCGGCTCGGCTGTCGTTCTTCGTCGTCTGCGAGGCCGCTCGCCATCAGTGTTGGCCATCCCCGCAGTTCTTTGTCGCGCTCCTGGTGTCTTATCCGGACCTCGGCGCTTAGGCGCGACATCGTACGAGCAGGCGTCGCCAGAGGTACGACGACTGCAATTGTGGCACACAGGCTTAGCACCGTCGCAACGTATCTTCCGGCTTCGGCTGTTAAGAGAGAAACATAAGTATATGCAACAAAGAGACACTGAGCTTGGTCTACGTACCACTGAACGCAAGCTACATAAACCCTAGTTCGGGGCTTACCCTGTGTCGTTAGAGGCTGATCAGGAGCAAGCTCTAGTTTGAGCTTCTCTCTTCGAGACTTTCCCGTACGTTTCTCTGGAGCGGCTGACGATCTACGGGGCTTTGCCTCTGATGTGGATGATGAAGCAGACATGGGTTCCACGGCCTGATCGTTCCCAAGAGGGTGCGGGGGTAGGTGTGATAGATCGCAATGTAATTGTAAAGACGAGCGTCCACTTGCATGCGGACCGTGTCCAATAGAACTGTCCAACAAAGCAGTGTCCTGTGGAGTACTTCTGCTGGCATCAGACATGCTTGACGCGCCAGGATGAAGAACGGTCGTCGATGAGCCTGCGCTGAAGGAACCATGACCCGTAAAACCATTGTTCCCGTACTCAGATGGCTGGTAGGCGTAGCAAGCATGCGAGTACTCGATAGCGTCGTTCACAAAGTGTATGTCACCGCCGCCGACGTAGGAGCGGTTATGGGACACAGGGAAGAGGTTCGGAAACTCTCCAGACATGACGCAGAGGATATGAAAGATGCAGAGATTGATTGGTTTAGACGAGACCGAGGAGATGAACTGCACCCGCCGAGATGCGGGTGCTGAAGGATATGTCAAAAGTGAGCCGAGGGTAACTTAGATGGGTGGTGTAGAGGATCGAGAGGCACACCTCAAAGACGAAATCGCGTGAAATTTGGCGAAATTTGGCGTGGACCCGATGTGTGAAGCCTAGGGGGTCAGCGCGATCTTGTGAGTGCAGGGAGAAAAGGCTGGAGCTGGAAGGGGCGACATACTTGAGAAGCATATCACATATATTTGAATGTGGACTAAGAAGGTTAGCCGTGGCCAATCGGGATCGCAGTCGGCCTTCAAATCTCTCCAACTGATTTATTTGTCTTCCGCATGCAGGATTGCCCGCGACCGCTGTCACCGTCTCCATCATCGTGAACGCAGCTGGCAGGCGCTCCGCAACACCTACGCCCGCCTCTGTCTGCCTATGCACCCCAATACGTCTCGCTGAATGGACCGTCTGAGATTGGCCAGAGCAAGCTTGCGTGCTGGTCTCAGGGTGCCGAATTAATTGAGGCTGAATTGACGGAGCACAGGTGACCCTGATAATCTCCCCGGTTCTTCGGTTGAGCCTGCCTTACGGTACCGGCAACTCGATGTGATGCTGAGATTTCCTGGCTGGTTCCAATCTGAGGCAGGAAATGTGTCCGGCACACCAGTGGCCATGCGCTAGCCATTTTGCCGCCCACAGGCTCTGGCCGACGCCGCTTCCCTGCGAGTCGGCTCGTTAAGCGAGTCGTGCGCTACTAGTCCACGGCTGGCCTCGCCCATCTCATTTGCGCCTTCGTGTCTATCAATTATCTCACCCACGGCCCGCCCGGTCGCCCGAGGCTCCCGCCTTTTGCCCCGACATCGCTCGGTTCGCTACCACCCACCGGTCCACCTCTCCTTCCGTGGGTATGTAACGGTTCGATACGCTCTGTGATACCTACATCACCCCTGGCCGCACGGGTCCCGTCCAATGCTTGTTTCCAGCACCAGCACAGAATAGCTTCCTCGCATGTGCCCGTTCTTGCAAGTCGCGACGGTCGTCCATCCTAGCAAACTGTACCACATTCAGCGAAGCGGACATAATAATGCAGCCCAGAGCTTGTGGAGTCCAGGTATGGCGGGTTTGGGAACATCCCGCTGGCAATCGCCGTTTTCTCTCACGCCGATAAAATTAAGGGGTCGTGATTTCAGAAATCCCCAGTCCGATGGACAGTCCTTGACCCTGAAGACGAAACCTTGTCCGGAATCTTACCGTTTGCGGAGCTGGTCTGGCACACCAAATCTTTGGTTAAATATATGTAAGCACCCAAGATAGATGTTACAAGACCACTGTCCCTCGTTTCTTGCGTTTGTCTGGCGTCATCCTCCTCTCACTGCGCGCCCAGCGGGCTGCGAATTTTACAGTAGTTGCGCTCCGCATTGTCAGGGCATGCACTTCCGAACGATTGGACCTCGAGATCCCACATGAGACCCTCGTGCTACTCGACAAGTAGACATTCCATGGGACTCGAGAGACGCAAATTGGCAATCTCCTCAGCCTGCGCACCACTTCATCTCGGCATGGAAGTGAATTGCTCCTGTGTTCTGTCAGATTGTTACGTGAGACTTGATACATGGGTGTGAGTCTCGAGGTTCTTTCTATTCTACGGTGCCTTGATCGTAGCCAGCGAACACATCCTGTCGTCACAGAAACGTGCCGAATTCGCTATCCACTCATCAATATAGTGTCGAAGAGTGGGAAGACTCGAGAATCGTGATATGCTCCCATGCGTGACCTTAGGAAGCCTTGAGCATGACTCACTAGGATATCTGCGAGCTCCAAATCCCCCACCGCCTCGTCGAATGTGGGTTACCCTTTATCTAGGTGTCCATCGTGAATTTCCCGGTGCGTCAATTCAGTTTGGTGAGTAATGCGACTCTTCGCGAAGATCGCAGCCTGCGATGTTACCAGCACCATCGCCTTTCCTCACCATACCGAGTGTTTCAACTAGTCATGGCGCATGGACTACAGCCTGTGTGCACTCAGATCATATTGATCGATGGTGATTGACAGTTTTCGCCAATTGAATCTTACAATGAGGACCACAAGAATCTATCAGATTCACGCCACATCCGCCCTTTGTTCCTCCAATATTTTTCCGCGTCCTGCGCACGGCGTTATTGAATCAGTCAGGTTCGCATCTCGATGTCTCCGAGAGTATTACGCTCCCAAGTGTTCAAGTTGAGCTGTGAGCCTGTGATTCAGGCACCTCTCCTCGACGCCACCACGTCATGCTGTTATCGGTGGCCACAAGACTCCCAGCTCCTGTTTCGGGTCACCGTTAACCCAGCGTTGACATCTGTGCGATGTGGTGCTTGATGTGCCGTGGCGCCGCTATGATCACACACTGTTTGCAGGCGCTCATCCGGGCCCAAGCGCTGTCGAATTAGCGCGGTCAGATTAGTGACTGGATGGAAAAATGCTCGATTTGTCTATATGGACTTGCTTTACGGCTCGTTGACAATGTCTGGTATTCTACCATTCATTTGTTGCTAAGCAGGAGCCCGGGAGTTCGTACAAGTGTTCGTCAATGTCGTGGTCATCGAATTGATAGCGTACGACACCTGCTAGTCTTCCGTTCTGGTCAATGTGTCAGTGCGGGTAGATGTTATGTACCGCTTGACATCCCTTTCCGCGATCAGCACACGCACAATAATATCAAGTGCCCAGCACCATTAGGCAACGGGTCCGCAGGTCGAGGCTAGTCTAAGTCTCAATCTTACTTTTGAGCTCGAGACTAGGCCCTCTGTACTGATCAATGCCTTGAAGGTGTGCGCTCTATGTCGTTTTGGAGGCATCTCGTTCACTGCCCGCATGCTCAAGTAAGTAGTTCGGCTGCTTCCAACTTGCGCATATTGACAGCTCCGCGGAGCCCACTTATCGGCTTGACATAATAGTTGCTAAATTTTTCCACAGATACGTCGGCGCTGTCGTATTTATTCCTGTCGCCATTCTGGGCCGGCACTCGCCACCTGGGTGAACGCACCCCGTATTATGCGTGCTGAAACCCCGCTTGACGCCCTTTTTGTGTCACAGACCCAACGATCGGGAGAGCACCTGGAGGCACGAACAGGTCGCGTGCGGGGGTTTATGGTCAGAATCGTGTACCATGTCCCACCACCTGTGCTACGATACATCCGGGGAGGCAGGTCAGTGCTGCTTTTTCTAGGCCTCTGTCCTTCTGGTCGGTATGAAACTACAAGATACGAGTTCCGCACATATTGATTTGTTCTAGAATGCCTCCGCTTTTTTGGTCTTGTGCCAGTGATCTCGGTCACTCGCACATACATGGCGAATTTCAAGCGACTAAACGAACTGAATACCTCTCAATGCACTTGACCACACTACGGGCGTTTTTTGATGTTAGCGTATATCGGCGGCGGAGAGATGCTCGCGGGGCCGACTGGTATGATTGGTCTGTACATATAAGCCGTTGTCTTGTGTTTCCGTGATGGAGTCGAACAGCGGCTGAAACTGTTACAGATTTCCGAAAGAATATCCGGAGGTGCGACTGTAGTCTATGGTTGCCTTGTCGTCGCTAGCGCTGGCGTCAAACACCTGTCAGCGGATCCAAGTATCGGACATACCTCAAAGGTTCATTTTTCGGTAGCATTTCAGGAGAAATTCGCCTGCCCATTCTCAGGGTTAAAGAATGCAGGGCGGGCTCAATAGTGAGAGGAGACCATCGGTACCCGTGAGTCGACTCCAAGTCTCGACCTTAGGGGCCAGCTTCCCTATTGTTGCAGGACAGCGATAGAGCGGCTGCGAGGCTATAACAAGCTGCGAGTTTTCTGCGCCTTCCAGACCGTCGCATTCACGGCCGAATTGGTCGGACCGGATTGGACGTAATGGCTCCGAGTCTCCAAAGGAGAATCAGCGACCATCTCTGACCCACAATGCACGACTTGGAAGTGGATGACGAAGATGAGACCACGAGGTCACCTCGATGAGTATTTCCAATGGCTTCGGTGACTGATCCAGAGAAAGGTCGGAACTTCTATCATTCTTTCACGGCAGACCCTGATGCCGCTATCTCTCAATGGTAGAACATGGGGCATGGCTAATGTCGGCACACTCCTGGTGAGGTGCCCGTTCTGACCATACATTTTACGTTGTGTCTGATATCAAGTAGGCGGGTATTCAATCGAGATTCCAGCATCTTCTTGGCTAATCTGCGCACCACTTGATATGCTAGGAGGTTTTCACGGCGACTCTCGTGCAACTGTATCAATAACATTGATGAGATATAATGAACCCTTCCTCACACCTAACCCTCGTTGAAATTGGACGCTGCATATCCTTTTGTATCGGGATAGGACCGGGTCTTTGAACTTATTAAAATTTCAATGAGGATGCAATGAGAAGCTTCATTATTCATTTACGCGATCCTAGTGGAGAGATATGAATAATAGCCCTTTGCCACGCAGTCCTCCGCCCAAAGAACTGCGTAATCTGTTACGTGGACTCACATATTGAACATGACGTTTGGTCATGCCGCGTGTACATTAAGTTGGGGCAAGACTTGGTGAATAGTGAGATCAATTGCCTACGAACGAGTCCTTGGATATCACCTACGACTACGTCTGATTGAATGGGTCACAAGTGGCTTGCGGTCGCGCCCGGCTCTGGAGTCTAGGACCTAGTTTGCACGTTCGTCGCCGATAGCCAACCAATTCAGTTTTCGTCGAGTCTGCGTTGCCCTTGAGGGTGGCCGCTAAGCCACGTCGTTTGCAAAAATTGAGGATTAACCCCGAGTCGCAAAGTGCAAATAAGCTTTCGGACAGAACGTATCTACGCTGTGCACGAAGATCAACCCGTCTGCACTAATCTCGGGTAGTTTGGATGCGCCAAGATATTTCCGCGAAAATTCTGCTTTTTGGAGTGACCTTCGTCAGGAAGCCGCGCGGTAAGCGTCTCTACAAACAACTTGGGAACAGGAATCCATTACCGACGGAGGTCGTCCAGTTCAACAGATAGCATTAGTAGTCCAGGGAGATGGCTCCATCTGATCGAGGAGAAATGTGGACGATCCGATCGAGAGACACTCAGGCGGGCTGGCCGCGTCTGCTTCCGCGCGCGCGGGAGCACTCGTTTGGGGCTCATCGGTGTCCATGCCGCTTGTTCGTTCAGGTGCCAAAACTCGCGGGTTCCAAGACGAGTATATTGTCAAATGTTTTCCGTAAACCTCAACTCAAGGCTCAGCCGGGTTAGCTCCGCGAAGTTCCGCCATCGGTTTGACATAGCTCGGAGCAAAGTCACTTCTGCTTGCGGAGCAAGAAGATAAAATGAGCCTAATGTGGATTTTCGTGGATTTTCCATCGAGAGTTGGTTTGTACCACTCGCACACTCGTAACATGTATCTTGGTCGAAATCCAGATTTGGGCTCGCAAGATGCTACGAGCTGCTAGCGTAGGTCTCTAAAAAATAGGCCAGGCCCCTGTCCGTCACTTCGTCTCCGCATCGGTCCTACTGAGTAGCTTGAGCCGATTAGAATGCTGCATTGCGCATGCCCTCCGACCGGACAGATGTCATATTCGAGTTCACTTGTTCATTGGTGCTACGCGTAGCACAACGAGTTGGCCCAATTATGAGGGGAACACAATGACTCGGACATCTTTATCGCTCACTGGCTACGCGTCAGGCGAAGTTCCGCATGGAGAGCAATTCCAAAAAGCCACCGGGTAGAGCCTCTTACATATACTCAGTAGTGAGATGAGATTCTAAAGAGTCATAATCATCGTGGCGGCCATCATCGCGGCACCGGTCATTGCCTTCTAGGCAAGGCGGCGTGAGCCACTGCGAGCTTCAACGCGACCATGCTCATTTCTCTGACGCCTTGGGCCTTTCTTCTCCCCTCACCACGATCCCCGCCCCACATCTCTCACTGCTGCGGACGAGATTGTCTATGTTAAGGCGAATCGACGTTCTTCTTTGTCGAAGGTTCATTCATGCAACCCATAACTCCGTCGAACACGCAGTCCACGGTCAGAAGACCGCCATGACCATGCGCCTTTCTGGTCATGCCGTCGTCTGGTGCCCCTCCTTCGTGCAAAGAGATTGGCTGGTTATGGACACCCACGTTTTGTCATGCTTGAAGTCACCCTGGTCCGCCCTACTTGCGACGATCTCACGCTGCATGTCCCACTCGGATGTAGCGTGCCTCTTGTGCCGCAGTTCCTGATCTCGGAGTTGCTCAGGGAGCTCTCTTATTGGTACAGAGGACCTCAAGAGTCTCGAGGGAAGAGGTACGCTCACATGGACTAATTGTCGGTTGGCGCATGATTTTCCCAACTACCATTCAGTGGCAGGCTACGTGATGGGACGCTATCACTATGGGTAGACGGTACGAAAATAATCAATCAGGACACGATAGCCGAGTCGCCCTCCGCACAAAATGAGAGTGCCACCCCATGCTATAAGTAGCGAGGGGGGTCCGGTCAAAGCTGTGATCCCTGTGCGATCACCGTCCACTGTGAGCCAGGTGCCTACATCTCCACTTTCCGGACCTCCAGCGATGTACGCCTCGGTCATCGTTCTTGTGTCCGCTTTCTGGAGCGTGGCTACAGTCAAAGCAGCTCCCTCTTCCATGAATCCATCTATCTTCGCAAGAGATGATGACATTTCCACCATTCTGAACCCAGCGTCGGTCCTCACATTAACGGCACCCATAATCTCAGACTTTGCTCCATATACCGAGTTCGCGCGGGCTGCGTACTGCGCATCAGACATAATCACCGGTTGGCAATGCGGTGGTAAGTACGCTAATTTTGGGGTGGAGAATTTTACGTACTCATGCTGTGGATTTCAGAGGCGTGCGATGCCATTCCAGGGTTTGAGCCGACTCTGACCGGTGGTGACGGCGATGATATCCAATTATGTACGACCACCCATTTTTCTGTTCAGATAATCACTTATTGTCAAGTAGATTTCGTCGGATACTGGCCATCTGAGAATGCGGTCGTTGTGGCGCACCAAGGAACAGACCCTACTGAGCTGTCAGTGATACCGGCTCATCATCAATGGCAACGCTAATCATTTTGATGATCCAGGCTATCGGATTTGACTGATGTCGATATCATCACGGAGAATCTCAACAGCACGCTCTTTCCCGGTGTCTCTTCAGACGTATGGGTTCATAGCGGATTCGCAAATGAACAGGCGAAAACGGCGGATATCATTCTTCAAGAGACCCAGTATCTAATTCAAACTCAAGGCGCGGACACGGTGATCTTGGTATGTTGTTTAACACTACGATACCCGCGATGCTTAACATTGCTTCCGGTATCGTAGGTTGGACACTCATTGGGAGCTGCTATCGCTGAACTCGACGCAATGTTCATGACATTGAATTTGCCGTCCAATATCGCCATAAAGGCTCGGACGTATGGAACACCTCGGGTGGGGAACCCTGCATGGGCAGATCTCTTCGACGAAATGGTGAGTTTATAGCTCATTTGTTAGCAGAATCATTGATGAAGCTGTGATGATTTCAGGTTCCAAATTTCACGCGCATGAACAACGAGAAGGATCCTATTCCGATTGTTCCAGGTCGTTTCCTTGGTTTCGAGCACCCAGAGACAGAGGTGCACATTGTATCCGAAGCCGACAACAATGTTGTAGCTTGCCCAGGCAACGATGATGCCACTGATGCACAATGTACGATTATGACAGTGCCAAATGTCCTCGACGGTGATATTCTGGATCATTTGGGGCCTTATCCGGGAGGGATTTACATTGGTACTATTTATTGCACTTGATTTTACTTATTGGTCTCTGTGGCTGATGGTATGATGCCCGTTGCGTTCGCGTCGTGGATATCATGGAGAGGTCTATGATCTGTTGTTATTGTATGTACCGCTACTGATATGCTACGAAACTTCGGGAACGTGCAGAGTAATTATTTGATGTCCAAAATTGGTGCAAGACAATACGGATCCAACATCCCGTGGTCACTTGAAACTTGGGATTATATTCAGAAGCTATTGCTGGTGTGCAAAATATGTGAGACGTTCGACCCGTTGAACATATTTTTGATCAGCTGGACGAAGTTGGTCGAGCCACATTTGACTCAGGCCACATTTGACATGGCTCACGGCCTTTGCCGTTGCTTCTGCATATGCGCGCTAAACTCGATGTTTTGACATTGACTAGATCTAGGTTTTCATTGCGGTGTATCACGACCTTGTTCACATCCTACCTCGCACTCTTATTATCGTAAGTGCGTATTCGTATAATCAGGACATGGCTAGGGACTCTACGTCGCCAGCTCGACGACATTACCCAGATGATCGCTACCGGGAGGAGCGCCGGAGCTACAAGGATGACCGGCCTAGCGACCGACGACAGCGTAGAGATGTGGATAGGAGAGACATGAGAAATGGTGACCGTAGAGGAAATGGCAGGGAGCGGTCTAGAAGTCGAGACAACCGTCGCCGTGATGATGGCGACCGTAGGCGAGGCGACCGCTCAGAACGCGAACGTGACGGGCACAGAGAGCGCGATGGAGGGAGGGACCCAGACCGGCGTGCGCGTGCAGGACCATCCCGCCGTTCAGCGAGCCCCCGCCGGCGGCCATCGCGAGAGCGAGATCCATCGCACTCCTCTTCGAAACGCGAGGGCTCAGTCGAGGACAAGGCAAAGCCGAACTTCGCACCCTCCGGGCTACTTGCTGCTGCCACAAAGACGATCAAAAATGTCGATGGTACTAGTACCGTGTTGAAGTATCATGAGCCACCAGAGGCGCGAAAGCCCGCTGTTGGCTGGCGATTGTACGTCTTCAAAGGTAAAGAACAAGTTGGTATGTATTCCAAGTTGTACATCTATTAGTGTATGTTTTGACTCAATTCCCACTCAGACCTGTTACACATCCATCGACAGAGCGCATACCTCATTGGGCGAGATCGTACAGTGGCTGACCTGACTATTGAACATCCTTCCTGTTCAAAACAACATGCTGCTATTCAATGTACGCATCCTGGATGAAACATCTACATTGTCGTGCTGAGACTCTACCATTAAGATCGACAGGTCAAAGAACAGAATGAATTTGGCGATGTCAAGCCTGCTATCAAGTAAGCTGCCAGAATTCTCGTCAGGGCATTGCTGAGTGCCTGCCTAGGCCCTTCATTATTGACCTAGAGTCCACTAACGGAACGCATGTGAACGACGAGCAAATTCCCACCTCACGGTATTATGAGCTCAAGCCTGGTGATGGTGAGTGCTGTAGTGGTACGGATTGTAGCGCCTGCTCAGCGTGTCTTTCCAGTGATCAAGTTCGGAGAGTCCCAGCGGGAGTATGTACTCTTACACGATGACGCAGTCTGATCACAAGAGTGTGCTTTTGTCGACTTCGACATAGAACTGTCCCTTTTACTACCTACTCGCCCTATTCATTACAAAACTCACGGCTTCCTGCTTTACTGTGGTGCCTCTGATCCCTGTCTTGCGTTTCTGTTCATGTATTGATCAGAACTCTTTTTGTAGAATTTATCATGCGAGATGGCTTGAGGTAAATCTTCTGGGTGCGATGATATGATAAAACCTACGATTAAAATTTGGGTTTGTGGTGATATGCACTTATTGAGGTTTGGGAAATGCCAAGAGATAGTTATATACATTATAAATCTTACTATCCCAATCCGATATGGTGTAACGGCTAACATTACCGCCTTTCACAGGTAGTAGTGTGTGTAGTGCGCGGTAGCTCGGGGTTCGATTCCCCGTATCGGAGTTTTTTTCTTCCATTATGCACTGCTGCGTCCCTTTGACTTCTTCTCCATCCACGCTTTTTGTCTATGATTTTATAATTACCTCGACGTCCTCTTAATCCATCTTTTCGAATCTTAACGGCGACGTGCTTTATGCCCTTGTCTCCCTATTGTCTATTCATGACCCTCTCCGCCTATCGGCCAAGAACTGCACGTTATATATAGGGGAGCGGCATGCCTACACAAATTCATATCGATACAAGATGCTGAGCGAGCAGTGATGTTCTGCGCATATGTGCTCGTTGATGTCAGTGGCCGGCTGACTCAACTACGCAGGCTTTAAATTCAGAACAATTGTAAGTACAGTATACGTCTTTAATAAAAGGATGTGATGGGCGTCGCCGCAGCACGCGCTCTTTACTTCAAAAGTTTCTCTGCTTGACCAGGCGCGTAACCTAATTGCTAATACACTGTTCGCCGTTGATACCCTTTTGACAGCCGACCCGGCAAAGCATTGGCAATGGTCTTTCCAAGACCCACAGACTCACAGAGATACGATTGCATTCGTACTGCACTTCAATTTTGACACCGGTTGTCAGAAATCTCGGCAGTGACCGCGTTTTGGATTCTGAAGCGTTCATGCGTCTGCATCAGAAGTAAACGATACCACTAGCTCTTCGTTGCTCTCCAGCATCGTCAGCCTACGCTTCACCCTGCTGGATTGCCTACCCCAAGACACTGGTTTGTCCCTACCCCGGCCTGTCAGTGGTTCATGATTGAGAACCTCACAGTCCGACTGTGGGCAATATCCTTCCCTGTCTTGCGCATACCTTCCCCAGTATGCGCCGCTTGAGTCTGCACGGGTGCACGTCGGAAATGCAGCTTCCGAGCCTTGACCGTCTAGAAGGCGACAGAAGGACGTAGTGCGGCGGCCTATCACTTGCTCTGTTCATCATGTATGTCTTTACTATATACTGTAAAGCCCCTCATGGGACATGCTTGGTCTCAGGCCGTATTCTGGCGACGATCTCATGGGCGTACTGCGTGTGGTGCAAAATGCGTCTTCTGCCGTGCTCGCATTTGGCATTACGGCTTGGGTCAAATCGGAAAACACATTCTGAACCAAAATACCGTGATGTGCACCGGGACTTCGACGTCTCGAGGTTGAACCATGCGAGTCTCGCTCTGTGAAGAAGTTCGCCTCGTCCTTTCAGATACTGATGGTACGTGATTCAAGCTGAAGTTGATCTCCGTCTCTCTTTGCTGTGCGATTATTTACTCGCGCTTTATGCAGGCTGAGTTTTCCACGGTTTTTGTAGAACTTTCCTCTCTCATCTACGTCAGGATTTGTATCATCTCTTTGAACGAGCCATGTTGTTTTGGGGCCACTAGAGCCATATTTCACGTTAGTTCTAAGCTATGACGTAGCCCTCCCCCTTTCTCGACTAACTCGGATTCTCGTGGTGGAGAGTTGCTGGGCGCGAACTGTGCAGCCCACTGATGCTTCTCTTGGTGAGTGCGTTTGATCACAATTCTGCCCTCCGCAGTACAACGCTGTGTCTGATCTGCACCATGAGTCCATCAGAAGAAAGTTTTACTGTTTACGGTGTAGACCCCCAGAGCTGCCCCTATTTCCAAACATTGAAGCTATACCTTACCTCATCTACATCCAAATGTCTCTCTCGGAGCATAACTCCTCCCAAGCAGTAAGGGTGTATCACAGCACTCTACCCCCAACTGCCCAAGTGTCTTACAAAATCGATACCCTGGCGAAGGACCGACTTCCTCACATCTCCGTTCGTCGACTAATGGATTGCGTCAAGAGCCTTGTCAAATGAATGTGACAATAAACCCTTGCATCACCCCGTCCTATATGCTATCTCAAAGATGTTACATATAGGATGATTCTGGTCGTTGGTAGCTTGTGCCTTATTAATTCCCGGTTGGTCCAAATACTCACGTTGGGTGCTGTCCGGTTGTCCTTGATGCATGTGCCTACCGCTGTAAATTAATATCCGTTCTTCGTTATTCGTTCTTTGACCGTTACACTTTGTCGCATTATTATCGATACTGCATTCATACGGGAAGCCATGCATACAATGAGAGTCCGGAACCAAAGCAAATAGCGAATGCAGGGGAGGCTGTAGAACTACCGGCGTCGTCGGGAACGAATCCGCTTGCCATTCTGTACAGCCGGGCCATGACTTTCCGTACAAAGGAGTATCTTCAGCTATGCAGTATTGTAATTGGCCGGAAATAACTCACCCACGAATCTTTTTCTTCGGCGTTGACGGATGAGAAAACTGCACAGGGTTTTCGCCCTGGCGGAACTTCTCCAGGCTCCATAGAATGTATCTATACATACACATAAGTGGTGTCGAAGTACGCAATAGATCATTACGCACCTGCGATCCCGTACAGCTAAACCAGCTTTCTTCAGTTGTGGGCCGTCCAGCTTCCAGAGGTCTTCCCATTTTTCCGCCGTGACTTTTGTCTCCGCAGAACGTCCAAAGGATTTCAACAGTGCCTCAGGAGTATTGTAAACATCTGGGGGCCGGGAAGTTTGATCATAGTCAGCCAAGCTCAGTCTGGTAGAATTTAGTGAACGTACCTCTGAGCGGCGGGACTGGGCGCAATGCTGCCTTGTTTTGCAGTGCCCGACAGAGACGTGGCACTGCCGACAGTGCCTGCGTGGTGAAGCGATAGGACATGCAAAGTTACGCGGCGAAAGCAAGAAGAAAACGCGTCGGAAAAACCTCAAGGCTGAGGAGCTCGAGTGGGCTCGAGAATGAATCGGAACACTACTGACGCGGGAATTGTCGCCACGCTGGTATTACGATTTTGATCTCATCGAGATTCGAATTCTCCCGATCGCTTCCCCCCAACAGCGAAAGGCATGACTACTTATAACCCGCACAAGTTGACTCATAACTAAAATTCAAATATACTCGTAGGCTCTCGTAGTTAAATGTTGAAAAAAAAAATCAACAACAACCGAGTTCCACAATGTCTAGATGTAGTGTCCCTCGAATATCATTTAGACCAACACTCTAGGCGGAAGAATTGTTCTTCTTACGGCCTCCTTCCAAAACTTCATACAGCAAAGACAGCGGATTAGCACGTAGAATAGTCAGAACACAGGCGCGTCTCGTAGGAAAAGTCGTCGTTCCTCCTTCTGAACCCATCTTGCCACAGAGTTGGCGGCATTCACCACAGCACTCTTCGGGAGTAGTGGAGACAACGCAAGATAGAGCTCAAATGGCTGCGTAATCTATGAACAGATATACATTTGGCTCATTGAGAGATACTTAGGCAGAAACGGCGTACCCATCCCATGACGCTCTCGCGTTCCGTGCGAATGTACTGAAGCTTCAGTGTGCTCCCTTGGCCAGATTTCGCATGAATTGCATCGTATAGCGTCTGATAGAGTGTTATCAAGCTGTTCAGCGTAGATGATAGTTTTAGAAATCGTGTGAGCACAACGCTAGCAACACACACCGTCGCTTCTCGTTTGGTTGGTCGTAAGGGTCCTCGAAAAGGGGCATGGTCACTTGCACATGAGACCGAGATTTGTACACAAAGTGGCGAAGACCAGGTACACCTAAGTCAGCGACAGAATAGTCTGTCTCACCACGTTTCATGGCATTTGTTAACGCTCGCAGCAGCCCATCTTGTGTCAGGCGCTTACAAAAAAAATCAGCGAAGCATATTCCAAAGGTGCAGGAGTAATGCATACCGAGTCGATCGTATCACACCATTTCCGGACAGCTTCAAAGTCGGCACTGCCGCTGACGCAAACTAATCCAATTTCCGGAACAGGTTTATCTAAAATGCTTGGTTCCCGGCTCTCCGCGATGGCGTCTGTTGGTTGACTCTCATCCACAACAATATCGCTCTCTGTATTGTTTCGAGGTGACTTCGGCGCAGTACTGGTTACTGCGTCCCTACCCAGAAACATCACGTATGCATTCACAAAGGCGGCAGAATTGAATTTGGGGAGACAGACGGGCAACCAGGAGGCGGAGGCGGAAGAATTGAGAATCGAAGGGGCATGAATCGTGTTCACCAAGACATGTATGTCTAAACATAGGAAATCAATACGGCCACCAGTAGGAATGCAAAATAAGGCAGAATCTACCTGATGGGTGGATAGAATGCTTCTTGGGCCGCACGAGCGTAATAACTCGCTCTTGTGCGATAAGTATCACATATAATATATCCTACCAGTAGTCTAAGCAATACAACAGGAATCGCTGATGTACACAAACTTACCTTGATTTTGGACGTAGGTACAAGAATGTCTGCGATGCTTTTACGCAGCATTGGTTCGACCTTGAGACAATGCAGCGATGACGTGCTCATGGCGATATCCCATTCGAGTCTCGCCAATAATGAATACAGGAAAGGTTCCGCGCCTATTGCAGATTGCGAGATGAGCAATGGACGCATCACTTGAAGAACGACGCACCGCTCAATAACCTTCGTAAATCGAAGTTTGTACGCCGTTCAAACATTCGACGCAGCTGTTCGGCAGAGACAACACTCAAGATCTGCAGGTGGAGGTACTCAAGGTGGAAGCGGGTCTTCCTTCGCCAGTATCAATTCCTGGACTGCCATCTGTTCCTACAAGGAAAGTTCACCCACCACAGACTCTGGTTCGCCCCAAGACGACACACAGACATAATATAGCGGCGGCCGCAGGAGAAATGTAATGCGCGTTTTTCCAGCATTTATGCACCGCAGTTTATCGCCATCGTCAAAAAATATGGATACGAGTGCTTGCATTATCCCTATAGTAGACGTAAAGCTGTCCGACCCCTCCTCCTGTTGATTACTGCAGCGCACAAGTAAGAAAGGATGTAAAGCTAGCATATACACGACGTACCTGACAAATACGGGTTTTCCAGCATCTGTTAAAACGAAATACTGGCGTGGAGGATAACTATCCGCTGATACACATCGCACATGTCAGCGACCACTACGATGCATCCGAGCTATCAGAGTCTTTACTGGGTGTGTGAGGTAATTCATTCACGTCGGCGGCCTTTCCCTTGTCCTTCCGACTCCTCTGACCAGTATCTGAAGGTTTACGATCATGAAATTCGGGAAGGCAAGATTTACTGTAAGAACCTACCATCACCCGAGGACTCTTTCGTCGCTAACGTTCGTCGCAATTGCTCGCGAAGATGCTGCTTTGATTCCTCATCACCACTGTGAGTGACCGGCACTGGTTCCCCGTCAATCGTATCCACCTCCGCATCAGGCTCTTGAACGAGCATACCCTCGGACGCGAGTATGTCGACGTTGGTCACGGACGAAGCTGAGCTTTCCCCGCCCTCGTGCCTGCCATGCGTAGGCAGGTCGTTTGAAGGAGATCCTCCGCCCGGTGTCTGTAATGCGGAGGTTGTTCCATGGCTATAGACTCGTGAAGAGACCAATGGGGCCGGTCGCACTGAGGGAGGCGCCAGCCGCGACGGAGAAGGAACTGGTGTACCGACTCGAGAAGGCGTCCGAGACCGCGGCGTGTTTAGCGCAGACATTTTACCAGCGATCGCTGTGGTGTACGAGGAATCAGGCTCTGGTGTTGAATGGCGAAGCTAGTAAAAACCTAGTAAAGACATAAGCTTGAAACCGTCTCTGGCGCCGGAGATGCGAGTTTCCGGAATGGAAATGACCTTGGACCAGAACGACCATCTTTGACCAGCCACTACGATCACAAAGACCCTCGAGCGACCCGGAGCAGGCTGCGACCGCGTCTGACTCTCCAGGCCGGCCGTGTCCGTGTACATGAACCAGCCTGTTTCCTACGAGCGCGGAGACCCATGGTTTGACGATGGCAACATCGTCTTGCTTGCGGACGGAGCGAATGTCGCATTCAAAGTTCATCGAGGCATCCTCTCCCGACACTCGGATATCTTTCAAACAATGTTCCAGCTACCGCCCCCACAGGCAGACGTGGAGATGTTGGACGACTGTCATCTTGTCCGCATGTACGATTTGCCCGTTGAGCTAAGCAATCTGATTAAAGCACTGTACGACGGGGCGTAAGTCTTCCTACTCGCTTCTCCTGTAAGTCGAACCTGTTTGACTATCTATGATCATGATAGCACCTTTCAGAATCGCAGCGGGAGGGATTTTTGTGATCTCGCTGGCGTGTTACGCCTATCCACAAAGTATTTCATCATGCACCTACGAAAGCAAGCCATTCGCTTCTTATCACAAACATGGAGTCATACGTTGCGCGGACACGACGAAATGTTGGAAGCGGCAATCAAATCCCCCCTCGTAGACGGGACAACCTATCCTTATGTCCATCCCTTACATGTTCTCAACCTGGCCAGAGAGACCAACGTGCGAATCCTCGTGCCATCTGCGCTTTACTTTCTCTCCTTGTATCCCCTCGACAGTATTCTACGACGGGATCACCCCAAACTCCAAATTGACCATCCTTCATGTCCTTCCTCTGAATTATCACCACAAGACCTGAAGGAGTATACTCTGATGTTTCAGCACCGTATAGATGTCATCCTAGACTTCGTGCGTCGTGTGTGTGGTCAGCGCAAGGCGGCTGCAAACTGCAAAAATGATGATTCTGGGGCGTGTCTAAAGGCATTCTCGAGGTTATGTACAACTTTATCCCGCTCATGGATGGTCAGAACTGGACCGCTGCACTTTATGGTGCAGGCCATCGACGAGCTGTCCAGCATTTCGTCTGTTTGTATGCCGTGTCGACGGGTGTTTCGTGAAGATGTGTTGTCAGCGAGGCAGGAGGTATGGAAAGGACTGCCTGCAGTTATAGGAATACCTGGTTGGGACGATCTGGAAGCAACGGACTTGAATTTCTAGGTTAGGCTATTTTACGCGGTTCCTCATTGGTAGATATCGGCTCTACGACGTGTTGTACAATACATCTTACTCTTTACACTATGATGACAACATTCCATTGATCAGTAACTTTGCATTCAGGCTTACATTTTGCTAGACTTACCCAGTGCTGTTGTGTTCCAATACAATACTTCAACAGCCAAATTTGATCATCTTGCCTTGCACCCACACCTGTTGCCTGTTTCTGGTATCCCCTAAGCACCACCATTTCTCTATCGAATCAACCGACAGAACTTGTCGTTCACTTAGATCATCGAAAAAGTCAAGGGCACCGACGCCTTCACCAGTACGCGCATCGAACAAGCGGACTTGTATATACGGTGAACACCAAGCGAGGCAAGGGAATGTCATAGTACTCACTACACTGTGCATCGAACGGAGATCCAACGGAGAATGATCCGGTTCCACTAGGTAGGCCAAGCGCGATTGCCCCCCCGCGCGTCGCAAGATATAGTGCCTCCTTCCAATCTATGGATAGATTCGTCTCTTGTTCGGCCGATGTGCCAGCAGTCGCAACTATACGTTCACCTTCGCGCATACGAGAGATTGCGACGGCATGTCTCATACAGCTCAGGACATCGACGTCGTATCCCCCCGCGATATCTGTTCCCAGACCTACCTTGACGCCAAGCTGCAGAGCCTCGCGCAAACGGAATGGTTTAGCGGAGAAATACGCATTGGAGAGGGGGCAGTGTGCGATGGCCGTTTCGTACTCAGCGACTTGAGTGAGCAAGGGAGGATCCAAGAACGTGCAGTGCGCTTGGACAGTGCGAGGAGTCAAGAGTCCGTGCTGAGGGCAACGTAAGTGCTTTGTACAGCACTACAACAAGAGTAATTACCTTGGCGAATATATCGATGTCGTGTGAACCCCGCTCACGCTGCACCCATTCGAGTTCGTCGTGAGCTTCAGACATGTGACTTTGGATACGAAGATCTGCTTGTGCAGACAGTTGACCCAGCCCTTCCAAAAGCTCATCCGAGCAGGTAGGCACAAAGCGAGGTGTCAAAACAGGATGGACGAGCCTTTCATGATCGGGCAAATGTGCAACGAGGTCACAGCAGCGCTCTGAAAAGGATCGAGCCTCGGAGAGCGACGCTTCAGCAGATTCTTCCATATAGGAAGGACGCGATGAGATGTCCATGGAAAGCTTCCCAACGAAGCCTCTGATACCTGCCTCTTGCATAACACGAGCAAGTATTAGACTGTCCGATCGAGAATGCCAGTGAGTGCCCCCAATGAAGTCAGATGTATCAAGGGTCTGCCTCACTTTGTTTCTGTTTTAATCGTCCCAAACAGGAGGACAGCCCCAGTGCCATTCTCTATCAGCCTGGTCGCGAGCCGCTTGTAGACTTTATCTGCGAGCACGGGGTCGTTATCCAATCCTTCCTCCGCTTTAAACGCATACTCGTCTAGCCATTCCATGAGTGGCAAATGAAGGCCAGTGCCTTGATAGAGAAACTGTGGTGCGTGCAAATGCAAATCACAGAATGTCGGTATGAGAAAGCTCCCTTGTTCAATCACCAACGGGGGCTCTGCTGCATCTGCAAGCATCTGCTGCGATTCTGGCCTGTTCGCGGGAGCTACATAGCTTACTCTGCCCGACTCGTCCACGGCTGATGAAAGAAGCCATGATGTCAATCGATATCCAACGATAGTAGCCTTTCATGAGTATAGCTCACCTAGGACGAAGTCTCTCAAGATATCGAGCTGACCAAGTTCCGGACAGTGTACAAGATTGCCTCGTATGAGCATGTCTGGAAGAAAGATGAGACGTCGATTCGGTCGCACCGGTCGCAGCCTGAACGAGCCAAGTAAACGGTGGGCTGCTAGTCGTGGCTGAGAGGAACTGCAGTCGATGAAACAATTGTAAAATTGACCCTGGCTGGCTAGCTAGGTCCCAGGATACTTTGCCTGGACAAACATCTAAACCGATAGGTTTTTTTTAATTTTAATTCTGATCATTTGACATTGGGAGTTCGAGTGATTCTCATTTGATTAGTACGCTCTGAAACTTGTGTCATAGTAGGAGAGAATTTCGGAAGTTATAGTGGTCATGCCAATCGAGTGTATGCGCAAGAGTGCGCGCGCGCCCGTGAGCTAACGTTTCCTTCCAGTCATAAAACACCTCCCACGAGTGGTTCCACTTGAACGTCCAACATGTCCAGTTCTGCCGGTCCACCCATATTCACGGAAACATCTGCGTACTCACTAGCATTTGTTGCCATTGTTGGTGTCGTCGCCTACGTCTCGTCTAATACTTTACTTCCGAAGAACGCGAGATGGCAGGATCGCTTTGCGTTTATCTGGCTGGTACGACTAGTCTCTCCTCATTAGTCTGATGTGAAATTAACCTCAAAGCATATAGGCGTTCGATGCTATGATACATTTTACCTTCGAAGGCTCATTCCTCTGGTTGTCCACCTTCGGAAGGCAAGTCAACACTAGTGTTGGACCATTCGCCGAGTTATGTAGGTCGTTCTTGGAGGCGTTTCCTCAGCATCTAAAGAGACCCCTTCAGGGAAGGAATATGCGCGAGCAGATGCACGCTGGGGGTTTTCTGATCCAACCGTCGTCTCCCTTGAAATCCTGACTGTCCTAGGAGCGGGCCCAATGTGTTGCTACATTCTCAAGCAGCTAGCCCAGGATGATCCTGCTAGACACTACTGGATCGTTGTCCTCAGCACCGCGGAGTTATACGGAGGGTGGGTACAGCAGGTTTGTAAGTTCGCTTTGCAGTGACTGACTGACCTTTTTAGCTGGATGACCTTCTGCCCTGAGTGGTTGACCGGCAGCAAGTATTTAGATACATCAAATATCTTATATTTCTGGGTGTATCTTGTTGTGAGTGCTACTCTTTCTGGGGATAGGGTTTGATCTGAAAAGGAATTCTGGCATTTGTACTAGTTCATGAACGTCATGTGAGATATCTAGACATGGTCGTCCTACATAGACCGTATGATGCTGATACTTCTAATTTAGTTGGGTTTTGGTCCCTCTGTGGTTGATGGTAGATTCATACGGACACATTGCTCGTTCTCTACGGGCGTCACAAGCCGCTGCCAGGACCAAGAAACAGTAGAAGCAGGAGGTTGGCGTTGCTGCGCCTGAAAAGTCTGCTCGCCATGGTGCGCGCGGTGCATACGTTGTATGTGTTCTTTTACCGCACTATCCCTCCATTGCTGTCATAATTGTGTCATGCTTTGATATACTAGTGGTGTTATATTCCACCATTTGTTCTTTGAGTGCTTCTCATAATAAATCATTGGCTTCTCAAAGATGTGCTTCACTACGTCCATCGTTCCAAGATAGTATACGCATCAAGGCTTGAACCGAAAGCCTATGGACCGAAAGAGAGCTTGATTGAATTGAGGCAATCAGAGTCCCACTATCTGACGCTATTCTTGTTGAATCATTCTCGCAACTACTGGAACCAGCTTGGAAGAATGTGCGGGAAAAGTAAGACTGCAAGTTCCTGATACATGACTCAGTAGGGTTTACTCCGTATTTCTGCACTAGCAGGAGAAGCACATGTAATCGACTTCAACGCAAATTACGCACCGTCTGCGTACTTAGGATCTGTGAGCATACTTAGAGGTTGCTGATGAACTAGTTTCATTATGAAACCACGTTTACGTTCAGATGGAGTCAGTGCTGGTACGGGAGCCAGAGGGCTAGAAGAAGTTCCTAGAATAATTGCGCACGCGATGAGCTAATTCATTATCTCCGTGACATCTCGCCTTGCAGATACTTTTGTGACACATCCATATTTTGTGATGGGTACGATCATAGAATTACAGCCTCTGAGCGCCATTAGTGCCCTTCGTCTGGGGCAGTTCAACGATCTGGTCAAAACCTGGGTAATCTGGTAAATTAAGGGCAAATTTCTCCTCCATAGACCTAAGCGAAATTGTGGTCAGGGGGGAGCCTAGCATAAAACGGTATATATGCTTTTGCATACTTAGGAACAAATCTTCCGCCTAAGAAGTGTCTCCCTGTGAACTGTCTGACACCCTCCTTGGGTGCTGTCAAGCTAATGAGAACGTCAGGATTCAAGCCTACGCCTTCTGCGTTCCCATGCTCCACGTCCCATCCGGAGGGAATATCTACCGAGATAATTGGCAACCCGGAGGAACTGATGAGGGGAAGCGCGGTTTCAAAGGGTGCTCGAACAGGTGGTTTGAAGGAGAAGCCGAATATAGCATCCAAAATGACATCGGAGCGAGCGAGCGCATCGCTTAAGGAATGCGTGTCGTCTGACGGGGCGAGCGTTTGAATTTTCATATTGTCGCACTGCGTCTTAAGCCTCTGAAGATTTAGTGAATACTCAGCGATATAATGATAGTATAACATTGTCCTGCCTTGTAGATTTCTTTCGATCCAGGCTGTGTAGGCGTATAAGCTACGTCAAAACTCCATTATCACAGCCAAGATACATACCTTGGGCATCCAGATTGTGGGCTGATATCCGAACATGCCTGAGAGCAGATTTAATAAGCCAAATCATACAGTCAAACAATGTACTGACCAAGATGCCTTGCAGCAACTAATCCATCTCCTCCTTGATTACCCGGACCACAACAAACAAGAACGCGCGGATATTTATCCTTGTGATACACTTTCGCCAGAGTCTGTGCACAGGCCAGGCCAGCCAATTCCATCAGCTAGATCACCACACGTCAGTTTGCTCCGGGACAAACAGTTAACAGGCAATCAGTACCTGGTCGAGGCTGAATGCTCCAGCTGCGCTCATGAGTTCTTCATCAATCTAACCCATCGACGATGAGCAGCCGTGAGCAAATCGAGATGAAGATATGTACTTGCTGAGCAAGTTTAGCCGTGAGATAGCGAAGAGACATAGTGGCAGTCTAAAGTAGAGTTGTTCACGACGCGGAGGACTCGCCACTCAGTGTGACATCATGGAAGACAAGACGGCCCTATAGTGGGCGCTAAAATCAAACATTCGAGACAAAACTGCAAACATACATCGTCGAGGCGAGCTGAACCGCAAATAACGATAATGTTAAATAACAAGACTAGCCCTTGCCATGTCCCCTTCGCCATCGTATAAATCAAGTAAAGTGATCGCCGTCGCCAGCCTAGTCCTATGCCGGCGGCTTTGCACAAACCCTCCTATGCTCGTCCCAATCCATCCTCTGATGCTCGGGCGAGCAATACTTGACCAGTTTGCACCTGCTACAGACCAAGCCAGAAAAGCGCGGAGCAGTAGGTTCTTCTGTACTGCCATCGCTTCCCTCGCAGCTACTACTGCCCGCAATGCTCTCCTCACTTGTACCCTCGCTGAGGCCGCTGTGGCCAATTTCTTCCGAAAAGGAGACGTGACAATCCATCCAATTGCACATCTCCTGTATCTTGGCTCGTCGACCATAACGATAGCGAACCTTTCGCTTGTGACAAAGCACTGCGGCTGTTTCGAGGCCTTTCTTCGGAAATCTGATCAACTCGCAGCAATTATCCGTACATCCTGGATTCGGGCAACCGCTGGGGAAATCGTGGTAGATGTCCTTAGAAGGCACGAAAAGAGTATTCGAAAATAAGATCTGGGAGTAGGACATTGTTTGATGGGAAAAGAGGACAATGAATGGTGGCCGTTTCTCGTGGAGGATGGCTCGCATAGTGAGGTCAAGCTGGGGAAAGCATGGTGTGCGACGCTGCCGGTCGAGAGTGTGAGTGAGGTGTATGTCTAGTGGAAGGGATGTGTGCACAACGTCGGCAACAATCCTTGACGCGAAGAAAATAGGTACTGACGGTCATGATTGATTCTCTGCTCTACACTCGGTTTGCACGGCCCATTGACAGCATTTTGACATACATATTGGAAGTACTCCGTCACCTGGTCCATCTCTTGGCGTTTCAAATCGGTGACTATAACATATATGTCGTCGCAACCCCGATCGTGCATTCCTCGCAAGAGCATAAGTTCCGGGAGCTAAAGAAGGCGATATTCCGAAACTGTTTTTCTCAAATTTTATGAGAATACGCACCATGCTGAAAATGACAGGCATCATATTTAACCGCGACATAGATTTGTGATGATATACATGGGTAACCCACGTACGATCCAGGGGAATGAGACGCCCTGTGTCGACGGTGCGAATGAAAATGTTCTCGGGAACAAAGACACCTTTATTCCAGAGCAGTCTTTGTTGATTGCGCGCATTTGTGGTGGCATGATGACGCCGTTCGCGCACACGTTGAAACCAGTCGTAGTACGCATCAGGACGGTGGGGTCGCTCGAGCCATTTGTCAATCAGCAAGTCCGTCGCATCGTTGTCAAGCTTCTGGCAAACGAGTTCGCTCATAGAAAGACTGGGAGGGATGAATTTCGAATAATATCGACCAGGCATGGCGAGTAGCAATGAGAGTAGCGGAGGAGTTGGGGAAGTGAGTTGCTAGAGCTCAGATGAGGGCTTTCAAATGAGAGCGGACTTCCGGAACTAGGCTGGGGCGGCGGCTGAGTGGAAACGGCGTCTAGCCACAAAGGCCTGTACAACGCGAAAAAGCTCGCCCTAAACATCGATGACGATCATGCCACGTGCCCGACGCGACTATATGCATTCAAATTCACGACAACGTAAGAGCCCTTCCCGAGCCCACAAAATGACAAAGCTTAATTACTCTTTGCAGTTAGCTGGTCTTGTCCCGTTTACAAGTACCTCTAGACTACCCGCCCTACTTCCGAACAGGTGAAGCTGGACTTCTCCCGTTTACAAGGACTTTGGACCATTCGCCCTTCCTCGTAGTGTTTGAATAACCCTTGCCGATCTTTACCACTCATACAAAATCACAACGGTTTCCCAAATGCTGCTAGCCAAGTCAAAGCTCAAGCTCGGGTGTGGAATAGCAGGCGTTTATCTCGGGTCCCTTATATGTTCAGCCTTGGGTATGTCTTAAGATCATCCTTTTTAGAGAGGCTGATACGCACATGTCGTAGCCGCATCCACTGTGCTTGAGCTATCGGAGGTAAGTCGCGGCGGCAAACTACGAAGGGCATCGGACAGCTGACAATCAGTCATACGCTGATCCAGCAATGCCGTAAATGGACATATGTGCGTGATGTTTCCCTGCCTCATCTTTAATTTTCAAGCGGACACACCCCCACCCAGATTCTAGACGATATGCAGGCAAATGTGTACAATGTTGAATATACTTTCGAAGACAAGAGTATTTGACGCTCGATTATAATTAGGTTTGACGGTGGACGCTGTGGAGACCAAGCTCGAGAAGCAATTCGTCTTACATTTCACGACGGTATTGGCCAATCTGTTTCACTCCGTGCTTCCGGCCATTTTGGGTGAGCACATCAACTCAAAATCGTACAATTCGTAGAACTTGATCATCCTTTTAGAGGAGGAGGAGCGGGTGAGTGTGATCGTCAGAATGCCACGTCTAAGGTTAAACCTTCCTCAAAAGATGGGAGTATAATTCAGTTCGCCAGCGTCGAACTAGCGGACCGTGGGAGATGTTTCCATGCACTTTTAGTGTGTTATTGCTAATTTCTTTCAATAGCCGCTAACGAAGGTCTAGACGACATTGTTTACGCACTGAAGATTTTTGCCGACAGCCATGATATTAGCTACGGGGACATGTACGTGAATCAGGACATTCCGTACCCTGAAACCAACTGTCATATATCTCATCTTAGGGTTCAATTTGCCGGAGCAGTTGCCCTATCCAATTGTCCTGGCAGTCCCCGGCTGGAATTCTTTGCTGGACGGCCCAAGGCAATTGCACCTGCACCCCCGAGACTGATCCCGTCGCCCTCCGACTCTGTCGAGCACATACTCGCCAGAATGGAGGATGCAGGCCTCAGCCCCGAAGACACTGTTGCATTGTTGGCTGCACATTCAGTCGCCGTCCAGAAGACAGTCGATCCAAGTGTGTCGGGTATGCCGTTGGACAGCACTCCTGAAGCATTTGACACACAATTTTACTTGGAGGTACGTCCGTCTGTGCGATGTAGGGTTCTAATACTAGATCAGATCACCGTCGTGTCTGACAATCCCAGACACTTCTGAAGGGCGCCGTGTATCCAGGGAAGAACAGGAGCCTCGCAGGGGCCAGGTCGGCCTCGAGGGACGAATTTCGGCTTAGGTCCGACTCCGCGATCGCGCGCCACTCCCGCACGGCGTGCCAATGGCAGTCGTTTGTCGGTAAGTTTTATATCTGTGAGAACGATACGTAACTACAGTTACTTCTGCGCGTGTTCCCGTGAAAGGCGACGAGCAGAAGATGCGCCATGCCTTCCGGGATGCCATGGCGAAGCTAGCGAATCAAGGGCATCATGAACTCGTGGATTGCTCCTTTGTCATCCCCCGACCGCTGCCTCGGAGTGTATCGGCGGTGTTTCCTCTGGGAAAAAATCTCTCAGATATAGACCAGTCGGTGAGCAGTCGCATAACATGTACCAACATATAGTGACGGCTGCTCGCGTCTCCACTTCTGTGCTAGTGCACCAATTCTACCTTTCCGAACTTGCCTTCTGGATCCGTAGGCCAGCTGACCTAGCCATGGAGCCGTAATTGATAAAGTGGGACAGACCCAGCCTTGTACATTTCCCGTTCTTTGTCGGCGATCTCTGCGATGGACATTATATGTATGCGTTCCATTCGTCGATTTGCTTGTAGCGCTAGCACACATTCCTTGTTTGTTCCTTTGTCTTGTCACCTTGTGCTGCTACCTCCAGACTTGATGTATGTCATTGTAGCGAGCTTCTGACGGCCCGTGATTGCTCTTGATGCACCCATGGTGAGATACGGACCGACACAATTTCAGGAAAAACATAGAAACATAAACACGAGCAGGGCACGCCATCAGCTTGCGTGAAAGTCCCATATATGTACGGCGTATCCTCCCTCGCACCTACGAGATTCCGAGGTGCGACAGCCTAATTCGTTTGGGACACCGGTAAATCAGTTATTGAAAACACCAAAGCTCATGTGCGCGTACCATTGATCACACAGAGTGTGAACGCCAAATTCGAGCTCCAAGGACTACTGCCGCATACTGCACTGGGGATACGTCCCAGTATTCGCCAAGAGTGGAGCCACTCCGCCATTAAAGAGTCGCACCCTCTTCGTCACTGTCCTCAGCCTCGTCCGAAAGGACGATACCGTCTCCCTCGTAAATTCTTGCAGAATCTCAAAATCTAGTGACGCTAGTGGGGCATTGAGAGCGCTCGCCCGGACGGTTAGACACTGCTCCAGGGCGAGCAAATGCTGATATAAATGTCTCCCGTCGCGCCACCGATCCAGAATGCGCATGGTCTGCAGTCGACGACAGGGTATACGATCCCTAGGTGTGCTCGACGAAACGGTTGGATCGCTGAGCGTTTGGAGGAACGAAACGAGACTTTCCGTCGCCGACCCTCCTACCTCGATGGACATCAGACGGGGCAAGCAGGCGAAGAGTCTCTTGCATGTGAGCGGTGTGAGCGGAACGCTCGGAGTCGAGCCGTTCGGAGCGACTATCTGCAGGGCAGTCACGCCCGAGAGGATATAGCTGATGGATGCAGCGTTCTCGAGGATTTGAGGCAGCGCCTCAGGGCTGACGGCGAATCGCACCGACGCGCGAGCGGGATCCGCGTGGTTGATGAGAGCAAGACCATTTGTAGAGATCTGGAGGGTCACATGGAACGACATGGAGCGATACTGCAGCAAAGAAAAAATGCGAAGGCGAGAAAGATCTGCAGGAATGACTGCGGAGAGGTCCGTGACACCATGACTGTGGAGGAAGATGGTGGTTGTAGCGGGGATAGAAAGATGAGAGAGAATCTGGGTCATGATGACTCTCGATCTTGTACCGAGTTCGAGCAGTTTCAAATGAGGTAGTTCTACGACTGGTAGATCGACGAATGTCCCGTCAATGACATGGGGAGGTTCTCTGAGTGCCGATACCAGTGCGAACTCTTCCAGGATAGGACAGCTGTTGAGGATCGACAACACATCTGGCACCGAAGGGCAGAAGGACGTATAGAGGCGGGACAGTGTGAGCTTTCTTAAGCTGGCGGGAAACGAGACGCGACGATTCCAGCCGTTGAAAGAGATGTCGTCGAAACATATTCTATGGAGTCTCGCCGAACGCAACTCGACGAGAAGCGACGGTCCGCCTCGAGTGGAAGAATGCAGCCCTGAAGCAAGGTCCAGTAGCTGAGGTATGGCCGTCCCGAAGAGGGCCAGGACAGTGCGCATCATGGACTGGCTGGCAAATAGGTAGATGCTTTCTACACGTTGCATGTGGGCCGAGAGCCAGTGTTCGGCTTGAGCCGAAAATGCGCGCACGTCGTTGCGACATGTGGGGGTGAATGTAACGCGTATGGGTGAGGAACGAGAGCGGGCGCAGAATTCTCGACCGATGGTAGGATATCGGAGGTCCACGAGCGTCCAGAGGGTAGACGCATCGAGAGACGCCTGGCGCCAATAACGGGAGACGTGACTGAGCGCGATGGCCCGGAAAATGTGCTCTGGGCTGAAGGAGTTTCCGTCGAGGGTCAGTGCAAATATAATGGAGAGCAGTTCGCTCGGAAGACGATCGATTGGCGGTATTGGAACATCCGTCCTGTCGTCTGGGCCGAAAAGGAGTGCAGATGATGTAGATGATGTCTGTGAATGATGCTGATCCCTGGGCATGGTCGCAGGCACGCGCTTGTTGGGCTGCAGAAGACGACGTTGAAGAGGCATCATATGAGGTGGGGCGAGACATACCATTGTGTGGAGGATAAACGGAGGTGCTGGATAGAACGGTTATAAGGGCCGGCGCATAAAGCCGGGTGATTAACCTGGTGGTGGGCACACGAGAAATGTGGTTACTTGATCTTGAGGCTTCGGGCGGTCTCGCGCCGCCGTAGAATGCGACTTCTACAGCCTTGACGGAAAATGCCAGGTCCGGGCAGTCTCGCGGCATTGCCCAGCCGTGGATACGTGCTCAAACTGTGCTGGCCGAGGCCGGCGGCAGGGTGCTGGTTGGACTACTATCAGGGTTTGAGTGGCGAATTTTGGATCCAGTCAACTTCTTACTTACCGGCAGCCACGTGTGGGCGTTCACCGTGCGTGCGCCTGAGTGGGTTCCACACTAAACCGAGCACGCGAATTTGACGAGCTGAGTTTGGTGACTGACCGGGGCTCCAGCACACAGGAACGCGGCCAACAGAGCTCAACTGGGTCGAGCGGCGCAACTCGGCGGGAGGGGGAGCCGACCACGTTGTATTCGCTGACTCCGCATAGCTCGGACGGCGACAGGCCAGACATGTTGCGACATTTGCGCGGTCGGTCTTGTACCGCGGCGTAGTACCATCATCGCCGTGCTTGACCGGCGGCGAGGTTCCGCTACTGTCTGGCTCACAAGCCGCAATACCGCCCGATGTGGCATCAACAAGCCTCATCACGACATATGCGTCTTGTGTTTGTGATTCATCTTTCGCCCCGAACTGTTGCAGGCGGACTCAGGGCACGAATCATTTTGCGGCGAACTTGAACCTCCTCTCCATCCCGATCACCCGGGGTCGGCCCGCCGCCCTCAAGCGCCCAAATGCTCGCGTGGCCGCGCGGCGTCGGGATGCCGACAAATTGGGAAGCCGCTCCTTCGTCCCGCCATCCACCACGATGAAGGCCGTCCTCGCCGGCTTGGCCGCCCTCCCCCTCGTAGCATGTCGGCTCAACGTCGACTCACACGCTCTTCATCTCCTCGGACCACAGGGTGTCAATCTATGGAAGCTGAACGCGCTCGCGACCACGGATGCACGTACCGCGCGTCATCCCCACGCGCTCGTCGTCCAGCAGCCGCTGCAGTCTCTTGATGAGCCATCGGAGTTTCCAGCCCATTGGTTTACACAGCCTTTAGACCACTTTTCCAAGACGCCTCATACTTTTAACCAGCGATACTGGATCAATACGCGTCATTACAAGCCTGGATCAAATGCGCCTGTCATAGTTCTTGATGGAGGAGAGACATCCGGCGAAGATAGGATCCCATTTCTGGACACGGGTATCGTGGAAATTCTTGCAAAGGCCACGGGCGGGGTCGGTGTAGTACTGGAACACAGGTCAGTCTGATTTGCGCCCAGTAGTCCGCTTAATTAACTTTTGGGACTACAGGTACTATGGTGAGTAATGGCTCTAATCTCGATCACGCCGACCGAGTCAGTTAACACGGGATGCAGGGGAATCGGTACCTGTCGCGAACTTGACCACGGACTCTTTGCGGTGCGTATCTCCATGACGCGTCTGATCCTGCCTGTGATGCATCTCTCATCCCTAGATGGCTCAACAATGACCAATCGGCCGCGGATTCCGCCAACTTCATGGCCAATGTAAAATTTCCGGGAATTCACGAAGATCTCACGGCTCCCGGCACTCCTTGGATCTACTACGGGGTTTGTCCAATATCTTAATGACATGTTTCCACTAGATCATCTCGTTCCATCCGTTTCTAGGGCTCATATGCCGGAGCGCGCGCAGCGCACATGAGAATTCTGTATCCGGATCTTGTTTATGGGGCGATTGCATCTAGTGGTAAGTATCTACATCGATGGTATAGATCCACACCCTCACGGCCTTGCTCTTAGGTGTGACTCACGCAGCCATCGAGCATTGGGAATACATGGACATTATTCGACGTGCTGCAGATCCAGAGTGCTCAGCTAATATTCAGTCAGCGATAGAGGCAATTGACACTATCCTGTCTATTTCGCAACTACGAACACCGCTTAAGGGATTATTTGGTTTGGCCGGTCTGGAACATGATGAGGACTTTGCCTCATTGCTCACGGTCAGCGCGCTTTCCTGCAGTCTGGTTCATATACTTATTCTCCTTGCCACCCGTTCACAAGAGCCCAATGAGCTCTTGGCAATCGAAGAACTGGGATAAATCAATCAGTGACACCGGATTTGAGGAATTCTGCGTTGCTTTGAACAAGTCTGTCGGCGGTGAATACATCAGCGCTCAGTCACCTGGATTAATCTATGACGACAACACGAAAACCCTTGCCTTGCCAGGCGGTCTCAAGGTTCCCGTACTTGTATACAATTATGCTCAATACATTAAAGAGGTGAGATGGTTGAATTTACACTGGGACTGTTATGCTCAAATATGGGAACCGTCTAGAACGTTGTGTCCGAATGTCCTGAAGAAATTTCAGTTGAAGACGTGAGCGGTGATTGCGTCTCCCCATGTCTGTATATGCTCAAGAAAAGATATCTCAGTGCTTTGGAACTTATGATGATGCTAAATACCAAGGAACGTCTCTCGATGAGACTTGGCGTCTCTGGTTATTCCAAATTTGCACTGAATGGGGCTACTTTTTTGTCAGTTCTTCCAGGATTTTTCACATGGTGAACGCAGACTCAAATGAATATACAGACTGCTCCCCCAGAAAATCACCCACGAATTGTATCTAACCGTTTGGTTCTTGGATACGAGACGAAACTTTGCCAACAGGTTTGTCGTCCTATCAATTATTTCACTTGAGCTCATGTAGACCTGACCGTCTCATGTTAGGCCTTCGCTCCTGGAAAGCACTTCATTGTTCCGCCTTTGCCGAATATCACCGCTGTTAATTCCTTGGGTGATTTCGCGATTGCCGCGGACAGGCTCGCGATTATCGATGGAGAAGGTAGGTTGACATTATTATGAGCCATTCCAAGATTTTCAAGCTCATTACTCGCCACAAAGTTGACCCCTGGAGGCCCGATACACCTCACAGCGACTATGCGCTTCCTCGTGAAGATACCCTTTTGAGACCGTTTAAGCTGATCCCTGGTACGTTTCGCTCCCATCAATCCATATCTTTCTCAGTGGTCGTGGAACAAGCTGACGATGTGTGCTTGCTTCAGGCGGTGTTCACCATTATGATGAATATGGCCTCCGTGACATGTCCGCTGAGCCACCCGAGATCAAGAAGATCCACGAGGAGATGATCGGATTTGTCACAGAATGGCTGAAGGATTGGAAGGCCCCGAACGAATCTGACCTCGCATCTCGCAAGCTCTGAGATTGTGTAGAGCTTGCGCGACTCTGGGGTGATTAAGTATATTTCATATATATTAGTTTGGCTTCATCGGACTGTCCCCGCGGTCCATTTGAAAGACCTCGCGCTTTTGTTGAATGCACGACGTTTCGCATATTTACATCTGGTCCGATGCCGCTTTGTCGGACATGGTCCGCCGCGATCTCGGAACTCGGAACTCCCTCGAGCGTTGCGCGGCTAGCGTCTATAAGTTTTTGTGAATACCAGAGATTCAGCGTGGTGTGGTTGTGGCGGTGGTCCATGACTTAGCATGGCTGAACTTAGAACTGTACATACGGTCATGCTTTCCACGCGCGGTCTCCGATTAGGCTCTCGCTCTTTGACTCATCAAACCTCGTGTCTCTGAGCTCTGTGTCCAGATGGGTGCCGAACAGTCGACATATGAGGGTCCTCCGGAGATCCTGGAGGCGAGAGATTTGTCATCGGTGGCCAAGTATATGAAATCGAGTGAATGCAGGAATGTGTTCGTCATGGTGAGTATCCGAGTCCATGATGCGGCTGCCCACATGCACCATTCGGGTGTGCTGACATGGAAGTGACCACTCTCAGCTAGGTGCTGGTAAGAACTTCTCAGATTGGAGCGAAATGGAAGCTAGACTGGGCTGATTGAACGATCTGGTTGGCAGGTGTGAGCACCTCCGCCGGCATACCCGATTTCAGATCGCCAGAAACGGGTGCGTGCGTCGCATTGTCAACTGTTACGTCGGTCTCAGTGGCGCACGATATTGTGTCTGATAGGATTATATGTACGTCCATTACAGAGGACACCAGAGGAGTGTTGTCTGATCTCGATGCACAGGCAAATCTCGCACGACTCAACCTCCCTTATCCTGAGGCCGTCTTTGAGATCAATTTCTTCCGAGAGAACCCAAAGCCATGTAAGATCTCTAGCTAGGTCCTGCATGAATACTGTCTCATGTGGTGTACTTTTAAGTTTATACCCTCGCTCGCGAGCTTCTTCCAGGACGATTCCGCCCTACGCCAACACATTCCTTCATCCGCCTCCTCGCCGACCGCTCCCTCTTGCATACATGCTTCACCCAGAACATAGACACCCTAGAGCGTCGTGCTGGTGTCCCTTCTCACAAGATTGTGGAGGCTCACGGAAGCTTCGCCAGTCAGCGATGTATAGATTGCAGCACGGTGTATGACGACGAGAAGATGAGGACGAGCCTGAAGACGGGCGTCATAGCCGTTTGCCCCGAGTGCGAAGGGCTGGTCAAACCAGATATCGTCTTCTTTGGAGAAGCGGTATGTCATTACGATGTTGTACATCTCAGCATTTGCGGTCTGACATTACCGTGCTCAAGCTTCCGCAGCGTTTCCACCATTCTGTACCACAGCTTCGCAAGGCTGATTTGCTCTTCGTGATCGGTACCTCTTTGACCGTGCAGCCGTTTGCGTCGCTCGCTACGTTGGTGCCCGATCATTGCCCCCGAGTACTCATAAATCTCGATGCCGTCGGTGATCTCGGCAGTAGGGGAGACGATGTACTATGTTTAGGGAAGTGCGACGAGGTGGTCAGAGACCTCTGCAAAGCACTGGGCTGGGAGGCGGAGTTGGACGCCGCATGGAAAGCGACAGAGAACAGCGTGGTTGATTTTGACGAAATCCCTCCAGTAGATGCTCAGCCGGATAAAGGGGAGGACCAACGGCTACGGGAGGAAGTGGAAGATATTACAGAGAAACTTGAACGGATTCTCGGTGCTAAGTTCCAAGAGGATTCGCAGACATCTGAAGATGGTAGCGAATCGCGAGCTGAATCATCAGCACCCGCTAGCGAAGAAATTCCACTAGTTCAAGAAGATAACCAACCATTGGAGGTCAAGGTCTTTGTGCAAAAGAATACTGACGAACCTAAGGAGAAGCTATAAATTGTAATCTGAATGTCAATCTATTGGATGGTTTTAGTCGATGTATGATGTACATGTATTCTTGCTTTTGCTGTATGCCACAGATTGTTATAGTGGAAACGATCAAGCGATAACAGAGAGCCCAAAGCCGTAGAACATATTATAATCGGACGTGCGAGATTACGAATTCGGCTATCTCATCGAAGAGTCCGCCTTCCTGGCCGTATTTCTCTTCGGCATCCTTTTGATAGTCAAAAGAATGTTCCTCGCTATCAATGATTTTCAACTTCGCGTCAACCCCGGCGCGTTGTAGCAAGTGATACAGATGGCAAGATTCATCCTTAAGGACTGCAGAATCCAAAGAACCATGGATGAGGAAGGTAGGGGGCCAAGTAGACCCGATCTGCAACTGGGGAAACAAGGAAAGGTGTTCCGCGGGTATCGCGTCTTCGATGACCGCAGAAGAAACATTGACTTGGCGAGTAGCCGCACTTCGCAGTGCAGCACTCAGACTAGGATCATGGCATCCCGTATAATAGTCCATGAAGGTGCCTAGCTGGAGATAAAGTCTCGCTAGTAGCATGCGAGGATTGGCTGGATATCCCGGTGTTGCAGATGTTTGTGAGTGGTATATGAGAGCAGAATCTGATGTTTGGGCTAGGATTTCAGAAGCAGGGTATAAGTAGTCCCGGAAGTTAGCTGAATCAAGCAGCTCTCGACCTCGAAAGAATGCTGTTGTCTTCGGAGAGAAATACTGGGACGTCTATCGACGAGGTCGTCAGAAAGCTGATAGCGCAACTCAGGTTCGAGCACACGGACCAATAGGTTGCCTCCCATACCATACATAGAGAGGACTGCCTTCGGTTTTGGTACGGCATGTGCAGCAGCCAGATATGCGCATAGACCCCCGGCACTGGTGCCCATTACGGCGATGGCGTCCGGATCCACTTTGAATCCAAACACAGAAGGACGATGTGATTCTAAGAGATGCGAAGCCATATCCAAATGCAAACTAGAAGAGATGAAATGTATGGCGTCCTTGACATCGGCCAAAATATCGTGTCCGGTTGCAGGAGGCATCAGACGATAGTCGACAGATATGAAAACACATCCCGAAACTGTGACACGGGCTTAATAGATATAAGTTAGAGTGATACATTGTCTAGAACCGACTCGAGTGGTCATCAGGCGAGCGGGATTCCGATAGATTGAATGGTTATCATATGGGATCAGATGGTACGTACTGGACATCCATAATGGAAACCAACTCATTCTATTCCCAACAGTGAGACCACCACCATGAAAGTAAACCAAAGCCGGGACCGCACGGTGCGGAGGGACACCGACCGCTGTTCTGACAGTATTTGAAGGAGGATTGATCTCAGGCGGGTAGATATCAAGTAACAGAGATGCTCCGTCTATATGTTTATAAGCCAAAGTTAAGGGTAGACAACACGAAGTGGACGACGACATTATAGCAAATGGCTTTGACAAAGACCGACAGTGGTCGCGACTGATCATGAGGTTCACGAGTTCAATTGGGTCAGCCGGACGCGTGACACGTGATACGACGCGCTCTTGTCTCTTCGCCACCACCGCCACTACCTGCTACCACCGTGACAGAGTTAATGGTGCAGGTCCACTAAAGCCGCATGCCAGACCATCCCTACTCGCCCGAATTATCAAGACCTATTCGTTTGACGAAAAAGAACCTACAATAAGAGAATGTCTACGGAAGCCCTCCATCGTCATATATTGGCGAAATGGCAAACCTCTTTCTCCCGCCTCAATCGCGACCAGCCAGGTATCTCGGGGCTACTTGCCATCAGCGAGGTTCGCGACCACGTACGAATGCGTGCAAGCGTTAATACCAAACCATTCCTTCACACCAGGCATGGACACTGGCCGCGGGATTTTTATATCCGATTGATCTCACGAATCCCTCAGCGAAGAAAGAGTATAGTGAGTGAATATCTATATGAGCACATAATACAACTCTATAGTACAATATTATAGTTTTAACTCATCTCCGCAGATACTATGGAGGTTAAGTCCGCTGTAGAAGTCCTGAGCAAGGCAAAGATGCTACCAATGCTGTTAGAGAACTTTCTAGGTATGTGGTACTATTCCGTTTGTCGGCCCGTTACAAACGTTGAATCGGTAGAGGATATGCGGAAGCAGCAACATTTGATAAGTAAGGAGGTGAATGCAATCATGCAGCAGTACGAGGTATGCTGAAGTTGTTCTGCGCGACTTCGTGAATCTACCCTTCCAGTACCAGGAAGCCTCAGAGGTGCAGTATATTGCCCGCTTGGTTTTCCGCCTTCTTGAGTGGTACAAGGCATGGGTACCAATCCATGAGTAATCACCTGTCTTATTTCACATGACGGTGCAGTTCTAATATGTCAATCCGCGATACCCTACAAATAGATTGGGACACACTATCGTCTCAACATACACGTTAAATTTTCAGACTCATGTCTTTTCCATTCTTCCGCCGTCTTTCTCCAAGGGCTTCAAGGATCTTGTAGCTTCAACTTTTGAGCTTGTGCAATCGTCGTCACCACCGCCATGGGCACCCCCTACTCAGGTGCAAGATCGGTCACGCAGGCACGATCTTCCGCTTTGGACGGCTTTTGACCAACTCGGTCTGTTAGACCGGTATGAATCTCTCATCTCGAGTGTTTGTTACGACCATATCGAAGCGCATGTCCTTGAGACATGCACAGGGAAATGGGAAGAACCTATGCTCAAGGAGCTGCGTAATTGGATGGCGGACAAAATTGTACCATGGATGTTGATGCCATATGCAAGAGGCGCAAGAAATAGTTGGTTTCCTTCTACATTCTAGGGCGTTGCACTCATTCGCCTATTTACACAGCGGAAGAAGCAAGATCTATGCTGCAGGGGGTGGGTTCGAGGTTCGACTTCCATGTTTGCAAGACATTAAGTGATTTACGGTACGTCTTTGTTCTCACGTCCTAGTTGTCGATGCCGATGCATGATCGATCCTCCAGGACCCGCGAGATCTTCGATATAATTGTTGATTACCCAGATTCATCGAGCGCATTGTATGATTTGAAGGTGAGCTGATAGTGTTCTGGTATGACTTGTTACTCTAACAGCAGGTAGGAATGTCTTGCACGCGTGGACCAACGCGCTCAAGTCGTCCAGACGTTGCGGAAAGCGTGAGTACGTATGTATTTACCGCCGTTGGAGTTGTTCATTTTATCTCCAGGAACAAGAAACGACTTTTACATCCGGGCGCAGATACCAAAGACATCTTAACTCAATATGTATCTATAATCCGCTGTTTACGCATTGTCGACCCCCCTGGTGTATTGTTATTCAAAGTTGCTGATCCGATTCGGAAATACCTCAGGTATGCTCTAGTCAGTTGGGATATTTTGAAGCAGGACCTCATTGCTATGTGTTCAGAGAGCGCCCGGACACGATCCGTTGTATTGTAGCGAGTTTGGTTGGGGATGGAGAAAGTGGCGACTCCTTAGTTGATGAGAATGAGCCGATACAACCGCTTCAGCAGATGCAAGTGGAAGATTATACTGATCCAAACTGGGAGCCAGAACCAATCGATGCGGGACCAGGTAAGGGACTAGTTATATCCTGTTCCATGCTGAGTCTTATGGGTGAGTTTTGTTCTAGATTTCCGGACGAATAAGCCCGGAGATGTGATCAGCACTCTGGTCAGTATATATGATTCGAAAGACTTATTTGTGAAGGAACTACAGGTTTTACTTGCTCAACGGCTATTGGCAATCACGGATGGTAACTTTGAGCGGGAGGTAGGCCGATAGAATCCAGTCATACGCAAAAATGCTTACCTTCACGAACATAGCGGCGAAACATCGAAATTTTGAAGATTCGCTTCGGAGAGCCTGCGCTGCAAGTATGTGAGGTCATGTTAAAGGACATGACGGATTCTAGGCGCATGGATCAGCATGTCCAGTCCCAGAAAAATGTCAGGACGACCTTGATTGTTCATGTTGTTTGTACTGACTCTGCCACTCGTCGCTGCAGTTGGTTCTACATCCCACTGTGATATCTAGACATTTTTGGCCACCTTTACAGTCGGGTAATTTCATAATGCCTGGACAGTTTAAGCGGTATGTCCCGGATATATCGCCTTAAATGGAAGGTCTAATTTGGTTTTCAGAATCCAGGAAGAATATGCAAATGAATTTACAACCTTCAAACCAGATAAGAAATTGCGCTGGCTTCCACACCTTGGGACTCTCCATTTGGAAATCGAGCTCCAAGATCGTACTGTGTCCGTCGATGTACCGCCTCTAGAGGCCGCTTTCATTGAATTATTCTCTGAAAAAGGTAAGCCGTAACTTATGCGCATTGCAGACCATCTCATCGAGTCTTGCAGATGTCTGGGGTATCGATGAATTGATCGGTCATGTTGGATCTGTGGATCGCGCGACCGCTTTCAAAGCCCTCTCGACTTGGGTGGATCTAGGTATCCTAGAGGAGGATGAGCAAAATCAATACCGTCTTTTGGAGGTTGCTGCGGACGTCTCGACCTCGGGTCGCAAACCCGCGCCTTTGAAATCAGGTTAGTACCGAAGGAGTTGTAGTCGACATATTCTAAAAGTTTGATGTGACATATAGCTCAAGTGATGGAGGAAGTGCCCGCAATTTTGACTATCCAGCAACAGCAAGCCGAGCAGATGAAAGTCTTCTGGAAGGCAAGTCTTCTCGGCATGAACGTTGCACGCGCGCTAACTTGAATTTTACTCTAGTTCATCGAGGGCATGCTCACCAATCTTGGGACACTGAGCTTGGACCGTATACAGACCATGTTGAAGTTTGCGCCGGGTTACGATCGGACTATTGAACAGCTTGGTACATTCATGGAAGCTGCTAGGCGAGAGGGTCTTGTAACGGTTAAGGACGGTATGTGGAAATTAAACCGTCAATAGGAGATCCACCAAGTATTATACTCCCTACGATATCCAATTGCGCAGGAGCTTCGCATGGAGTTGTATGTCTAATCTCCCATAAGCGAAACGCAGAAGACTTGCAGTTCTCTATCAGGCTTGTGTTCGTACTGTGACGGTGGGATGAATCAAAAAGACAACATATGTCAGATATGCCCATTGGCTGGATTGAACAACCGACCTCACCATAGCACGTAATGTACGAGTGGCGCGCTCTACCACTGAGCTAAACGGGCGATGGTAACGGAGGCGTAGTAAAACGTCTCCTTCGTCAGCTTTTGAAGCACTGGTATTCACTATATCCATGATAGAGACTTCAACCTACTCGCACTTCGATGTTGAGCATCACAACCAGTCGGACCGACCACGTTCCATTATGCTATCTTCCAAACCACTCAGTGAGCTCGATGCTTGTTCCATTGCGTCTGAATCTACATCTGCCAAGGACGAAATTCCCGATGGGCTTCACGTACGCTAACAATCTATGTCTTATCACCCGGGGCACTTTATAGTAACGCTCAACGCAGAACTATGAAATGCACGAAGAGCTTGGGCGCGGTGCTACGTCTATCGTCTACCGCGCAATCTGTAAACGGGGTAGACTGCGCGGCCGTCAAGTTGCTCTGAAGAAGGTGCGTACCAGTTTGCGAGTTGGCCTAGGAGATGCGTCTTAGTTTATCGCTAGATACTTCTGGGTGTAGGGGAAAAGTCGGCAGGTTCTACGTATCTCACGACCTCAACCTGCTTGCACCAATCACTCTATCACCCATCTGTCGTATCCCTGTTATCCAAATTTTCTGGGCCTTCCGGCCACTACCATGTTCTGGAGCTCTGTTCTCGCGGTACACTCTCTACATTTCTTCATTCGCGATGCCCACCCATCCTTCATGAGGATGAACTCAGAAGGGTCCTCAAGCACCTGGTAGATGCTCTTGTATATCTCAGGAAGGAGCGCGTCTTGCACAGAGACATCAAAACTAGCAATATATTACTCACCGAAGACTTCCGTGTCGTACGGTACATCAATCCAAGAATGATATCTTGCTTCTGATCATACCTTCACAGAAACTATCTGATTTTGGACTTGCGACTCGACTGCCTACAGAGGCGTCTACGAGTTCCACATTTTGTGGTTCCCCCAACTATGTTGCGCCGTGCGTATCGGACTGTTACTTAATACCGGGTCTGCTTACATGGCTTCTTTCGTTCGGCAGTGAGGTCGTTTCGCGCCTGCCGTACGGGTTCAGTGCAGACATTTGGTCACTAGGCTGTTTCGTAGTGACGTGCCTTACAGGGACTCCTCCTTTTGAGGTGCCATCTTTTTGTGTGCAGCCTATGGACTCTATTTTTACTCACGCGCCATTCTGCAGGCACCTTCTGTTGGTGAAATCTTCAGCAACATCGCGCGCGGTGAATATGTGGTTCCTCGTAATGTGTCACTCGAAGCCAGGGACCTGATAAACGTGTTACTCCAGCCTGTATGTTGCCTTGCACGCCTGAACAATTAACTATTGACAATGTTCAATAGGATCCAGTCCACCGCATCTCTTTACATCGGATTTTGGCACATCCTTTCTTCAAACCCTCACTTCCGACCAAGGCTTTATCAAACACCGCACACCCACAGTTCCGTCGACAGCGTCAAGAAAGCCAGCAAGAAAATTCCATAAATCTTCCCCCCCTGAAGGCGTCTCGGTACCCCAGCCATTTGTCCAAAGAATCCTCAAACTATCTGCGTCAGCCCTTCAAAACTCGGACGGGGTCGGCACCGACACCCATCACTCAACCAAAGAGACTTCTGACAGATACTCTGAACAAGGACGTGCGAAACCTGCTTAACGACGAGCTGAGTTCCGGAATCTCTCGACGTTTCTTCTCTGTGCCGGTCTCTAAACATGCCATGAATATGAACACTGGGCAACTCCTCCGGCCCCCTTCGGAGGTACTTCCTGAGATTCTGTCGCCGACACCTGGGTTGACTCCGGATTCTGGATCTGTGCGTTCTGGAACTGCATTTGAGCTGGGGGCTTGCGCTTTTAAGCCTACAAAGGGGAGTATTGTCCTGGCTGAGTGTCCTCCACCTGCTGTTTCGACTGGCTCTCCGAAGGCCTGTAACATAGTCCGGAAACATCACATCACATCAAAGCTAACGCGAGATCGGGCTAGCTCCTTGGTGTCTATGGCTTCTGAGACGGACTCTGAAGGGGTCGCTTGCGGTGTTGTAGCTGGGTCGGCATCTGATAGGGGCTTGTCTGGGAACTCTGTACCGCTGCAAATGCGCCATTCTCAGGACACGTTTGCTCGAATCTCGAATCTACCTGCGGGACGTCCTCAGCACCCAGTGTTCTCTACGGCTTATCTACACTGTGGCACACACAAGACCGTGAATGGACAAATTATAGTGCTTCCGTCAAAGTCTCTTCTAATCGACTTTCGTGAAGGCGAACGTCGGAAAGGTCGGAAGGGTAATGAAGTCCTCTTGGTTAGCCCCGAAGGTGACACGGTAGGTGGTGGTGGTACGAAGGGTGTCGTGTTGACGTGATCACTGATCACATTGAATTGAACACGTAGATACAGGTTCACAGCGCGCCGCATCTCAGTACACCTTGCTGCTTGGTTGAACCACTTGCCACGTACACTATCGAGAACTTGCCCTCTGCTTACTGTAATGTGTATAAGGATGCTGGTTGCATCGTCAATCAACTCAAACAACGTATACCAAAGGTATGTGATGCAATTCCATGTCATGCGCGTGTCGCGACAACAGGTTGCACGTCTAGCTGGTTCTGTACAAGCCCGAAGCGAGACTGACCCTCATGGCAAATGAACCACTCGGCGACATAGAAGTTTCCTTCGCCTCTGCAGCCCTTCCAGGCAGCTCTGACCTTTCACGGGAAGGTACAACGTCCCTGCATGGCGTGGACATGCGCGTCCGACTATGGCGCCGGAAGCAATTAGTCGAAGTGGCCCGCCACCATCGCCCTGGGTCGACGATGCCAGGGGCAAACGAATGGATCAAAAAGGTAATTCCGACAAATCCGAATGGCCGCACTGTCCCAGCGGAGACCTGGAACACAATGGAGCCTGTTGAACAGAGCGGTCTGCGTCATCTGGCTGACTTCTTGCTTGTCTGTGAGGCTGTGGAATCTGTAGCTCAGGTTCCCTCCGACATTCGCACGTTTGTCGAAGACTCGGGTAATAGGCTCTGGTCTACGGAGCAAGTTGCGAACGCTCGCCAGTCTTCGACTTCTAGTCAAGATAAGGATGGTCGCAAGCGTCTCGATCAAGTGGTTTGCCGGATGGAGCGAAGCCCTCGGCGGTCCTCGTCGGCACGAAGACCGGACGTCGCCAAAAACGATGAGATTACCCTGGCCACTGTGGCGACCGCAGCAAGCACGGTGTTCCCGTCGTTCAGCCTGCAGCCACGTCCGAGAAAGTTCTCGTCTGTGTTGTCCCTTCGGGTTGAAGATGGCAGAGTCATGGATAATGGCTCGGTCTTTGGGCGCGACTCTCGTCATGAGGAGGAACAATCCCCGCAGTCGGCGGTTGACGCCGAGAAGCAGGATGATGCGCCGCAGACGAAATTTCTGCCTTCTGTGGGCTGGTGTGTTCGTTCGCCCGGGAGACGTGACGGCGCTCAAGTGTACAGGATCATGTTTCATGACGGTGCATCATTGGAGATCGATACAGGCTGCGTCGATGGGCACTCTGGGGCGGTGCAATTTACCAGCTCCTCGAAGGAGCCTCCTTTGTGAGTTCAAATTGACATTTATGACAAGCACGGAGGTCCTCATCGGCGGTGGGACACAGGCGCATATCGCGGGAGTCCGCAGATAAGAATATACCGGAGCGGATGAAGGCCTTTGAAAGATTTGTGTGGATGTTTTCTGGGAACTGAATGGCGTTTGCTAGTCAGCTGTGTTTGTTTGTCCCGCAGATGCGATACCTCTTCTTCCGCGACTGATGGATTCGTTATAAGCCATACCTTTGGAGGAATACAGAACTTTGACTAGTGAATGACTGCGGGTGCCACGAGTGAGTGATGCGGGCGGTGGCTGATGAATGTCCTCCGTCCGGCGCTGGCGATCGACACCGCCGAATGCTTCCGCGGCGCATTGCACGTGCGACGGCTGTCCCGCCGGCATCGACTTGTTCATCTGTCTACGCCCGACTGCGCGGTGGCTCTCGCATAAAGCCTGCGACTTCCGCCGAAGGATGTAACAGTACAGAGGTGGTGCAGGCGGGCGAACGGGGGTTGCTGATGGGCGGCGGACGGCAGCGACACGCTTTGCTCAATATGGAAAGAGTAGAATTGAAGAAGACAGCCATGACTGACAGGGCGAGTGTTGTGATACTTAAATCACAACAGTTCACTAATCTCGCCCAGACTTTTCTCCCGGCGTCCTCACACGCCTCACCGCCCTCTCTCGTTTCCGCCCATCCTGACACTTCGCCATTCATTCCCTCCAGCCTAGTCGAGGTCCACATAAATGGCGGGCGTGACGCTCGTTGACGGCCCCCTCCCGCTGCAAGCAGCCAAGGCCGCGTCGACGTTCTCGACCTCATCCGACGGCACCGAGATGCAGCCTCGCACGCTAGTCCTTTGCTTTGACGGGACTGCAGATCAATATGCTGGCCAGGTAGGCGCATATAGCCACACTCCGAGGTGTGGGACTCACCGCGCACACAGAACACCAACGTAGTCAAGCTGTACTCAACCCTCAAGAAGGATGACTCCGAACAGCTTTGCTATTACCAGGTAATTTGTTGTCCTGACGCGTCATCTTTAATCGGCTAATATATCAAAGCCTGGTATTGGGACTTACGTGAATCCTGGAGCCGTCTCGCCTTTGTTCCAGTGGGGAGCAAAAGTCATCGACCAAGGTGTTGCATGGTCAGCAGCAGTTTGTCCGGATAACACCTCATTCTCACTCTGCCTCAGGTATCTGGATGCTCATGTTCGCGGTGGATATCAATTCCTGATGCAGAACTATCGGCTCGGGGACAAAATATGTTTGTTTGGTGAGCCAGATTTTTGCGTCCTCCCCATTATTCGGTGTTCTTAAAAGTGTGCATTATAAGGCTTTTCCCGAGGGGCATATACGGCTCGTGCACTTGCTGGGATGTTGCACAAAGTCAGTTGATATATAGGCCTCAAAAGCGCTGCTTGCCACTAACATCCTACCGCATTGCAGGTTGGTCTGCTTCCCAGGCACAACTATGAGCAAATTCCGTTCGCATACAAGCTCTACAAGCGTACGGGTGCGAAGAACGCGGCCCTCGCGGCAGGCTTCAAGCAGACTTTTTGCAGGGCTGTTCCCATTGAATTCGTCGGTGTTTGGTATGTCCGTTCCCTTCATTCGCACAGGAAATCTCGTCGAATTTCCGGTCAGGGACACCGTTGCGAGTGTTGGAACCCTCATAAGCCGGACACTCCCTTTTATTGCCAACAACACGGGAATAAAGACGTTTCGTCATGCATTGGCTCTTGACGAGGTTTGTGTCATCATATATTGCTGTGCTGAAGATCAAACCTCACGAACAATCTATAGCACCGATCAAAGTTCCGTCCCAGCCTCTACCACAGTCCAGAACATTTTGCAAAGTCCCGGAAGAACCCCGTTAAGGGGAAGGCCGTACCCCGGGACGACGAGAATGAGAAAGTGGAAGTGAAGACTGTTCCAGCGACTCTCGGGAAAATGCGGAAGCTCTTGAAGAAACGGGCTTCAATACAGCGACTCAGTCAAGGCGCTGAATGGGGGAACATCTCTGAAGACCTAGCGGAGCTCCGGTGGTGCGGCCGCTCTGACACCGAGAAGGACATGGAGAAGCTCGCTTCTGGAACTGACGTATTTGAAGTGTGGTTTGCGGGGTGTCATTGTGGTAAGGCGCTTCAGTTTGATTCTTTCCCTGGTCATGCTCACAGCAAATATTCGGATGCCTGTACACAGATATAGGCGGCAGCGCTGTACCGAATGAGACGAAGCTTTCGCTATCCGACATCACCCTTCACTGGATGATGCGCCAAATAGCCGAGTCACAATGCGGAATCGTCTTCGATCATGATGCACTAGTCCGCGCGCGCATCCCAGAATCAGTCTTCCGTGGAATGAAGGGCTTGTCCATCTCCCCGTCCCTCAATGACACGAAGCTCCACCCTATGGACGCAAGCGGAAGCAGCACGAGACATGCCGGCAAGCAGGCCAGCAACTCTACTGGCATGGATAAATTGGACAAGCTAAACGCGGTGGAGCCGATGCACGACCAGTTGCGCCAGATACCACTGTGGTGGATCCTCGAGGTCCTGCCAACGACCTACAACTGGCAAGAGCCGAGCGGCCTGTGGCATACATCCTGGAGGTGAGCATCGCGAGTGGATATGTTATAGACAGAGCTCGATATGACGGCCGTACAGTATTCACCGCGGACAAGGGCGCCATCTCCCACCGAGGCCCAACTTCCACGTCACCGTTAAAGAGCGCATGAACGATAAGGCCCTCAGGTACCGACCAAAAGCACTGCTGGGCAACGAAAATTCGGTTACCTATGTCGAATGAATGGCTTACCTAGACAACCCCGGGCCTATATTGCACGTCAGCCGACCTCAAATACACAGTTTATCAACCCAGCGACACGACGATCATCACGTCCTCGATCTGAAAATTCTAGTTTCTTGTATCGTTCTATCATTATATTGTCTTGTATTCACGACTGAAATGACCTTGTTACGTTACTTGTGAAGGCTTGTTATGTCCCCCACGCTGTATTTTACGACCACACCCATAGCTTAGCACGACCCGAATGCGACACGATACTTCCATTTATCCTGCTCTCTAACTCAGATGATGGCGGCCTGGCGCCTCACACGCTGCCTGACAAGCGAGACGGGCAGAAAAAGAAACCTCCAAAAGTGATGCGCATAACTTACATTGTCTATGAAATACAACCCGTATACACCACACATGCGCTCGAAGAGCCCGCTCTACGCCGCGCCTGGCGAATGTCCGATGCCTCCTCGAGTCACAATGCTCTATACTACATCATCGGCTGCGTGGGTGAGAGAGTGTGGGTAAGTGGGTGGGAGAACATGCAGAACGACGGGAACAGCAGAGGCCTCGGAAACGGAACATGGGGGTATACGATCGCCCCTGCGCCCGTTCCAGTCGTCGGGTCGGTATGGTTCGATTTGATTTCGGTTTGGTTTGGTTCCGTGAGTCGCGGGGTGTTGTGGTATGTGGTATGTGGTCATAATGGTGGCGCGGCGGGGCTTTCCAGGCAGATTCCGAGAACGAGTGTGGGAGGGGAAGAGGTGCACGCGCGCAGCCGTGCGGGCTCAGAACGTCGAGGCCCACGCCTCGAGGTCGATCGTCGATGTCCGCGAGTGCTCTACCCATGAGGATTTCTGCGCAGGGGGAGGTGGTCAGCGAGTGGGCACCCCGGAGGCCAAGCGACGCAGACACGAGACTCACCAGGAGGTCCTTTGGCGTCTTGCGCTGCTCCGGGTCCTTGAGAAGGCAACTGTCCACAAACTCCTCCGCCTCCTTCGGGAAGCGGCCCTCGGGGGCGAGTCGGGGCGCGGGCTCGTTCACGATGTGCTGGAGGAGCTCGAGAATGCTCATTGTCATTCCGCCGCCCTGCAGGCTGACGCCCTTGCTCTTCCGCTTCTTCTTCTTGTCCTTCTGCTCCTTCGTCCGCGCGGGGAGGGGCGCGGGCGCAGGTCGGCTGGGCGAGAGCGTGCCCTCAAAGTCGGACAGGTCCGAGTCGTCCGAGGATGAGTCCGCAAAGGGGAAGCGCCCGAGCGCGAGCTCGATCAGGGAGATGCCGAGCGACCACACGTCCGACTTGACGGTGTATTGTGCACCCTGTATGCGCTCGGGCTGCACGGCAAAGTCAGCTACACAGGTGCAGGAAGATGAAACGGAAAGAGAGAGAGAGACGCACGCTCATGTACGTGGACGTGCCGACGAACGTGTCCGCGATCGAGTTGATGAGCTCGCCCGACACGCCAAAGTCGCAGATTTTGATTTGACCCTGCGAGTTGAAGAGGATGTTGGAGGGCTTGATGTCTGCGACACGTGAGGGGCGCGGGACGGCGTGATGGAACGAGACCTACCTCGGTGGATGATGCGATGGACGTCGTAGAGGTAAGTGAGACCCTCGAGGACAGCGAGCGCGACCTTGCCGATGACGTCGATGTCAATCGGGCCGATCTTCTTGTAAATGCCGTCAAGGGAGCCCTTATCCATGTACTCCATGCAGATGCAGATGTTGGGGTCGGAGATGAAGGCACCGTAGAAAGAGATGATGTGGACGGAGTTGCAGTCGTGCATGATCTGGAGCTCGCGCAGGATCTGCTTGCGAACGGAGGGCTTCGCGTCGATTAGGACGATCTGGGGACGGGCGGGTCAGCAGCGGGCGATGAGCGCACAGGCGGGGAGACGCACTTTCTTTGCCATGATGGTACCCGTAGGAGCGTGCTCGACCTTCTTGACACTCCCCCCGTTGCCTTGGCCGAGTTCCTGCATATCCTTAAGGTCCTCATTGCGTAGGTCAAAGTTGGTCTCGGAGTTGCGGTCGAGCTTGGCGAGAGTGGAGGAGAGCGTGTTGTGGTACGATGAACGCGTTGCGGAAGCGGTGGCAGTGGGTGGGGCAGAGTTGGCACCATTGACGGTCAAAATTCCTCCCTCGGCCTCAGTGGTAGGAGCAACCTTGGGGGCCTTGAGAGTCATTGGGGGCGGCCGCTTTTTGCTTGCTGCACCGCCAGGGGCAGGAGCGAGCCGAGTAGGTGCAGGCTCTGGTTCTGGCGTAGGGGGTTTGGAGACATCGAGCTGCAGAGCCTTGAAGTTGCGCTTCTTACGGACGGGGCCAGCGAGGGAGGCCATATCGAGACGGGAAGAGCGTCGAGGACGGGGACGGGGACGGAGACAAGGACGAGGGAGGGAAGAAATGGCTGGAGGCTGGAGCCACACCGAACAACGACGCTTACGTAACCGGCCCTTTCCTTGTGTGCGCTCAATTATTTACTTACCAGTGTTCGAACAAGACTGCAATCTATACGACGTCCTCCCGCGTGTCACCGGTCACCCTCGTCCACAATACTCAGCCATAGTACGACAGCTACTTGCATTGAAACATAAATACTACCGCCAGGACGCGTCGCCTCGCCAACGTCGCAACAAATTCGCGTCGCAACTCAATCAATCACCCGTGCATTCTGATCAGCCATTCCCAGGTTGCTGTGCGAGCGCCGAGCATGCAGCAACATTAGACATCCATACTGCTGCATCATCACATACAGGCACACCAATGATTATTAATCGGAGAACGGCAATGGACATAACTCCCACAGTACAACAATCATAACATATCATTCCGAGGTGTTAGTGCTTACGAGTTCATATTTCAATTATGCATAGAAAAATAGCATAGAATGCTCAACGAGACTTGACGCGGACGGTGCCACAGCGACAAACAGTCTCAGCGAGCTGCAACACGTCTCGTAAGCTGATAGAGAAGGATGGGTAGCAACCATTCCGCGTTTGAGACAGAAACGGTAGACAACGGCAACGGTTAGAGTCACTCACTCATCGCACGGGCGTCGCACTCGTGAGTGAACATCGACAGCAGCTGTCAGCCAGGCTGATACTCATTCTCCATTGTCCCGTCGGCCGCGCACGCACGCACGGCGCCCTCCGCACACTGGTTCATCAGCACAAAATTCGACACTGACTTACGCCGGGGGAAGCGGTGCACCGGTATTGGGTCATCCACCTGCAGCCACATTAGAATGTACGCCATCGCGCGAGGCACACACGGCTCACCACCCATATTGGCAGCGCGTCTGCGCAGAGCTCGATCCCGCGCTGTGCGCACTTGCCGCGTAGCGCCGGGAAGTCCTGGTGGTGTTCCGCGCGCGGATCGCAGCTCACGATGCGCAGGCGCGGGAGGCGGCCCACGGTCGCGACGACGGTCTCCAGGCTTGGACTCGAGCTCCAGGTGTAGTTGCGGAAGCTGAGGTGCTCGAGGCGCTGCGGGAGGGCGCCGAGCCCGAGGAACGTCGACAGCTGAAAGAGGACAAGCTCCTCGAGGTTCGGGCAGAGGCGGATGACTGCAGTGGCGCGCATGTTGAACGGCATGAGACGCAGCGAACGCAGGCGAGGGCCGTGCCGCGTGAGTAGGTCCGTGAGCTGGGGCCCAGGGATGTCACGGAACTCGGCGATCTGCAGCGAGTCGGCGGATCCGGAGAGAAGCCAGCGGAGGATGTCCGGGCTGGGCATGCGGTGTATGGCGAGCTCGTAGAGCTGGAAGCCGCCGGGCTCTGGGGGCGGGCAGACGAGTTCGACGCCGATGCGGAGAAACTGGATGGTAGGCCAGACGTCAAGGAGCTGGTAGAGCACGGGCGACTGCACGCCGCATTGCATGAGACTGAGAGCTCTGAGAGGGGTGCGACGTTTGCTGCGAGCTATGGTGCGAAGCTGGGCGAGGGTGTCCTTGTCGAATTCGTGGAGGGCGCAGAGGCGGACGTTGAGCGCATATAGTCGTGGACATCGCTGCAGCACGGCGAGGAAACCGGGGGCGGAGAGTGCTCGGTCAGATAGCTTGCCAACGGAAGCCTCTAGGATGCGAACGACGTCCCCTCTTCGCCTGCCAAGCTCGTGTTCGGGATTAATCGCGTCCATAAAACCTTGAATGGAGGTTGCGCGGACAGCGACGGAGTGGAAGAGGAGCCTCTGGGACGGCCATGTCCACGAGGTGGATACGAGGGCGCAGGCAAGGAGGGTGTCGACGTCGGGTTTCCCATGGACGCGGTCGTAGTATGCATGTTCGAGGATGAGGGAGACGAGCTCGACGGGGAGAATGGCGGCAGAGAGCATGTCTGAGGAGGGTGGTGATGAGCGAAGAGAGGAAGAACACATGGGATATGTACCGTCAAATAAGGTCTGCGCCGAGGCCTGGAGGGGTGTTGGGAGAAGACGTGGTAGAGTTGGTACGAGTCGGAATCCGAGTTGGCGCGAGCCGGTTGCGTCATGGGGCTCGCCTGCAGGATCGGTTGGGCGTTCGGACCGGTTCGGCTTTGCCCAGTCGGCGGGGATGGCTGGAGCCTGGCAGAGAGCGAATGCAGCGAAGAGGGGCAGCGAGTCGAACCGAGGCAATTCCTGTTTTGTTCCCGGCGCGGTCGAGCGGAAGCAGATAATACTTGGTGCTTACTACCGCCAAGCGGCGTCGCAGCGAGCTTGAGCACGATGTATGGAAACACAGAGCGAGGAACTTTGACTGACAAGCTCGCGCGGTTCGCTCTCGAGGTACTTCGCAGGCGGTCGGCAGCATTATGATTAATGAGTCTCACCCCCGTGCACAGAACAAAGCAGGAAACAACGACCAGGCGGCTGATCTGGTGCGTGCACAGCTCTCCTCCACGTTACCGTCGCTTGCCGGCCTGTCCCATCATCTCCTCCAGCTTACCGCCCGCACACACAGGCTTTCTCTCCGGACGCCCCCAGGCCTGAGGTGAGCCTCCCTGCTCCTCCTCCTCCTCCTCCTCGTACCCCTCTTCCTCCCCATGTCCGACGTCCAACCACCCCCGCACCCCCGCAAACGCAGCTGGATCGGCAAGTACGGCGCGGGCCCTAAAGACCCTCAGCCCACTCCCAGCCTCCCCACTCCCCGCGAGGGCTATGAGCAGTCCTTCGAGTACCCCTTTGGCTCGTCCGCCACCGCCTCTAGCTCGACTGCAACCCTCACCGGCGCCCTCTCCCGCTCCAACTCCCTCACCTCCATCGCCTCCCTCCTCCCCTCCCGTCTTGCTCCTCCGGCTCCCTTGAAACGCTCTTCTACTACAAACTTGCTAATAAAGGACGATCCCGATTCACAGAATGCCCTCTCTCGCACCGTCTCCACCCAGTCCAACAGCAGCAAGACCGGCGACACCAATGTCACTCGCCCCCCCAGCGGCTCCTTCTCTCGCATGACCCTCAGTTCCATGATGGGTGGTCTCTCCTCCCTCTCCCTCTCCCGCAGCACCGCCGCCGATGAACGTGGCCGCTCCGAAAAGAAATCCAAGGACAAAGGGACCGGCGTACGCTCCAGCTCCTATTCCGGCGCGAGCCCCGAGGACCAGGACGCCACTCGCGGTCGTACGCGCAGCCAGTCCCCCTTTCGCCTCCGCCGCACCCGCACCCGCGACCCTTCGCCCGCCGTCGAGGCCCTCACAGCGTCCGACATCGAGTCCGACACCGACTCCGTCCAGATCCGCCCGCGCAACGCCTTCACGCTCTCCTCCGCGTCCGTCGACGAGTCCGGCGATGAGACCGAGGACGACGACGACGACGACGATTCCTGGAGCGACGAGGACGCGTTCGACCCCGTCACGGAGAGCAACACCGAGCGCAACGCGCTTATCCCCGCTGACCTCGACCACGACGTCGTCGACGTGCCTGACCCGCTGGGCGAGGGCGTCAACGTCGTCGTCCCCCCGGAGCCGTATTTCCCGTCGACTTTGAACGGTGGCGCCCGCAACCCCCGCCGCCGCAAGTCCATGAAGCCTGACGCGCTCCCGCTGTCGACGTCGCGCCCCGAGTTTCAGCGCGACCGCTGCACGATCACGCTCTGCCATGGACATCCGCAGCGTGACCTGGATGAGAACGGCCGAAGGGGCAGACGGTACGTCCTGGCGAGCGATCTGAGTGACGAGAGCAGGTACGCGCTGGAGTGGGGGATCGGGACGGTGCTGCGCGATGGAGACGAGATGTGCGTGTGCTTATATGCCCCTTTGCGCGCGTACTGACCGCTGCTGCCCAGGCTCATCGTGACGGTCATCGAGAACGAGAACAAGAGTGCGTCAGCGCGTTTAGAGTTGTGCAGGATAAGGCCTCCTGATGTCATGTGTCTAGTTGATCCCCCCGTTCCCAACCCGACCGACCGAACGGCCAAGTTACGTAGCCAGCAAGAGGTAGCTTCCATACCTTTTTATAGCACTCGCACTGACCTCGACCCCAGCGTCAGGCCCTCGCGTACATTCTCGTGCGCCAGGCAACGAGCCTACTGCAGCGCACGCGGCTGAACGTGACTATCGCCTGCCAGGCGTGGCACGCCAAAAACCGGCGGCACATGCTCCTCGGTGAGTGTGCGTGCGTTCCCAGACACGCTAAAGCTTAACGGGCGTGCTGGTAGACATCGTTGACTATTTCGAACCGTCGATGCTTATTGTGGGGTCCCGCGGTCTGGGCAACCTCAAGGGGTCAGCGCCTCCTCCGCCTCTGCGGGTCCGTCCGCCACTGACATGCACGCTATCTTTAGAATCCTCCTCGGATCTACATCCCACTATCTGATCCAGGTGAGCTCCCCCGCATCTCCATCTCCGCGCACCGTCCGCAAGCGTTGACCCTGCGCGCCTGTTTGCAGAAATGCTCCGTCCCGGTCATGGTGCGTCTCCGCGCTTCGAGCGTCTCTAGAGGGTGTAGGTGCCTTGCTCATCGTGCTCACCGCGCTGCAGGTTGCGCGCCGCAGGCTGAAGCGGCCCCCGCGGCGCTCGGCGCACCTCGCGCCCCACCGCGCGCGCGTGTCGCTCGCCCAGGCGGCCGGCGTCGACAGGATGGCGCCCAAGGTCGACCAGGACGTCGAGGACATGCGCACCCAGATCGAGCAGCAGGACGACGACAGGCAGACCGTGGGCCAGACCGACGTCGACGACGACGCGGACACGGAGGTGGAGGTTGACCAGATCGGAAGGAATGTCAGCGCGTGAGGTGAAGAAACGGACAATTGGGCTCGTCGCGAGAAGCCCCGCAAGGCTATGATCCTAGTTTGTATCAGTAGTGAAGCTCCAGTCAGTCAATCCTCAATCAAGTTCAAAGTCGGTAGCGTTTTTTTTATATTGGGGACCGTGTGGTCATTAGGGGATAGATGGTACGAGATTAGTATGTTTATAGAATTGTTACTTTTTTCCTCTATGTGATATTTGGTATCAAATGAATTCAGCGAACATGCGGGACGTCCATCGTATGTAAAATGAACACGCATGCATGGCTTGACCGCTAGTCCATTATAGCGACTACGCCTGTCAGCGGTTGGCTGGACTCCACGAGAACCGCTTTATGGACTCGATATCCACCGGTGGGGATGCAAGGGCTGCCAGGTCTCCCTTGAGCAGCAACCGCGCCGCCAGCTTGCTCATGGAAACATCCGTCAGCCGCCACTGGTCCGTCGGTCTGGGACCCAGCACTGTTTCGCGCACAAGCAAAGGGCTGCCCTTGAGCAGCAATATCTGGCGCGGATGCGCCACAAACATTCGTTGCTCGAGCGCCGGCTTGTCCTTGTCTACGCCTCGGGTCAGCCTCCTGGTCTCCGCCCTCGACACCCGCGCCGGCGCTTTGGGTCGCGTGTCCGTCGTGGGGACAGAGTACGGCTTTGGGGGCTCGGGGACGGCGCGTGAGCTGGACGCAGTGGCAGTCGACGATGCGCCCTGCGCTGCGGGGCCCAGCTGCTGCAGATCGATGTCGGTACCGCGGTCGACTTTCTCGTTCGCGTCGAGGCTGTACTTGTAGATGAGCAGCTGCCTCTCATACGCGGACGCCCGCTTCTGCCGAACGAGGTCCTGCGCGAGCGGGGACTTGACGATTGTGTAGTGGACGAGCCCTGTGTAGCAGTCGTAAGCCATGTCCACCAGAGCCCATACGTCCACACGTACAGTTACTGTCCTTGGAGCCGACAGCTACGCGGCCTGATACCTCTTCGTTGTTCAGGTAGTGCGTGAGTTCGATGTTCAGCTGGACGATGGGCTTCTCTTCCGCGGACCACTGTGCAGGCTCAATCCACACGTGCATCAGTTGCCCGCCGACTGTCTCCCATGTGCAATTTACGTCCTACCCAACCGTCGTGAGGACGCTGGCATTCTGGACCGACGGAGTGCACGTACCTGCTCCGGGAAGTAGCTCACAATCTCGGCATGAATTGCCTCCAATAACCCGATGCATTTGTTGAATACACGAGTTCCAGCGGCATGCCCAAAGAGCCGCTGGTCCATCTCTTCAAGGGGGATATACTGGAAGCCGAATATTTCAGCGGTGTTATGGTAAGCTACGAATATGCCGTCCATGTGTCCTATTCGCGCCTGAAAACTGTCGCCATTGTATGAGGAACTGCATTTAGAAAAGGGCCTGGGAGAACATACCTGTACTTCAGGAATGCTGAGCGGATGAGGTCGTAATACTCTTTCTCAAAACTCTCCCAAGGCCCATGGGTATAACGAATGGCATAACCAAGATAGTCCTAAATGAGAGGTATGAGCACACATGCAGAAAAACAAGGAGCCTTGGCATGTACCTTGTAATTAGCAAGGTCGTATCGGATAGGCCCAGCTGCGCGAGTCTTGATATCGAATATCCCAGTTCCTGGGAGCGCAGGACTGCGGCAATCCAGCTGGGCACGCATGACGAAATCTCCGAACTGCATGCCATTCTTAATCGGGTAATCATATGGAGCTATAATCATATACGCACTTTGGAATATCGATGCACGTCTTTCCGTATGACCTTCTCGAGCGGCAGCGGTACTGGAGCATTCTTCCGGTATGTATGTGTGTACTCAGTTGGTAGCATGGTAAGGAATCTCTCTAAGACTACTCCCTACAAACGACACGTTAAATGTAGAAATTGGGTATAATTCATGATAACTTACCAACCGCGATAGGATAGTTTCCGTGCCGCCGAAATTGCCCGCATCCGAGTCGGTGGCGTAGACGCCGTTTCGATACCGCAGCGTTACAGAAACAGGCATCCGTTGACCTGGAGTGAATAGTTTGGACTGGGGTCCAGCGTGAGCATACACATACCACCCATTGAGACGATACGAACCTCTTTCTGGAAGTGCGCGCTCAGCGTGGAGAGATTGATGGGCTTCTCGTTCGATAGTAGGAGATATATTTGACTGAGCATCCCTGTCAGGGAGGATGTCGATCCTGCGAATCTGCATCCTGCGCTTTTGGTCACGCTTATCAAATTCTAGTTAAGTCAGCGTCAGTAAATAGTCGACTGTGTAGGGAAAATCAATTACGTCGTCACGCGAGCTGGTAGTGAACCCTGTAACACGCTCGAACGGAAAGGTCTCAACGTCGGGCACCTTCTGTAGCCACGACAAATAGTTGAATGTTCCACTCCTGGGCTCCTGAAGCCAATGATACCCAGGACTAGCTCAACGAAAGGTCAATGAGTGATGCATGACATGCGAGAATACGCTTGGATCGTGATCGTACTTGGTCAACACTCGTTTGAGGCCATGCTCTAGTCTAGGTATCAGATGAACACTTGACACAGGCTGTAGTTCTTGTACGATTTAAGACCATATGACGCCAGAGAAGTAAGAGAAAAATCACCTTGCAAAAGCATGTCGTCACGCGAAGGGAGTACATTCTCAACACGCCGATTGTAGAAGGGCAGTTTGGGAGGCCCTTGAGGTACAGTAGTCTTGAGGAGGAAGTCCCGAATGTTCAATCGTTCTGGATGCGTTTCTATATCCAGGACGTGGGCTTGATGTAGTCACCGGTCTATATGTGAAGCGACGTACTGTTATCGGTGGCATGCTCAGATTTTGTACTAGACAGTACGGAATGAATTGAACGAAACGGAAATTTCGCGTCAGCGGTGGGGGTGCCCAATCTAGCTATACTGTCTGGGGGAGCATTCGAATCCTTAGGCACAAATGGTGGCAGGGATTTTTTGAACTTCTTCTTGGACTTCTTCTTGGATGTAGGGGGAGCGAAAAGACTATTGGAGGGCAGAGCAGCAAGTTTGGCAGCGTGACGGACATAGCGAGAAGAAGATTGAAGCAACAAAGCTACATAACGATTAGCACGATGGGGAGCATTGTGCGAGCGAATCATAAGACAAGCGAGACTCGACTCGAGAGCAGCAACGCTTGGTGGTCGTTGACGCGGACGGAGACTCGTCGACGGCAATCGTCACGGCGCTAACCGCTCCGGTCCCGCAGTCACTCACTCATCGCTCACAGTACGAGTTGTTTACCGCTGGAAGCTGTACGCCTTGTTGTCTTTCTTGTCTACTGCTGAGATCTCGAACTAGTATGACCTCCTTCTTCTCTTCGCTTTTCCAATGGTTCAGTGGGTAAGTTCCATCCGCGGTCCGCGATACCGCCGGCGAGACCAACTTGAACCTTCTCAGTCTCTTCTTCTCCAAGACGGCCGAGATATCTGTCGTAGGACTGCAGGTGAGGCTCAACGACTATGCCTGCTGTGAGAAACTGTGATCTCTGGGATGCAGGCATCAGGAAAGACGTCCTTCGTGAATGTCATTGGATCAGGCCAGGTATGTGCTCCTTTGACCACCATTTGGCTTAGTGGTGACAGCGGTATCCATAGTGGAGCGAGGAGGTTGTTCCTACTGTAGCCTTCAACTTCCGGAAAGTCCGAAGGGGTAATGTCACATTGAAAATATGGGACGTTGCTGGTGAGAGTCCAGCTCGGTGTCTGTCAAACAGAACCTGACGTCGACGTCTCTTTTCAGGCCAGCCAAGATACAGGTCAATCTGGGAAAGATATTGCAACGGGGTTGATGCTGTCATGTGAGCTGCAAGTTCCATTACAATAGTGTCCTACAGTCAACTCTTTCTTTTTTAGTTTTGTCGTTGATTCTATGGATGTATGTCTTTCCTATGCTCCATGTTTCTCGTTCTCATATTGTTCTTTAAGAAAGAGAAATTCGACACGGCCCGATTTGAGTTGCACCAATTACTATCCCAACCAACTTTAGAGGGTGTGCCTCTGCTTGTCGTATGCCGCCCCTCTATCTGCGTTCGTCACAACGATCCTGATCTAGCTTAGCTTGGAAACAAGAACGACCTCGACGGACATGCCCCAGTTAACGAGCTCATCAAAGCGCTGTGAGTCGATGTCTATCTTGTGATTGTTCAGTCCTTGACCACCGTCATGGTCACCCCCACAGCCAATTAGACAAAATTCAGAATCGACCAGTCTCGGTACGTAGCTTCTTTCTAATCGGTATATTTCACCGCAAATTAACGCTTCTCTGTGACGTCAGTGCTATTCCGTAAGCCCACGTTGACTTAATTCGCACTGGGCCTCATGTACTGACTGAGAATTTCAGTGCTCAATGAAGAGCCAGCACAATTTGTGGGCAATTGTTTGCTCTTTCTTTATATTGCTAATCTCTCTACAGAGACATTGTCCTGCAATGGCTTGCAGGTCGGAGTCATTGATCAACTTACACTATGTATGTCATACCAGGAATATTGTATCTGATAAGATGTATCACACTATGGTCACCTTAATCACGCACGGAGAATTACGCATGCTCCCGCAGCCGAAGCAGAGAAGCTTCTTTCGTTTTTCGATCATTCAGTTGATGGCCTGTCGAACTTGAAGGATTCCACCGCTCACCAACCAATGTGGGCGCCTGCAACGATAGATTTGCTGCTCTCGAGCCATCGTAAATACTTCAGCCAGGACCCTTTCAAGAGCAAACTTGAATCATTCGAGTCTACTAGTACCTTTCGGTCGACTGTTAAATTGCATTCTGTAGGCTGATCAAGTAGCGCCAAGAAAACGTATCTGTCAGAAATGAACAACATCGTAGGAGTGAGGCCTATGAAAATGGGCACAAACGAAATAATATCCTAGTCCGTATCCATACTATCGGCGCTCTCCGACCGCGCTTGCTCTTGAATAGCTCGCAGGAAGGCTTCGATGCTTGTGCCAGCCTCCTCCGGGAGCCCCAGACCTCTGACAAGGCCACCAAGGAGACCGGTCCGCAACGCCTGGTCAAAATTTCGCACGGCGGCACGGAATTGAGGAGATGAGATGATCCTGCTCAGCGAGTCTTCGGTCGGGGGCGCGGGTAGATCGACAGGAAGGTGCGGGAATAACGTTTGTACGAGTTCCGGATGCGACGCGAAAAGAGGCATCAAGTTTGAGGGTGTGAGAATGTCTACAAGTGACATCTCTGTCGTTGCTGTCAAGTCGTGGATAGGTAAAAGACTACTTAAGTTGACAAACCTGGTAATTCCTGCTCCCCAGAACCGCCGGCCATGGAAGCAATGATAGACTGCAGCTGTGCGAGCTCTTCTGCAGTC